GGACTAGAATACTTTAGACAAATCAAGATAATCTTGGACAATTCGACTTTGGATCAAGCATACAAGGAACCTAAAGACCACATAAAACACTGCTTCGGATGTAAAGACTCTGTACATTATAACAGCAAGATTTCAAGTGCAAAGGTGCAAAGTCTTTATCAACTCGACAACTAGTAGTCAATAAAGTATCAATTCTATCTTAAAGAAGCCATCTTATACAAACACTATCTAAAAGAAACTCTATTGGATAACCCAATGTCCACATAATGACAATTTAACCAACTCTCTTATAGATACTCCTAAAAAGATAACAACGTATAATAGTCTTACTATCAACTAATTGGCTTTGAATGAAAACGTTGATTCAACTTTTGTATGCATCGAGTTGTGCCGTTATTTTGTCTAACGCATTGACTCCATTCATTACTAGGGCTGTATTTCAATAGCCAACTTTGAACGGTTCTAACAATCAACGCATTTAGATGCGAATACTTGAAATAAGTTGACATCTGATTCCTGATTCTTGTCTGCCAAATGACTATACCTTACTCAGTAATGCATGGTTGGAACGAAATTATATAACTAAAGGTACTTTAAAACAAGTAGTTATGAATTGAATCAAATACAGTTTGACATATTTATATCTGAATAAACAAATAGTTACTATCAAAATATATAAACTAGTAGTAATATATTCGTGGCGCTGCAAAGGTATAATGCGATTCATCGCTTGAGTAGATTCGCCAAGCTATCTAAGATGAAATGATCAACGAAAACGTATCCAGTATCGCAAATAGAGTGCAAGTATCGCGGAGGAATAATTGGACACTCAAGCACTACCAAGTTTTTCTCAAACCAAGTCTTCAGCTCCCTAGTTCTCGGTATCCTTCGTAATAATACTACTATTAATACTATATGGCAAATCGTTTTTCTCGGGATACGGACTAACTCGTTCGATAAATTCAGTATAATCTCTAAGAATTCAAAAATTGAATCAACCATAGAGGACATTTCATTTACTTATGAAACAGAATTTCTTCTTGATGAGATAATCGACTAGTAATCAACAAGTGACCAACTCGAATATAGAATGCTATCTTAAATGAGCAATACCAAGAGGTATCTTACTTTCTTTCCAATGAACAGTAAATCATTGAATTCAGTATACAATTCAAGTAATATAAAACAGTAACCAGTTTCTAGAAACGTTGAGAAGGAAGAAATCAAATAGACCTTTTCTTACGTATCTACTAGAATAATTGTGCCACATCCCGTTGAGATTTAACTAGAAGTGGTAAGATTCAGAGTACTCTAAAGCAAGTGATTATTACTTCCTTCAATACAGCTGTAACCTGAATTGTTTCGGATATCACTCTGAAATAAGATTCAAATTCAACACATCAATAGAAACAAGCTATTGGTAGGGCATAAATACATTGTCATTTGCCACTTGAATCAACTGTGAAAGAAGTCCAAGATTGAAAGGTTGATGAAAACCATCAAAGGTTGCGAAAAGGTTCAAGCAACAAAGGATATACAAAAAGATCCTGAAATTAGAACATGACTAGTAGTTTGTGTTTTGCTGCTACTTGTGTAAAAATCACAGAATTGATTCTGCTTTTTGTGAGGATCAACCTCAAAATCTATAAATCATAGGTCTGATATTCTAACCCCGTGAAGCCAGAGAAGCATTCATTTACTTCTTTTCCTTGAATTTCTTTCAACCAACCTTGCTATATTCTTTCACTGAAAAGTATATACTATGTAAAACATAAATTTTTGTCTTTTATGACAATTCATAAGAATAAGGGAAAACAACCAGTAGGTCGTACTAGGACAGGTTCAATTTCTATTCCCAATAGATCGTTTATATAGAACTTTGACTGCAATCTTGTTGCTTCTCTGAATTTACATAATCCCGCAGTCTTTGGATACTACTTTCTATCATCTTCATCCCTTTTCTTGTACAATGAGCATTCAACTGTTTTTACAACATATTACAACTCTAAAAAACAAGATCTTCACCATTCTACAATTAAAACGATAAAGAAGAGAAAAAACGAGATAGAAATATTATCTTATCCTTATCGACTAGATGACCACTCCATATCAAGCTGGTCTTAGGGTCGAAGAAGTAAGGTGGAAATATTCTGGAGCATAAATAGTCAAAAAGTGTGGTTTCGACATAAGAACATCACAATATATCCAGATGAATCAGTAGTAGATTCTAGATCACATAAAACAGTATGTTGTACACGTCCACGATACTGCAAGTTCACTTGTCAAAGATTACTTGACTCAACTGACGAAATTGTCTCAAATGGATCATTTGGACTATCACTTGGAGTTACCCATCCCTCCAAATGCAACACAACTATCACGGGACAAAGAGATCCTATGTGATCGGGATTTCCAATGAAAAAAGCTTCTGAAAGGTTGTACGTCGACGTTTTCGGAAAAGAAATGACCACTAGTTGCTTCATCATACTATCATGAGATAACAAATAAGTTCGTTGTAAAAGTCAAAAGATAAAGATTAGTCTCAAACAGGTACAAGCAAAATCGAAAATCGACCAGTAAAGTAACTCACCCTATTTGTTGTTCAAAATCAGAACCGTATGTAGTTCTACTGATAGTAAGATACAGGAATAGTCGTAAGTGTGCAAATAATGCCCTTTTCTTTTGTAACGTCAACAATACAATTTTCCTTTATGGTAAAAAATATGTCAAATTCGTACTTTTATCACAAAAACTATTATTAATATTCCATGTAACACTCAGTATTACAGTATAACTTTCTCTTGTTGTTGTCGTCGTTGTTGTTGTCTGTTTACAATTCGAAGTAAATAAAACAATTGCAATTCTCCAGTCATGCCAACAACGAAGAAAACAGTAAAAGATCGAAACACAAGTCATTCTCTTTGTAGAATTGTTGACTCTATCATACTGTACTAGGCTCGGGCTCATATTTGTTGTTGTTGCTGTTCTGGCTGAATTTCTAGTGGCGAATGGTTTGATTTTGCTGTGATAATCGAAAAATGCTTTATGGTTCGTGTCAATGTATTTGCAAACCACTTTGTTCGTCTGCATATGCTTTCTAGGAATTATTTACCAAAAGTTGGACTTTATTTTCAGAGTCAAACCAAAACTCTAGTCGGAAACGACTGCATCAATATTTGCGCTCGTGTAATATTGTAGAAGCTCAACCCATCCTTCATGAATGTCTTTCAGAGCTACTTTGTATACTATCCAAAAGCAAGCTGTTTGTACAAAATGTGAAGTCTCCTTTTCACTTTTGACAGCTACAACTACCACTATTTTCAACAGAATGACCTTCAGTGTGTTGGGGAAAAAAAAACAGATCAGCAGCACTCTTGACAAGGCAAATACTGTTTCACACAAGTCGCCTTGTTTCCCATTCACACCGTACTACTAATGTTACCCTCCTTTCCAACTATATAAGGACCAAAGACAATTTGCAATAGATGCCTTTCAGAAACACCATCAATACTAGTTCCAACTTTATCACTCTTACGACTCACATATCGTTTTAGACATATTTCACCCTCGGTAGAACCATTAATTCATAGAAACAAAGCGTTTTTCGAAAACGGACTAGTAGCTACAGTCGCCATCGTCACAACTCTTTACCCAGGTGAACACAACCAAGATTTTTCAACAGTGTCCTTTTGCCTGCTTTATTTCATGGTTCCCAACAAGGTGAGTATATTTTGAACTGAAAACTTTTCCCTTGCTTTCAAAATACAAGTTTATTCAGCTTTCGTTTTCACAAACTGTCAAACCTTATGGGTGTCGTTTTCCATATTCGAATCAATAGAGAATTGATCTAAAAGTACAACAATACAACAATCATTGAAAATAAGCAATGATGGACTCAAGACTTTCCTATGCTATTCTGAGAAATGCCTGTTGCAGAGTTACAGACCGATTTCTCCATCGTGAAAAGAGTCATATAGAAGACAAAAAACTAACATACAAAAAGTTAATCTGTGAACTGACCAAAACACTCAACTGAGAGTCTGACTGGTTTCTTGTTCTTGTAGAATATCTTTGAAATAATAGCCCCAAGCCTGATTCTCAGAATCTCAACAACAGACTACAGGACTTTCAACTGCTAATAAATACGCAAAAATGCTCTGAAACAATTATCGATAGAAATAAACAAACTTGTGAAACAACTAATTGATTAATCTACCAACACTCAACGACAGCTTATACTCCTTTGTCTTTGCTCTCTTCTCGACAACGCTAATCTCAAATTTCCATACAAGACCAGAAGTGAAATAACAACAAGTGTTGCATAAAGTACATAAACTCCAAAGAGATAATAAAAGTTGTAAATACTAAAAAGAAACTACAGTCTACTTGGAACTCAGAGCACAGGAATCGATTAATTGTTCTAAAAGAAACATTTGCAGAGCTTAAAAAAGAAACGCAGATAATAGAAATTCACTTGTCCAACTAAAACAAACGACGAATTTGCTTTAGAAATTAAAGTCTGAAAAGTTTCACTAGCAAACTCGAATCAGGTCCACAGCCTTGACAACACTCACTGACCCTTCCCTTTCATCCAACAATCAAATCATTGTGTTTAATTGGATTGTTATGAGAAGGATCGCTTTGTATTGTCTCCTTTCACTGGAGATATATTATTTTGAGTGACTAGTGAGTTTTATGAAAGAAAATATTCCACTTGGAGATATGTAAAAAGGTTCTGGAACAATTTGTGTGCTAGATGCAATCAATCTCACATCTCAGTACTGTTGTGAAACGAGAAGAACAGTGTCGTAACAAAGGTCCTCGCAACTCCCTAGCGACACTGTAGCCTTTTAACAGAGTTGAGTTTGCCCAATCTTGTCTCTGCAAGGTAAATTTCAAAATACTTGTGAGCCTATTTTGATAACAAATCAAGAACGGTTTTGCTACCACCAGTTTTTGACTCGTTCTCGATCTGAGAACCTTTCTTTGTTGGTCACTCAAAATTAAGGAAAACTGTTTAAAGGTGCAAAATGATCATTTTCTAATTTCAATGACATTAACTCTGTTTGGCTTGCGTTGTGAGAACTAGAACCTTTCCTTCTATGCAAATTACGCTCAAGGAGCAATCTTTGTTCGATTACGAGTTATAAAGAAGAATAAATCGTATACTCAACCGTAGAATTGGAAAGTATACAGAGGACAGGACAATAATAAAAAACTGACCAAAAGTTGGGAATACTTTTGTCTATACACAAATTCGTACATAAACTACTTACGATAAGTAGGATCGAACCTCAAACGATTCAAGGCTATTGGTTCATTCTCCACGTAAAGAACTTTTTGAGACCTTTTAACTAGTATAACAACGGTAAAAGTGGTGATGCTTTCGCTTCTCCTTGCACATGTATTTCAAGATTCACCTTTCTTTGTTACTTTGCAAAGAGGAGATGAAAGATTCTTATTTTTCCATTATTTCTACGTTTATATTCTTTTCTTTTCACTAGGAGACGAAATTGATCTAATATATTTAAAAGAACAAGACCTTTACCAGTTTGGATAATCACAATATCAATTTGACTCTGCACAATTTTATTCTGCTGAATAATGCAAAGTTGAAAGAGACATTTTCCTTCTTTTTAGAGCAATTTGGATAAAACTATAATTTTTCTTCTTTATGTTTGACTTGTCCCTAATGGAAATGAACGTTTCTTGAAATTATAGACAGTTTGTTTATACAAAACTTTGAGTTGTCTTTGATTCTTGTTACAAATATCTAAAAAGAAGCCTCTACTAATGTACCCGTCAGGTCATATTTCGCGAGAGTCTTCTGCCTAGTGTCTAACGCGAATAACTTTTGTATTATGACTCACTTATTCAACGAGCTGATGTTTGAGAGAGTGGGAAAAAAGTAGGAGACAAGTGGAGCTAAACAAATCTTTCCTTGAATTTGCAGAGCTTTTAAAAGTTTTGCTTTCTTCGTACTGGAAGAAATAAGAGTTCCCTTGGAGTTATCCATGCCCTAAGGCAGCTTTGTACTTTATATAGTTTGCTTTCTTATATATGTTCACAATTTGTGGTTTTTACAAAGTTCAAGAGAAGGCAGTGAAAGCCTTTAAACCTAAACAGTCATGTTTACCTTCAAAAACACCTCAACTATATAGTCGACTACCTGGAAGAGACAATTCAACTATGATTCAAATGCTATGATGAAAAACGAGAAGAGAATCGATAGAATAGACTCAGTTGGACTGAATTGAACTTTTTTGAAAATAAGTTTTCTCTCAACAAAATGCACAGTATCAAATATCAGTATAGTCTGCAAGTATTTTCAGAGGAGAAAGAAACAGGAGTTGTTGACTCTTACAGAAATTGGATATTGATGATATGCACTTGTGTGCAGGAGAATGACTCGGTTAATACACTAGTGCAATCTTTCAAATATTTCGGAGATGCCTTTGAATGTTTCAAAATTAAAAGCTTTTCATTTGAAGGCTATTTTTGGTGTCAATTTGCGATATTGCAGAGTTGTTGCAATGATTCAAAATGAATAGACTTTACGTACATACATGTTGAATGCAACTAAAATGAAAAATTTTCTTTCTTGTCCAAATACTTCGTAAAGTGTTTACCGAAAGAATATCTCAAAACATTCTCTTCAAGTGTCTGCTATGTTGTCTTTCTAGTCTGTTGAAAAAAGAACAGTAACTCCTTTTACTATAATTCTCAAAGACTGAAACGGAAAAAGTTGTTTCCAGATTTTACTTGGACTGTCCGTCCTGTCTTTTGTTGACTGAATAAAAAAGAGTTTTTCTCGGTTTTAGACCAAACGAAGAGAATGGCAGCTAAAACTGGAGGCTTCCTCCAACTTGAGGACCTGCACTGCGGTCTCAAAAGGAGTTTCTGCTTGTTGAAATTCGATAAAAGTTTAGATTCCTTTCGTTCTTTTGTGTTTTGTCAAACTGCATTTTTAGCCTTAGAATTCATATGAATGGCTCCTACAAATATAAAACTTGTTGGATTCAAGAGAAAATATAGCAAAGGTAGTAACAAATACTAAAAAGAGTATTTTAGTTTGCAATAAAAATTCTATTTCAAAAGTACTCAACTATATATCCTAACTTCGCTTCTGTGGATTACACAGAAAGTTACCGACTCTCAGATAAGGAAAGTGAACCAGTTGCAAAGAAGTTTGAAATTCAGTTGGCCGGAAAATATCTATTTTTATTTCTCTTTAGAAGTAATGATTATGCAATTTCGTTCCATTAAACGGTGTCGCTCAACTCAACAAGGATTCTTGATAGCACACGTTGATTTTTCACTTGTTTATAAAATTATATGCAACGAAGAACCAAGAACTTGTGCTATTCATTTTTCCTCTTTACTGGACCACAATAATCTAACAAGACTGTTCAAAGGAAAAACAACCAATCCCAATGTACACACCAGAGACAAGACAATAGTCAGAAGAAAAAGGAAGCCTTGTGATAACCTTTCATTCGAACATATGACAGACCAGGGAGATGAAGCCTTCTCACTACTAGGAAGAGAAGCTAACTGGTGTCAAAAAACAGGACATTCGTTAACTGTTTGAAGTTTTGTGATCCAAATTCGACTATGTATTGGATACATTTCTCTCAATAAAAGCTTGAACGTTCACAACATGTTTTGTAAAAAACTGATGATAATAGCAAATATTTGTTCACAGCGTCCAGTTATATACCTATAAAGGCTCTGTAACGTGCAGAAGAACACCTTCCTACTCCTGATATCGTGCAAAAAATACAATGAATGGCTTCTTTCAACAAACTTTATCAATTTTCGGTGGATATTTTCAGGCAATAGAATTCAATCCTATGAAACTGTTCTGTCTCCACCTACAATCTAGTCTTCCCAGCCTAGTTGAAGCCATACGAAAAAGAAAATTGTCATCTGGGATTTGAGCATTCATCCCTCTTACAACAATCTTCTTTTGAGACGGACCAAGAAGGATGCTGCTTTCGGGTCCTAGAAACTACTCTCATCAGCTTGGTTTCCTCCTCCTCCAGTCGTTTATTAGTTGCGATCATTAATAGTAAGTTACGAACATACCCTAAGTTTCAACTTCTTCGACTCCAAGAGAATTTTCACGTCCTCAAACAAATCTCTTTCTCTATTCATGAAAGTAGCTTTTACAGTTTTGCATTTCTGACAGACCCCCAAACAAACTTTTGTTTCAAATTATGAATTGAATATTCCGATGGAGCGCTTACAACCTCCATATCGCTACCTTATCATCTTGGACTTGGAGGCCACAGCGGTTGACCTTTCGAAGCTATCGGAGCAAGAAATCATTGAATGGCCTTGGGCTGTTTATGACATCGTTCAAGCTAGAGTGCTGGAAACGCAAGTTGTTGTGATAAAGGGACCCGCCTATGACAATTCAAACCGCAGTGTAGAAAGTTACAACGGAAGTAAAGACGTTGTTATAGCACAAAATTTAAGGGAAGCTGTTTTATATTTTGACAACTTTATTTTTGAGAAATTCAGTACAACTGGGAAAAGCTTTTGTTTATTGACCGACGGGCCTTGGGATCTTAGACACCTTTTGTTAGTTGAGGCTTCCAGGAAGAATATTAAACTTGCACATCACTACAGGGTATTTTTTGACCTTAGAGTGGAGTTTCGTCGTTGTTTCCCACAAGGACCTATTCCAAGAGATAGGCAGATTATGACCAACTTTCTGGATATCCCTTTGGTTACGGCAAATAACGGGCTAGAAGATTGTTACAGTATTGCAGCTATAATTACTCAAATGCTTCTGCAAGGTTATGTTTTTTCAGTTCCAGAACTCATCTCTAATGAAGAGTGGTTCAAAGGGGGTCTACCCTCAGTCGGAAATGGTGGTGTTCACTTGGCAGTTCCGTTACCAGCCATTCCGATACCCTATGATTTGCAATCTTCTTCTCTTTTGGGCTCTGCTATTGAAGCTTCTCCTGTTGCAGCTGGTGTACCAACAGGGAGTATAATTCGTTTGCGTGGTTTGCCTTGGTCGGCTACCAAAGAAGACGTTTTGAATTTTCTAGAAGGAGCTCAAGTCATTCCTTGTGCTGTTCACTTTGTCTTAAATCAACAAGGAAAGCCAAGAGGTGAGGCATTTGTGCAATTGTTGAGTGTAGATGATGTTAATAGAGCGTTGGAACTCCATCGTCAAGTTTTGGGTCATCGGTATATCGAAGTCTTCAAGTCGACTCCACAAGAAATGTCGACTGTTCTTTCTCGGCAAAATGGAAGAAGCACTTCCTTGGCACCTTTTTCGAGGACAACCTATTCCAATGTTTCCTCCATAGACGATAGTAAACCTTTTTTCATTATTAGAATGAGAGGACTACCATTTTCTGCGTCTGCAGATCAAGTTGCTCGTTTCTTCGATGGCATAGAAATTGCAGGTTGTAGATCTAATGGAGGTATTCACATTGTGCAGAATCAAGATGGACATCCTATAGGTGAAGCCTTTGTGGAATTTGCCTCTGAAGACGCTTTAAACAAAGCTTTACAACGACATAAACAAATGATGGGAAAGAGATATATCGAATTATTTCGTAGCTCTTTGATGGAAATGTTGAATACAATCGAACGACATGGAGGCCCAGTAGCACGGGCAGCTATTGAAGCTACTGTTTGTGAGAATAGTGTAGGTACTTCATCACGTAGCGTCCTCAATAGTGATGCCTCAACTTGCTCTTTTCTTCGTATTCGTGGTCTTCCATTTGATACTACTGTATCTGATATCACAACGTTCTTTGCAGAATATCGTATCGTTCCTGGAGGAATTTATTTTGTAAACAACGGATTGGATCGCCCAAAAGGTGAAGCCTTTGTTCAGTTTTCTAGTGTTGATGAAAGAAATGATGCTTTGAAGAAGAAAGATAAACTTTACATGGGTAGTCGTTATGTGGAGTTATTTGAAGCCTCAGAAGCAGAAGTATCGGCGTTATTGGGAAGTAATCTTTGTTCAACGATCACGAGTGCAGCGTCTTCTATTGCCAATTCATCCTCAGCAAAATCTACCTTTTCAAATCCTAATACTAAAAGCAATGAGTTGCTTACGTGGGAATCTGTCGGAAGGGGTTGGGATGCTTCATCCTGGAAGTCAAATATACCAAAAAGTCACATTATTCCAAACAGAACGGTAAGAATGAGAGGTTTGCCATTCAGAGCTACCATATCGGACATTCAGTTTTTCTTTTCGGACTTTCATATCACGGAATCAGACGTAGTACTTGGTTTTGATAAGATGGGCAGACCTTCAGGAGAAGCATGGGTGACCTTTGGTACAGAGGAAGAGGCTCGTAACGCAGTATCTCAATTACAGCATGCACATATTGGAAAGAGATACATCGAACTTTTTCTTTGTACCCAGGACAAATCAGTGTCATTAGGTTCAGTATCATTAGAAGGGAAAGGGGATTCTGTATAGAGAGAGGCTTTTTCAAAGGATCCTCGTCCTTTTGTGGGTTAAAAGACGAGGCCATTTCAACTTTTGTGGGGGTTTTTGTCTCGAAACAATTGATATCAAAAACAATATAGTCGCAATATCAGTAGAATAAAGAGAAAAATAAGTGGTTGCCTTGTAGGTCATTTTTATTTGAAAAGAAGCATTCTTTCCAGTCTGCCTAATTAATTCCATTCAACAAAGAATAAGATATGGATTGTTAACGACGAGTTTGCGAAGGATTGGACTGTTGTTGTTGTTGTTGCTGTGCCATCGCAACGTGAGCTTGAGCTTGTTGCAATAGTTGAAGGAGATTCGTAGGCACGGTAGCAGATGAAGATCCTGGTAACTGAGATGATATTGATGGAATGCCAGAAGAAACATTAGGCAATGTACTATTTTGAAGGGATTGAAGCATGTTTGCAATGTTATATCCTGAAGAAACTGCTGTTTGTGAATAATTCGACGGTCGAGTCATAGGTGGCGGTTGCTGTTGAAACTGAGAAAGCGAAGATAAAGTATTCGCTACCTTTGCAAGATCCACAGTTTGCTGTCCAGAAGGTAATATGTTGGACATGCTATACTGTCCTGAGGAAGGAATTCCTGGCTGTGACGAATTCTGCGACTGTTGAAGCATAGAGAGACTATTCAATAATGACGCATAAGGAGTGGCACTTGAGATGCCAACATTTGTTTGAGCCTGATTTTGGAGATAACCCAAATTTTGTGTCATCGGCTGCTGTTGCGGATTCAAATGCAACGATTGATTCTGCATTGTCATTAAGGATGAAGGCTGACCTGACAAACCCATTGAACTGATATTGGATCCTGGACTATTCGAAACGGCGCCATACATAGGCCAAGCTTGAGTATTGCCAGGAAGATTAGAATAAGTGGGATAGGTTACGGATGTTGACGACTGTGATAAGTTTCGATGAGAGTCGCGAGCCGCTCTTGCATTTCCAGAGCGACCAGAACTACGCGAATTGCCACTTGGATTCGATGTCGTGTCTACTCCACCTGGAAAACCAAGTGGTGCTAAGGCATTCATATTCATAATGACTTGTTGTTCTAAATCTTCCTCTTCAACAATGATATTTAAAACTTCTCGAAAGGGTAATGATCCACCTTTCACCTTCTGATATCCTTCAAAATCCAAAATTCGAAGAGAACAGGAACCTTCTCTCTCATCCTTGGAATTCACAACAATAACGTATGGCACTAACTGTTCCTTTGCCAGTTCCAAAGAGTCTCCCAGCTTATTCGCTTCTATATATACAACATCAGTTTGAAGGCCTAGGAAAGCTCGAATAGTGGCTTCGCAACTGTGCGCATAACCTCTGGCATGCTGTCCCATAACTAGGACACGAACAGCAACACCATTTCGAGAGTCAAATCGTCTAGGCCTCCGAAAATTGCCTATATCATCAAATTTCAATATTTGAAACCAATAACTCTTGAATTCTAAACAAACAAACCTTTAGATTGTCTTGCAGGTCTTCCAATTGTGTTTGGTCTACCAGCACGTTCATAGGGATTGAAACGATCTGTCCCTGTGTTCTTTCGCGACTTATCTGGACCAACAACAGAATGTGTCCTTGGGTTCCTTCGAGAGTCTCTATTGTCTGCGAGACTCAAATCAATTGGCATTCCACCGATGACTCTTCCCTGTTCAGCTTCAATAGCTCTGTACGCTGAATCTGCATTATCATATTGAACAAAACCGAACGAACGACGGATAACAGGCTCTTCAATCAGATTGCCATACTTTGAAAAAATAGAAACAAGTTCAGCAACAGTTGTTCTTTCAGAAGCCAAGTTGCCAATAAATACACGACTGTCAGCTGGTCTGTTGAAAGAACTCTTCGCAATATAAGAGCTACTTTCTTTCGCGCTAGAAGAGTTACTACCTTCCGCTTTTTTCGACTGTTCAGAATAGGACTCTGTAAGCTGAGGTGAAGATGGGACAAAGGTGTTGGAAGTTGTAGTGTTCTCACTGCATATTGCTGCAATGGAACATTGGCTTTCCAAAGCAGTTTTGTTACAAAGCAACGCATTAACTGCTTCATTTTGGGCACCACGCTCAACATCACTGTTTGTGGCTTCAACATCAATACTTTCCCCTTGATTGGCATTTTCCCTTTCTTGTAGCTCCAACTTTGTCCTTTCATTGAAAACGCTTTGCTGAATATTTGGGATAGTAACTTGCTGTTCGGTTACAGTGTTGTCGGGACTCCCGGAATCCCCTTCAAAATGTGGCAAGCAAGTGTCAATATCCGTATCAAGTGATAAACCTTCCGCAGATTCTTTTTGAACATTAGAAGACAGTTGTTCGTCTCTAAGGGCTGCGGCAGCCACAAGGGCAGCTTTAGCAGCTTCAACCAACCTTAGAGACTGTGATGTGCATTCTCGGTCTTCCTCTTTATCGCAGTCCACGTTTTCCTGTTCCGCCAATCTTTCTTTCGGTTCTCCTTGTACAATATCTACACCTTGAGTATCTTGAACTTTTTGATTATCTACACAAGCTTCATTTTCTTGCCGAGGTTCATTCCAGTCCGTATTTGCTTCAGTCATCATCAAATGGCCCTCAACCAACTACGGAAATATTTCAAGTCGTCCTCGTATTCCCTCTTCATTCATTCAGTCTCATGTACGTTTCAGCAGCACGTTCTCTTCGTGCTGCGCGCACTGTTTTATTACACCGTACTGAAAAACGTTCAAGAACAGAAACAAGATTTGGAGCCAATGCGCGCTTAAACAACTCCTCAGTAGTTGGTACGATTTCCAGTCTTTCTTCATCTTCTGGTAACGGGCTTTCTTCACCTTGGAAAAGTTGTATAGACGCCACTCAGTTTGCTCCTGGTTCTTGTATTATTTCCAATTCCCATACCTCTTGGCCTTCTAGTTCCGTCTATGTCAGTAATTCGAACACAACTAAAGACAGTGAGGAACTGGGTCCCTTGACTGAAACTACTGGCAAATGGAGAGTTGCGCTAGCTCTCGCTGACTCAGAAAATTCAGGTCGAGGTAGGATATTTTGTTCAGAAGGCTCGTTGTTTTTGTGTCGCCGTTTTTCTATTGATACACGGCTGAATGGTAAAGATTATGAAGACCTTTTAGACTCAAGGGAAATGGCTCACGGTGAAGCTCAACCAAACACCGGAACAGTTGCCAATTCGTTGCCGGAAGAGTTTGTTGATGGAGTCCATTCTACGGAGTTTTCGACAGATATGACAAAGAATATTTTCGACTCAAAGGAGAATACTTTAAGATTTTCTTCTCCTTTATCCGGTGACTCTCTCTGGGGTAGTGGTGAATTTCGGGTTGCTATAAGCAATAGGGAAAACAATTGGTTACCAGAGAGCTTTCTTTCGGAGAGTCATATCGATTATTCTTTACAGGAGCTGCAGGATGTCACAGATGGAGACGAGATTGTATCCCGATGTGTTGATTCGATTGTCAATGAAACAACTACAGGAACAACAGAACAAGATAGTCATCACTTGTTGAATATGGACAATTCTCGTTTGGAGATGAGTGTTGATTTTGATGAAAATGCAAACTCTGCAAATCGATTCAGAACGAAGCACTCCGCTGAATATTTAAATCAACAGCGTGAAATTCGAGATACTATTAAACAAGAATTGCTGCAAGGTATTGAGCAAGCTAATGCCAAAGAAGAACTGGATAGCATGTTTAAGATTTGGGAAGAAAGCTTTAACGTTATTTCTGATGTAGTAGAAGAACAAAAGAATAGTATTGAAACTACGGAGAACCATTCTAATTCGGCTCAACTTTTTCAGAGTTCAGTTCTCAAGTTGGATAAGCATGTCAGTCCACGTTCTTGGCTATATGACATTGTGTTGCTTGAATGTTTTAACAGAGAAAAGATGGACCTTGTAGAACATATTCTTTATTGCATGTTTTGTGCAGGAGTAACGATAAGACCTCGATGGTTCTCGCAGTTGATCAATTTGTATAGTAAACGAGGACAACTTGGCAGTGCTTTTGGTGTTTTAGATTCTATGTCTTTATGGGGTGTGTTTCCTGATAGTTATGTTTATAGTTCTCTTTTACAGGCATGTGTTCGTAGCAATCGCTTTGACCTTGCTCTCAAGGTGTATGAACATTTGCAGCAAGAAGGTTATGTTATGGATGCTCATATGTACAACACTTTGGTAAATGGAGCTGGTTCTTTAGGGGATCTCGAAACCGCAGAAAGGCTAGTTAGACAAGCCCAAGAGTATAATGTTGGTCTGGATACGGCTTTATGTAATACTTTTTTGGTTTCTTGTGCAAAGCATCACGATATATCTCGTGCAGAACATTTGTTTTTAGAAATGAGTAATGGAAATATGGGCTCTTTGGCATTACCGAATGGAAAGACTTACAATATCTTGATCAACCTGTATTGCAAAATGAATCCACCACAAGTGGAACGTGCCCTTGAAATGGTTGAACGACAGAGAATGTATGGATTTTCTCCAGACGAGTCGACATTTTGTCCTATCATTGATGCATATTTTCGAGTGAATGATCCTTTCAAGGCAATTGAGCTATTTAAGAAACTCAGAACAGAGGGTTCTCCAAAACTCAGTCGAGTAACTTACGACACTGTGATCAACGGATTGGGTCGTTCAGGATACCTGGATGATGCTTTTGAAGTATTTCGCATAAGAGCCTCAGAGACATCCTTGGAGAGTTTGGATGATACAACATATAACAACTTACTCAATGCCTTTGTAGAAAATAATCGTTTAGATGAAGCAGAACGTTTCTTTCAAGAGTCCTTAGCTTCAGGATTTCAGCCTTCTACTGCCACGTACAATATTCGCCTTAAAGCTTTATTGTCTCAGGGTCACTTAATGCAAGGATTTAAACTTGTGGAAGAAATGGTTTCTCGTGGCATTCAACCTAATTTGATAACTTTCAATACACTTTTGGATATTGCGTTACGAGGTCAACATTATGTTTATATTGATAGCATTGTAAATGCCATTCGTAAGAGTAATGTGAGACCCGATATTTATACTTTCAATCTAAGGTTACAAGCAGCTTATCGTTTGGGTGTCTTTATGAAAGCTGAAGAGATATATTCCGAAATGATAGCGTCGAATATACGTCCTGATGTATATACTTATGTCTATTTGATGGCATGTGCAGGAAGAAGAAACGATACTGTGCAAGGTGTAAAATATTTGAAGGAAGCTGTAAAGAAAGGAAGACAACCCAAGGGACCTATAGCTTATAGACCATTATTACATGCTGCTATGAGAAACGGTAGTATTGAAGATGTGATTACCATCGTGAACGCAATGAAAGCCGTATCTTTGTATTTAGATGAAAAACTGCAGAGCCGCTTCATTTCTTGGTGTAGAAACAACAATGTGGACCCAAACTTGTATGTGAATCAACCATCTTTATAGAATATATTTTTTATTTTGATTGACGAGAAGCATTGCAAAAATGCTACTTTTTGTCTCATATTGTTTGGTTGTGTCATCCGCAAAGATAAATTTTTGTCTTTGAGAAATTATAATATGTTTGTAACGGAGCCATTCCATGTTCGAACAAAGTATAAATATCCTTTATGGAGTCTAACCAGAAAAAAGAACAGACTTTTAATACAAACGAGAACCTACTTATTTATTATTGCTTCTAACAAAGACAAGTCACAAGTTCCCCAAGTACCGATTGTCTCACCCAATCAAAAAACTTCAAAGCCTGAGTGGTTAAGGGCCATTGCACCGGAAAGAGTCCACAGTCGTTTTCGGCAACTGAAAGACACTGTGGCAGAATTGGGTTTGCATACTGTTTGTGAGGAAGCACAGTGTCCCAACATTGGCGAATGTTGGAACGGTGGTACAGCAACTGTGATGTTGTTAGGTGACACTTGCACTCGTGGTTGTCGCTTTTGTGCTGTGAAGACTAGCAATAGACCACCTCCACCGGATCCTTTGGAACCATTCAAAGTGGCACAAGCTTTAGCGGAGTGGAATCTAGATTATGTTGTTCTTACTAGTGTGGATCGAGACGATATACTGGATGGAGGTGCCGACCATTTTGCCAGAACTGTGGAATTGATAAAACTTGTCAAGCCCGAGATGCTCGTCGAGTGTTTGGTTGGAGATTTTAGTGGAAATCGACAGTCAGTAGAACGCCTTGCGACGTGTGGTATGGAAGTATTTGCTCACAACTTGGAAACCGTTGCAAGGTTGCAGAAATATGTACGTGATCGAAGAGCAAATTATCAACAATCTCTCGATATGTTAAGAGAAGCCAAGAAATTGAATCCTAGGTTGATTACCAAGAGTTCCATTATGTTAGGATTAGGAGAGACAGACCTGGAAGTGAAACAAACTATGCTAGATCTTAGAAAAGTTGGAGTAGAAGCATTGACTTTGGGACAATACTTAAGACCGACACCACAGCATTTGAATGTAGTTGAGTATATAACACCTGAACGCTTTGACCACTGGAAAAGGAATGGACTTGAAATGGGTTTTCTGTATGTTGCATCAGGACCCTTAGTGCGCTCATCTTATAAAGCAGGTGAATACTATATGAAGAATATAATAGAGTCTCAAAAGAATATTCATTCTTATGAATGAAGTTCGATATATATATATATATATATATATATATATATATTTCCTAGTGATGATGGATCATTTTCCTCATATCCTGATTTCCGTATGATTGGTATTTTATCAAACTTTTATCTAACCAAGTTAGCAGAATTAGAGAGTACAAAATATGTTCACCATTCTTCTTGACTTTTCCGGACAATGCGACGAACTTTTTTCTTGAATAACTGTTGATCTTCTCTCCATTCCTTCTAAAGTTGTCAAAAGCAAACCATGATAAGAATGGCTTTATAGAATAAACGTCAAAGTTCTTACCGCCGCGTCTAAATTGGCAGGAGACTCATCGTTTGGAGAAGCAAGCATAGATATTACACTGACCAAAATGGACTCAACCGTATGAACAGCAGTCCAACGTTCCGAAGCATCTTCATAGTTATGAGGATCGTCTCCAGGAGGGTGCAAGATAGATATACAAACTCTTCCATCTTGATAAACATTAGGGTGCCACATCTCGGAAGTAAATCTCATCGTGGGAGGCATAACCGGATAATCTGGAGGAAAGACTAGACGTGCCTTAAAGACACCTCCCTCACTAGGCAAATACAAAAGAAAGAAACTTTAGAAGATCCTTTAACAAATGAGATGACATACTACAAGGTATCTGGAGGACCACTTAAAATAACTTGCCATTCAAAAGGATTGGTTTCATCTACGAGACCAGCAGAAAAACCACAGTCGGGGTTTCTGTTAAGCTCTGAAAGGTTTCATAAAGTGAAGAGAAGTTCATAGTTTTAGGTTATTAAACTAACCTTTTAGTTGCTTCATTAAAAGTAAAGCGGCTTGACTTTGTTGTCTACCTGCCATAACTGGTTTAAAGGACAAGACTTGCCACAGAACGACAATTCAACACAAATCCAAAATAAATTGATTTATCCATATTGCTTTTATGGATACTTGTTTATCACAGAAGAATTGTTCAGAGTGCCTTGAAATAGAAAATACAGTGCGTAGTTTGCAATTGTGCGATGGTGTGAGGAATCAGACTATTTGTATGCGAAAGCTAGGTTTGTCGACCTTTTTGTGTATCGTTGAGGCTTTCTCACTTTGTTTCAAAAGGCAGTTATCTGCGACGCTGTTTGAAGCAAAGTAACGTTTGCCAAGTCGCAGTAAGAAGATGCAGTAGAATATTGGCAGTGTTTGCTTCTGGACAGAAAGATTCTGATGATAATTTGGGACATTGTCTACCCTTGGCAAATAGCGTTCAGTCCGTTGCCATTCATATATTGGAACAACTGGAACTTCTTAACAAGTCGTTTTCCACGTGGTTTCAGATTATGAATGACTGTAACGAGTACTCTAAAGAGCAACCAATAATATTTCAACTATCTACGATTGTATTAAAAAAATTCAATCAACTTTTGCACAAAGTATTCTGTCATCTAAAGTTTCAGTCACCGCAAACAGATTTGTTTCATTCGGTGTTTTTTAATTATTTTGAAAAGGACCGTTGCTCTTCGTTACTATTGTTTCAAGGAGATACGCACCATCCATATGTAAGTGGCTCAGATATACGATTCATTTCTGTTGTTGTCTACGAGGCTTCTTCTCGTGCTTTGATTTTGTATCCTTTGTATAGAAAGGAACCAATTACGAATACTATGAAACAACGAGATATTTCAATGTATGAGAACGAATGTTGTATGATATGGTTTGGTTTAGTTATCCTTTCGTCCGATGTATTGTATGAATATTATAACTTGTTTTGTAAGGAGGAATCAATGCAACATAATACTAGTTGTTCAATATTGTTTTTTGAAACATCTTTACCAGATACAAACAATTGCATCGAAAGCACTATGAAATTATTGCGACGCTGCCTTTGGATAGTATTGTCAGATCATGATGAGTCTCATGTTTGTGCTATCTTGAATTTTATAAACAGAACCAGTGAAGTTAGAATTCTTTTGAGAGCTCTAACTACCCAACTGGAATGGTTTATTAGTCAAGAAAGGATTCCTCGTGACTCGATTTTGGCTGCTAGTTTTTCATGGATTTGCTTGCAGTCTCTATTATGTAAACCTGAAATTGATAGTCAAAATGTTGAGGAGGAATTTGATATTTCGCGAAATTTTGAAGTTTGGATGAAATCTGTTTTTCCTAGTTTTTCCAAGTTATCGATATGTATCGGTGTTATCGACTATTTGAATTATATGAACAAGTCCTCTTCAGAAAGAACTTTGGAAACGTCAATGAACAATAATGCCTCCTTGTTAATGGCGATTTTTAGAACTTTGCAGAATTTTTGTCAACTTCGTGAAGATTCGCATTTCCATTTCATGGCTTTGGATGGTCTTCGCCGCTGTATTTTGAAACTTATCGATTCTTCTTTAATGACGGCTGAATTGATAAGGGAAATCTTTACAATTCTATGGCAACGTTGTCAAGAACCAATAAGAGGCGTTTCTAATCAAATGAGGGACATTATTCAAGACTTGCTTTCTCTGAGTTCAGATTCGAGAGTTCCAGTTAGTGAGCAGCAAAGAATGAAACTTTTTTGGAAAGAATTTTATCAATCTCTGCTATCTGGAACAATTTCAACCAAGGCACAGTTTGTCATTATAGAAAATCTTTTATCTTTTATGGGAGGAAGTTGTCAGCTATTAAAAATTTCGCCAGGTTTTCCAAAACAGGCACTGTGGGCAGTTTCTGCAGATCAGTTTTGCTCTACAGCTGCAGCACATTGCTTGGAAAGCTTTTGGAAACTTCTGTTAGAAGAAGTTGGTGAACAATGCTTTATTGAAAAGACTAGAGGTGATTTACTGGAATCCATAATGAGCGCTAAGAATGCTCTTCAGGAAGAACGTTTAATATCGCAAGCACTTGGAACATATTTGAAGTTGCCTACAGATCGTACAGATTGTCTAGTTACTCTATTAAATGGAATTTCAGACATAAGTAGAGATGATTGGCACACCACAAAGCTAAAACTAATTGTTCTGTCCAATGGAAGGAAACATTGTCCTGGTTTAAGTCTTCGTTATTTGGAAGATTTGGGTTGTTTTAGTGTTTCAGAAAGAGAATCAACAGGTAAGGTTTGGATTTATGAGTATGTATTCCACTCAATGCTTGTATTTAGTAACATTCTCAATGGAAGAATTGAATCTTGCTCTATCCAGCGAGAACGATATCTGTCGATTTGCTGTAATAGACTGTCTTACAGAATCATCTTCCAAAGTGGAACCACTTGATAGTTTTGAATTACGTCTATTGCCGCAACTGTTGCCATGGTTTTTGTTTGAATCCAAATCTTCAGCAAGTTGGAGATTTCTTCATATTATTTCACGCTTGTTGAAACGTTTAGAACATAGCATAGATGCCAAAATTCGTGAGAGACAGACATCATTCCTTCAATGGGAACATAATGTTGTTCAAAGAAAGCAACCGATTGCTAGTGTCGCAGAAGTTGATGTTTTTCTCTTTCAAGCTGTGGAAGTGGTAAAGCAAATATACCGCTTGTTTTTTTATCATTTAGTTGCTTCGGATGTAAATACCTTTCGTCAACAAAATGCTTCTAGTCTTTTAAAGGAGTGGATGTCCATTTCTTTAGATAAGGAGTCTATTGTTTCTACTGTTTCAAAGACATTGACACAGCAGCTTCTGTATACCTATTATATTTCCATGTTGAATGGATCAGAAAAACTCGTGAAAACTGTCTCTCAGCTTTTAAGTATGTATCGGCTGGACTTGCCTGTTACACACGAATCATTCGATTGGATTTGGAAAGTTTGTTTTCACCATCTCAAAAGTGTTCGTCCCTCACATGCTGAATGTGGTGCTCAAGTCATCAGAATTCTGTTCAACGAGTTTGTAAAATCGCGTGGCTATTATTTCGCAGAATGGTGTTTGAAAAGAACACAAGATAATTTCTGTACGTCTGGAATACAAGTAACGGATCCTGCATTAGCCTCTTTCTATTTCTTATCTTGGTTTTTGAACCAGAGCAAGTCAAAATTTGATTCTTGTATTGTTACACTTTCCCATTTATACGAAGAAGATTGGCTATTTGGATATTTCATACTTTTTAAATATCTTTTCCAAGATGCATGGATGCCGGAGTTATGGTCGAGCTTTATTACAGTGGAAACTATCAGATCTAAGATAGCAAATCCTCTAATGGAACTAATTTCTTCTTCAGTAATGGAAAGTTTAAAAGGAGTAGGATATATGGAACCTTGGATAGGAGTATATTTGCAGTCTATTTCAAATTTATCAAGAGATAACTCATCGATAGAAACAGTTGAGAATGACAGTTCATTTCAAAGAAAACTTATAGTTGGCTCTTTTCATTGTCTTAAAGAGGTTTGTTCGTTGATTACAATGATTATTCAAACGGTTTGTGAGCAGAAGACTATTGAAAATGAAAAAAGAAAAGTTCAGCCTTCTTATGTTACCAAAGGTGGGATTTTTTGTTTCTAATTATTGTTTGAACCCTGTTTGATCAAGAAATCTCCTAGGATTGCGAAGAAGTTGGAACCTTACAGACAGTATGAATCAAGTGTGGACTATTCATGATGTAGAGTGTCTATTTTCTCTACAAATGGAAGTGATGTGTTGTACAACACACAATGGAGTAATGGAAACTGTAGGAGATTCTCTATTGCTAAGCAGCAAAGCTTTATTTCGTTCTACTCGAGCGGAGTGGTCAGAACTTCCTAGAAAGAAACTTTTTCAAGTTTTATCAGAGCTTTCGAATGCCAAATTTTATTCCTTTAGACGTTCTGCAGGTTTACCGTATTTTATTCGTGCTGTATGCTTGGCTGCAGAACAAGCGAGGTTGAAGGAGATCACGCCCAAAGTCTTGCAAGAATTGATTGATGGACTTGACAATTTTCTTGATGAGGATAAAGCTGAACCTTTCTCTGATGGAATTGAGTCTGACACATTCCCAATCGATGCCTCTTTGATACATATTATGAATATATTACATTTGCTTCTTCAAGATGGGAGCCTATCCGATGTTACTATGAACTTTGCGGAGCGTAGCTTTATCAATGCAAGAAGAGCTTATGCTTCATCTAAATGGTAACATTTTGTGCTCTTCTTTTAGCTTGACGTTGTTTTGAGCAATGTTATGCATAGGTCCATTCGTAATAGTGCCATGTTGCTAGCTGGAGCTTCTTTGCGACGAATCCTCAAGATCTCCGGTGAAACAAGAGAAAGAGAGTATTCTCAATTTGTGCTGCCAGTTGATTCAATAGTGTTGCCTAGTGTGCAAGTTGAAGTTGAATCGGTCTTGACTTTTGGAGAACTTTTTGGAAAACTTTTTCCTACCTTATTTCAACATATTTCAACAAGTTTGGAACAAGTTCAAAACCAACTGTTGCAGAACCATTCCAGTCAAAGATCTGCTCACATGACTAGCATCTATCCAGTATTATGTCTTTTATCGACTTTGCGCAATTCGAGCAGCAATATGCTATCATGCACTATCAGAAATAATCCTGAAAAGACAAAAGTAGTATGGAATTCGATTGAACAATCTCCGCATCCTTTCTGTTCTTCATATGAGATCCAACTGCTACCATCGTTACTTGAGAGACTGATCACTTTTCTACAAGTACGAGAACAGTATGTTCGTCTTGCAGCAGGGACATCTTTATGTCGTATGGTTCATGGAACGCCTTGGTCTTTGCAATTATGGATGTCCCTTTTGGAAAGTCTTCCACTTATCCCAATTAAATGTCTATGCAGCCCTGAGTCTACCGCCGATAAAGTTACACAAAGGCTGATATCACGAAATATTATTCAGATGAAGTTTACAAAATGTCAACAACATCCATCGGATCTGTATCCACTGCAAATAGAGTATTTACCTGTATTCTTGAAAAACAAAAATGACATTATATGGAAACAATATTCCATTTCATTTATTACATCTTTAAATGCTAATCCAAGAGAAGAATGGGAGTTTGTTTTATCTTCCATCAACGATATCTATTTAGTGATGCCTAGATTGTCTTGTTGTCACCGTATGCGTTGCAGTTTCCAAAGAAATCAAGTTCTGGACATCGAATATACCGATGAGGAAGTTCTCTTTCATTACAATAATGCAACTTATTTTCCTTGTGGTTTTCAAGCGATATCCTTGTCATCCATTCAGAACATGCTGCAGGGGAAGTTGTTTACATGTATCAAATTATTCAAGGAAAATGTTTCCTATTGGACGGAATCTTTACTATTTGAACAGTGTTTAAAAATTTTTTATGATTTTGTATTGGAATATTTATCATGGATTGCTGTATCCGTTTGTGTTCCACCACTGACTCGCAGCATGTGGTTCACGTGGATGTGTGAGTTGTTGAATGTATTGAAAGGAAGCGATCGCTATTTTGATAATGATGATAGTAATGTCTACAAATTGACCTTGCGAATTCATGAGGATAGTGTTGATTGGATTTTTCAAGTTTTGTTTCTTGAGTATCACTACGCTATAATGAGGCATCAATCTTATGCTGATGGTTTACGTTTGGGTCAAACTCAACTAGTAATTGAAGCTTTGAGACTCCTAGAAACTCTAGATGAGAAATGGTTGTTTTCATTGGATGCTACTTCATTATTGTCTTCCTTGTCTATGGATACTGAAAGGAATTATCACGAAAGCAAAGAAAAGCTTCTTACTGAGCTACCAAATTTACTTGAGCATTCTTGCTTACAAGTCCAAAGAGCCATTATGGGTATTTTTGAGAAATGGACAAAATATTGGTTTTCAGAGGATGGCCTGGATAGGGACATGGTTAGAAATATTCTTAAATTGTTAGGAATCCATGTGGAAGGTATCCTGACCAATAGTAATAGTGCCAGTGATACTTTGGCGGTTGTATTGCATTTTTATCGATGCCAATTGACGCATTTGCTTTCCATGCCGGCAGATAATGTAGCAAGTTGTATTAGTTCATGTTCTCACATGTCACTTTTGGAATGCATTTATTCAGGATTGCATAACTTGAACTTCAAGTCTGAGAATGAAATTATATATCATCTTCTAGTTCGAACGAAGCAAATCATAGGACATTATTCATCTTATACAGTGTTGGAAGAAGCATTTCCTTTATATGCAGTTATCTTACAATTTCAAGATGCTCGTTTGCCAGCCAAAATAGTGGAAAGTATTCCTGACCAGTTGATAGGATTCGAAGAGATTTGGTTTAAGGATGTAGAATTTTTTTTGGAGTTTGTGGAAACAAATCCTTATATGCATCCTGCTCCATTTCGCATGGCCATTTTGGATTCACTGTTGAGTTTGGGTGTTGTTCTTTTTCAGAAAATTTTGGAAATGGTTTACTCAAACTCATGTGCACCTTTGGTTGAAGTTGATAGAGATTCTAATTCGTGCCTGAAGAATATATGGGTTCGTTTCTGTTTATGTATTCTGCACTATTTGCAAGATGAATATATTGACGTTCGTAATAGAGCTGCAAAAGGTTTGTATCATATCTTAAAAGACAAATACGAATTTCCAACATGTCATCCTAATTGGTTTCAAGCCTTGAATTGGATATTTGACAAATGTTTCTCATTGGAGTTTATTATGCTTCAGGAAGAAACGCAAGGTTCAGTGCTTTGCCATTCTCTTGTCTCATTTATAAGAAAAACTCTGTATCTTTCATTCCAAGTGACTGACGATGCAAGCAAAGACAATCCAGAATATATGATATATGAGACCTGTCCATCTCATGTTATAGAGAATGTTTTAAATCAGTGGCAAAATTATTTTCACACCTCTTCCATGGAGTTGTTTGAATGTGATCCCAGCAATAGTTTTGAGGAACCTTTGTTACAAATGCAACATGTAGCTGTACTCTGCAGGACAATCTTGTTGTCTTCATATGGAAAGTCATATCAGATATGGAGAAGGCGTTGTTTTGCGATAGCCGTCAACCATTTGTGCTTTCTGCTGAGTTGGGTGTTCTATATAGAAAAGAGGGAGATGATCGGTTTCCTTCCAGACTTTTTTCGGCCAGTGTATATCTTAGTGCTTCAAATGTTCATCTTAGATGAAGGTCTTGAAACCTATCAACAACACAACGAATCGAGAATTGAAAATGCCATATGGTATTTACAAAAATTGTCCAAAGACATTCGATTGACGAATAAGATACACAAGATCCTTGAAGATAGTTTGGAAAACTTTTTGTATTGGCATTTTCAACGCTCGCGTCCAGAAGAACCGCAGGACTTGCTGTTTTTACTTGGTAAAACTTGTTGACAGCAGTATTTATAAGCCTTGCTCAACACACTGGCCTCGAATTCACGAGGACGGAAGTTTCAAAACTCTAGGAGTGTTTTGAGTGAAGGTTTCCTGAGACCTTCTCTGAGAATACGTACAAACAACGTAAGTGCTTTGAATATTTGCAAGTGCTATTGTTGTGATTCTAACGGAAGCCTAGAAGAGTTGGTTACAAAGAATCTGGAAAAACTTGTGGAACAACTCAGACTCAACTTTTACTCGTTATCATTCTCCTTCTAGTTGGGACTTTCCTACATTTCCTTCAGGTAACCGTTCTGCAAAAACAAAGCTCAACGTACATTCCTATCAGCAAAGTATGAAAGCCCCCTTGCCACCAAGTGCACTGCCCAGTTCCCGTTCAAGAGCTGCAAGATATCGAACTTCCCTGATGGGACAACGTGATGATGCTGACTTGTACACTCCTATAAATAGTTCCAGCACTACTTCTCTCTCAGTTGGCTTGCAGGGTAAATCTCCAAAGTATTGGTTAGATGATACTGACAATGGCGTTGATAACTTGGATTTGGAAGCAGATGAAGTCTTGGAAGAAGAAGATTCTTTAGAACCAATCGAAAGTTCCAGGAAACGTTTCCAATGGCATAGATTTTGGAAGAAACTTGGTCAAAGATCCTTTTGGAAGAGAAAATCGAACAGAGAGGAAGAACAAGATAGGATAATTTCTTTGGCGTCGATTGACAGAAGACAGCCCAAATCTCAGAATCGAGTACGAAATCAACAGTATAATATTTTCAATTTCTTTCCGAAAATATTATTTGAAGAATTTCGCATGTTTTACAACTTATTCTTTCTGGGTGTTGCGCTATCACAGCTGATTCCTCCACTTCGTGTAAATTATCTCTTTACATATTTGGGACCGTTGATTTTTGTGCTTTCAGTATCGATATCCAAAAAAGTGTATGATGATTGGCAGAGATATTGTCGAGACAGAGAGGTTAATATGCAGACATATACTAGACTTTTAAGAGATGGCAGTCATGGCACTATATATCGGAAAGATATTGGAGTTGGTGACGTTTTAATTCTTCATAATGATGACCGGGTTCCAGCTGATTGTTTACTGTTGAAAGCGAAACATGACAGCAAAGGCACTATTTTTATAAGAACAGACCAGCTGGATGGTGAAACGGATTGGAAACTTAGAAGAGCCGTTTCTTCTACTCAAACTATTGAGGATGATAAGCAGTTGGTCGGTTTAGACGCATTTGTGCATTTAGAAGCTCCAAGAAAAGAAATTTACGATTTTGTGGGAAATTTCTCGATTTCTCAAAGCGAAGGTTCTGAAGAGAAGGTCTATATAGAGGAACCTCTTTCCTTGGAAAATACAATATGGGCGAATACAGTTATTGCTTCTGGAAGTGCAGTTGTGTTGGTTTTGTATGTTGGTGAGGAAACACGAAGTGCATTGAATGCTTCAAAACCCAAGTCGAAAGTTGGAAAATTGGACTGGGAACTGAATAGAATTTCGAAAATGCTCTTTTTCTTTCTTGGTTCAATGTCCTTTGTTTTGTTAGTTTTGAAAGGATTTCAAGGACGTTGGTACTTATATTTTATGCGCTATTTCTTATTATTTTCTTCGATAATTCCTATCTCCATGCGAATTAATTTGGATATGGCACGAACTATTTACTCATATTTTATTCAGCATGATCAAGACTTGCACGAATGCATTGTACGGTAAGTGTTGTTGAAAGACCCGACAAATTAAATTGATTCAATTTTGTTGGTATAGCTCGTCCAACCTTCCAGAAGAGCTAGGGCGTATTGATTATCTTCTCTCTGACAAGACAGGAACGTTAACAAAGAATGAGATGCATTTGAAGAAATTGCATTTGGGAAGTTTATTATTTAGTAAGGATGATTTGGAGGATTTGAGGAAATATGTTCTCTGGGGCTTTACGGAAAGAGCTGATAAATATTCTCTCGGCAATAATACTACTTTTCTATCCAGTGACTCACTTTTATCAAGTACCGGAAGTCAAATAGCGCATCCTCAAAGTTTACGACATATTCAGGTATGTTCAATATCTACTTATAGTAGTTTTGTGCGATAATTTTTTTATAACCATCACTTTTTGTTTAGACTGCGATATCGCAAACTTTGCTGGCAATAGCGATTGCTCATCATGTGACGCCCTTTATTGAAGAAGATGGAACCAGAACTATTCAAGCAGCTTCTCCAGATGAAGTTGCTTTGGTTAATTTTTGTGAAGAATGTGGAGTGATTTTATTGGAAAGAAGTGCTTCTCTTATTCGCTTACGAACCCCTACTGGTGCAGAAGAGCAGTTTGAAATATTATGTGAATTTCCTTTTACGTCAGCAGCTCGACGGATGGGTATAGTGGTTCGTGACCTGCAAACGATGGAAACCGTATTTTATGTGAAAGGAGCTGATATGATTATTGCTCAGTTGGTTCATGAAAACGATTGGTTGGATGAAGAAAGTGGAAACCTTGCTCGTGAAGGTCTTCGAACTCTAGCGTATGCAAAGAAGACATTAGGAAATGATGAATTGGAGAAATTCATGAAAGAATATCAAGCAGCACAACGCACTATTAAGAATCGTTCAGATGCGATAAGTGCGGTTCAGAGGAGCTTAGAGAAAGATATGGAAGTCATTGCACTGACTGGAGTGGAAGACAAGTTGCAAGATGGTGTGAGGGAAACTATTGAAAAGCTGCAGCATGCAGGTATTCGAATATGGATGTTAACTGGTGATAAAGTTGAAACGGCGACCAATATTGCCGTAAGTTCTCGATTGGTGCAGCGCTCCAAAGGTATTTGCACCATGACAGGAGTATCCAATCGAATTGAGGCATCGCGTCAGCTATCGTTGTATAGACATCGAATAGGAGATGTGTTGATTGTGGATGGTCCCTCCTTGCAAACCCTACTGACTTTTTGTAGAGAAGAATTTCTGCAACTCTCTTGTCTGTCTCCTTGTGTAGTTGTCTGTCGTTGTAGTCCTACTCAGAAGTCTTTAGTTGTTCGACTAGTTCAGTCTTACACCTCAAGTCGAGTTGCTGCTATTGGTGATGGAGGAAATGATGTGTCGATGATTCAACAGGCAAACTTTGGAATTGGAATACCTGGAAAGGAAGGAAAGCAGGCTTCCTTGGCATCCGATGTAAGCATTACTCAATTTTCTCATTTGACTTGTCTTCTTTTATGGCATGGACGAAATTCTTATAAACGTTCAGCAAGATTGGCGCAGTTTGTCATTCATCGAGGACTTATTATTGCCATCATTCAAATGGTTTACTGCGCAATTTTCTTTTATGCTGCAATCCCAATATTTGAAGGTTGGATTCTGGTTGGTTATGCAACTATATATACAATGTTTCCTGTCTTTTCGTTGATTTTGGATGTGGATGTGACAAAAGAGATTGCATTTACTTATCCTGAATTATATGCAGATCTTCGAAAGGGGCGTTCTCTGAACTTGAAGACCTTTTTGACATGGTTGTTAAAGGGACTTTATCAAGGAATGACCATAATGGTGGTGTCTGTATACGTGTTGTGGAATGATGAATATTTTTCAACAAGTTCGTTGATTTCTGTAGCGTTCACTTCGTTGATACTTACAGAACTGTTGATGGTAGCTGTGGAAATTCGCAAGTGGCATAGATTGATGGTTGTTGCAGAATGCATCAGCTTGATTTCTTATGGTTTATCATTATTTCTTTTGCGTACCGTGTTTGATTTGTATCTAATTCTTCGGTGGAGTTTTTGGTTAAGAATACTGATTGTCACTACAATAAGTTGTTGCCCTGTAGTAGTTGCAAAGTTTATCAATCGAAAATGTGCACCTCCATCCTATAGCAAATTGATTTAATTTGGTGCAATAATGAATTGTTGTCGAGTTCAAATAGGAAGAAGATTCAAAACGACAGTATACACAATGTGTGAAACCGAGCAAACACAATCTAAACATCTTTTTGGTAGTTAACTGGTGGTAGTATTCGTTGTTGACATGATATATGCTGAATGACACGTCTCTCATATAAAAATGAAAAATAAATAGACACTATTGTGATGGTGCAATGAACATTTCGTCACTTTCTAGAATTCTTCAATCAACCTTGGTTGTGTTTTGGTAATGACCATTTTCATAATTCCTCTTCATCTCCTATTTCTTGAATTAGAAAACAAAGAAATATCTTTGCCTCCAATGCCAGCATTCAAAACATGAGAAGCATTTGGGCTATTTGAAACGACATTTTGCTTTGAATCCTTTAAAGTGTCTACTCCTCCTTCACCCAACATTCTGCGAGAAGTCTCTTCTTCCTTCACTAAAGGACTTGATAAAATTGGAGCTGTACCTATACCACTAGATTCCAATCTCTCCGTATGATCCAATATCCGCTCTTCTTGTTGTTGATCTAGTGCAACTGCAAGGGAGTCATCACGGTTCTTCGTTTCACGATGTACAGCGGTAGCATTGGCTCTCAGGGAAGACGATGCGTTTCGAGTCAAGGCAGTCCAGTCAAATACATAGTCATCAGGAAATCCTTTCTTTCGATAAAGTGCTTGGAATATAGAACGAAGATAGTCGTAATCTGGTTTCTCCTCAAATCTACACAAATGTCAACTTCATGCCTCAACAACAGCTGTTCTATAAAACTTACTTTAGGGAGCGACAGTAGTTGAGATAAATTGCAAATTCTGCGGGATATCCTTTACATAATACTTCAATGGGCGTATTAGCTTTCTTGTCGCTTATTTTTTGATATTTTTGTTTCTTCGTAGCAGCCTTAAGACCCTGCCATGGTAAACTACCGCGGTTAAAGTACATCAACACATATCCAAGAGATTCCAAATCATCTCTTCGACTCTGCTCCAAACCTAAATGAGTATTGATGGACGCATATCTTGCAGTGCCCGTCAGATTCTTTCCTTCTCTATATGGAATATGCACATGTGTCTTCGGATCTCTGTACCTTTTGGATAAACCAAAGTCAATCAAATAGATCGTCTCTGAATGCTTCCCTAACCCCATAAGGAAGTTGTCTGGTTTAATATCTCGGTGAATAAAACTTCGTGAATGAATATATTCAATACGAGTAATAGTCTGAATAGCAATCATCAAAACAGTTTTCAACGAGAACTTGCGATGACAAAAATTAAACAGATCTTCAAGACTCGGGCCTAAAAGTTCCATCGCCATTACATTAAAATCACCTTCTTGACCATACCATTTAACTGTTGGAAATCCTACCACTGGTTGTCCCTAATTCCAAGAATATAAAAATACTGTGAGTTGTAACAAAAAAAACATACACAAGGAGATATTGCTAGGTATCGGTAGATTTTACTTTCATACAACAACTGGGGATGCTTCGTTTTTGCAGTTTCGAACTTCAAAGCAACCTCCTCCATAGTATATATATTTGTTCCTAGCACAAGTTTCGATTCAGATCTCATAATACCGTTTTGTAAGTGTCATATCAATACCTAAATAAATTTCTCCAAAAGAACCGGAACCAATTTTTCTTCCAAGACGCCACTTTCCCGCTACAACACGGTCACTACGGCTCGATTTCTCACCCATTCTGAAAAGTTTTCTATCTAAATTTTCTCTGTTTTCTGAAGAAGAAATAAAGTTTGTAGAACCCTGCAACTCTGCTGTCTTGTCAAAAAACCCGTTGTTTCTTTTCTGAGCTGTTATTTTTTCCAAAGTTTCTTGTTCTGCAACTGGTCTAGTTTCAAGTTCTTCTTCTTTTGATATTCCTTGACGACTGGCTGAGATAGTTGGAACTGCTTGCTCTCGGTTCAAACAAAGAGGGTATTCCAAAGTTCCTTCCAAAGGAGTACGTGAATAACTTTCTAACTTCTTTGTTTCAGCTGTTGTCTCAACACAAGTTCCTTCTATTCTTCCCAGACTACGAGAAGGTTGACCACTTTGTTCCTTTCTAAACTGCTCCGTTTCTTCAAGCACGTTTTCCACTTGGGAAGCCTTTCTATCTCTAGAAACTGCCAATGATGACGAAAAGGCTTCAACTGAGCTACTAAGCTCTAGCTCTGTCTTTCTCTCTTGTTGCTGACTTGGGTGCTTCAAACTGGGACTCGTCGCAAAGGACGTTGAGTTCTCACGAGAGTGCTTGTTTCGAAAGTCTGTGTGGGCAAAGCGACGTCCCTTGTTTTCACTAGTAAACAAGAAACGTTCTCGATTCGTGGAGCCACTTGGCTCCTTTGCTTGTCGGTTACCCAAAACGAAGAAAGCTGCCAAGACAGCTACACCTCAAAAACCCCAAAACGAGCTGTTGATGGGCCAAAAGCTATTACAACTTAGAAATCCATTGCACATATGTTTGTAGTCCACTCAAGTTTAACTTGGAGAAAATCACTTTATTCTCATAAGAAAGTCCATCAACAGTTACGCTTATTTTGTAGAGTGGAAAAATATCATAACATAGGTATTATTGGTTGTGGAATCTCTGGTCTATCTCTCTGCTATTATCTTTGCAGGTTATCAGCTGACCTAGAGAAACCTTGTCACATAACCGTTTTTGATTCTTTTAGACCTGGAAATGGTGGAGCTTCTAGAGTAGCAGCAGGTTTATTGCACCCGTTTTCACCCAATTCAAAGCTTCTTTGGAAAGGACAAGAAGCGTTCCGGAGTGCAACTCAACTTATTTCTCTTGTAGAGAGTCAGCTCAACTCAAAAGTTGTTCAAAATAATGGTAGATAGAATTGCTGTATCGAATATCTTTTGTGAAAGCGTTGAATAGGAATCATGCGACTTGCTTTGACGGAAAAACAACATAAAAAATTGCAACAAGCGTCCATATCTTTACCTCATTTAGTTCAACTCTTTCATTGTAAAGATTTGTATCAAGTTCTGGGTTGGAATAGCTCGGCGATGTCAGGTTTGCTTTTAAAAGATGCTTACACCATTCAGACCCGTAAATATCTCGAGGGTTTGTGGAATTTGTGTTTGCAGTTTGGGATAGTCGAGTGGAGACCAGAAACAATATCTCATTTAAAAGTGTTTGAACAAACAAATGAGTTTCACGATGTCGTTATTTGTGCTGGAGCTGATACTAACTCCATCAAAGGTCTATCGGAACAAGTGTCGATAACTCGTTCGTTTGGTAGAAATTTGTATTATCGGTGGAATGGAACTATGGACAAGTTGGATGTATTGAAAATGCCCATCATATGTGGAAAATATCTAATTCCTAATAAGACGACATTTACTGCTGGAGCCACTTTCGATAGAGAACCTTGTACTTTAGATCAACTTTCGGAGGACTATGAGATAGCAAATATCCATAGCAGATTGGATAAACTCGTCTCTGGAATGCTCAATCATATGCAGTGTATTCATATTGACGTAAGTCGACGGAATATAACATGAGAAACTGCTCAACTTTGATAAATAGGGCGCATTTAGAGCACTACCAGAAAGAACACAACTTGGTTCTATTCCAATATTAGATTTGGCTAGCAAGTTTAAGAAATGTAACATCTGGTTGTACACTGGTTTAGGTTCTCGTGGACTTCTATATCACGCTTGGTTATCCGAACATTTGGCAAAGGCAATTGTATTCAATGACGCTAATATACTTCCACAACAAGTAAGAAGATATCATCCCAACTTGGCATAGCAAAAAAAAGAGCATTTAAATATTGCTCAATTATTATTCGAAGAAAAGGCGGAAGAACCCAATCCAGGCTGACCCATTTGAGCACCTAGTGTCGCTTTTAATTGAAGAACTTGTGCTCGTTGTTCAGGAGGAAGACTTTCCAACTCTGCAGGAGTCAAGTTGATGATGTTTTGTAGGAGAGCAGCTTGTTGAATCATATCATTGGGCGGGAGAGAAGTTCCCATAGCGAATCCACTCGACAGACTGGGAGCCATAACATTACTGGGATAAAAAGTCTGATTCATCAAGTCTCCGGCACTGTTGTTAGCATTTGAGGAAGGAGTAGACTGTGATGGCCAACCCTACGAATATTATTTGAATAAGAAAACGCAGAATCTAAAAAATATATCAGCTTACAGTCGGTGGTGCCAAACCTAACATGATTTGACCTTGTAAAAGAGCATAGGTCAGCTGTGGATTGGCTAATAATAGTTGTCTGACTTGTTCAGGATTTTGTTGTGCCAAAGCTTTCATTTGGAGCATAATTTCATGTATCTGCTGACAGGAAAGCTGCTCCAGTGAGCCTTTTGCACCGAGATTGGACAATCCTTGAATATTTCCAGTTCCTCCCGAAGTATTCAAAGCCCCAGCTTTCATATTTGACGCCGTTGAGGGATTGTTGTTTCCTGTTTCCATATTGGCTGCTGATTGACCCAGTTCCCTCTTATCTGAGTCCGCCAAATCTACTCGCAAAGTTCTTCCATTCAACTCAGTCCCATTAAGATTTCTAATGGCAGATAAGGCCATTTCCGCGTCAGGATACTCACAAAAAGCATAACCTTTCGGTTTCCCAGTTTCTCTGTCATATACCACACGAAAGGATAATATAGGACCTATCTGACTCAATATTTCTTGCAACTGTTCTTCTGAGGTGTTGTATGCTATATTTCCAACTTGGTCAAAGTTAGTTGTTTTGTAAAGTATATTATGCTGCTTTTTCTTACCAAAAACTGTCGTTGAACGTCCCATTGTTCTATCAACTCCTCTTTTCAAAAGATTATGAATTAAGTAAATTATTACTTTGTACGAATGTTTCTTTTTGTGACGTCTGGAAGAATACTCTCAAACCACAAAGAAAGAAATCATTCATATACTTGTCTTAAAGAACTAAATCTTTCAAGCATTGTATTAGAACCTCTTAGAAAAAAGGTTTTTGGACTTTCCAATCAATTCACTGTGGTTTATTGTTCTTCCTATGAAGTGAATGGAAGCTCTCAGGCAAGCTCAAGTTCTTCACAAGAAGAAATAGAGAGAAAACGGCAATACTTGGAAAGGAAGTATAGATTTTTTGAGGTAATTCTATTTGTTTAATCATATGTTATTTGTTTAAGTGAATTTTCTACTGTAGAAAGAATTTGCTTGTATACAGCCTTGCACCTTTTGTAAGGGTAGTGGCAAGATTCCTTGTAAATTTTGCAATGGAACTGGTTTTATGACGTTGGGAGACACACTTTTATGTTCCGTGAGTGGTAACTGTGACTGTGTTGTCTGCCGTGCACAAGGCGAAGTTGACTGTGAACACTGTCGAGGAACGGGACATATTGCTGGTTGGTTATCATAGTTACACAAAGATACGCACATAGAGTTTACTAATATACTGGAAGAGAAAACCAGCTAGCCAGTGGAGCAAAACTTGATTTTCGGCTAAACTAGGACAGGTGCAATACTCTTTCCCGTAAGCTCCTCATAAAGTTGTCTCATTTTGAGTGCCGTTAGAACTTGAAAGAGTCCAGTTCCATTATTTGAACCTGGAGCAGAAGAATTTCGCAAGAGTTGTTGGGTTATTTCTCCATAAAATTTGGTGGAAGTATTATTAAGATGGGACTCTATATAGATAAGTTCCTCTAGTTTCTCAAAGTTTCCGTCAACTTCTAGAACAGAAACATCATGATTGTACCAGTTATCTGGTCCATAGTGGAATTTGATGCCCGGATAGCTGCAAGTAAGTTTTCTTCCACAAGGAATCCAGTCTATTGTTGAACCTTCATCATAAAGATAGACAGATTGAAAGCCCTGGATACCCTCTCGTTGTATAAGACGAACCCTCAAGACTTTCTTTTCCGTGTCATCGGGAATCAATCGAGTAGGAAGTACTTGAATGACGGCTACAGCATCTTTTTTTTGAGGATCAATGTATTGTTGGAAGTCTGGCTTACGAGACTCGATAGAAGCCAAAATATTTTCGAGTTTATGACCTCTTTCTGCCATGTCCCTCTGAATTTTCCAGGCAACTTTAACTTCGTCACTTATATCAAGATAAACAGTAAAATCTAGGAGTTGTTTCATTCTTGCATCATACCAAGGATGCAGTCCTTCTATTACAATAATATGGTTGGGTTGAATAAGCTCTGGTGGATCTATCAAACCAGTTTGATGATTATAAATTGGCTTCATAATATCATATCCTTCTTTTAATGCTGCTATTTGTTGATACATCAACTCAAAGTTGTTTGCTTCGGGATTGAGAGCAGTCACCTTTTTTTCAGCTCTTCCTTTTCTATCCAAGGTATGAAAGTCATCGAGACAGATAACTGTCACCAGTTCCCCTTGAGGTGTATGTGACTGAGAAACTTTAGTACCGAATATCTCATTTACTCTGCGGAGAAATGTTGACTTGCCACAACCTGAGTCTGCAGCAACTCCGATAATAACTGGTCGCTCTATTCCTTTGTTTCTAAGTACTTTCGATTTTGATCTTGAGATACCAGCACTTTCATGAACACCTTTGGCTCCACTGCAGTTGACAAATTCCTCTAGAGCAGTTTGAGAAGAAACAGTTATAATCCAATACTTTGTGGTTGTTTTTCTTGTCGTATTTATTTCCTTTCCTTGGAATAATAGACGATTGGATGACCAGGAGGATATTTTGCTGCCTCCAACTTGAACTCTTGAAACTGAACTATAGTTTCTTTTGTTGTACTTTTTGCTTTTTATCGTTGAAGAAGATTTATAAACAACGTATGATGTGGTGGAAGGAAGAACAAACCCCATAGTAGAAAGTGAATCTCTGAGCTCCATGGACTGAGGAGAACAATGCACTAAGGATGGATGGTGAGTATCAATCCGCCCAATTGCCCTGAAAGAGAAGGAAAGAATCGTAGAAAATTGGATGGTGGAGAGAAATGATGTGAGAAAAAGGGTTTTGCTATTTTTGATTGTATGCTATATCCACATTGTGATATTGGAATAGCTAATTAGAAAATATTGATTATCATAATAATCTTTGTTCAGTATTATGCATTCTATCAAGTATTCTATTAGCATACTGTCTATCCTATAGCGTTTATACAAAGAAATCTTTTAAATAAAGATATGAGTTATAGTTTCTGTGCATATACACAAAAGCTATTTTAGAAGTGTGTTCACGAACAGAATTTCTTTCAGCGTCCATTCCTATTTCGACATTCCAGAAGACATTTTACCAACTTATTTTGTCGAGTCCTCGTGTGAAACGATGAGTCAAAGTAATAAAGAGTCGCGATATTTGATTGTTCAAACTCCCTCAAAAGAAGAGCACAAGTTAACAGTTCATGACGGAGACGTTGCCATTCTTGCAAAGGACTTGGCCCAAGTAAGACTGAAAGGGTTGACTAAGGACGGGAAAGAAGTGGAGAAGCAAGTAACTAGTTTCGACCCAGGGTTTATGAACACCGCTTGTTGCGAGAGTACAATTACTTATATTGACGGTGACAAGGGAATTCTAAGATATCGTGGTTACCCCATCGAACAATTGGCAGAAAGAAGCAACTTTCTGGAAGTAAGTTTTCCAATATAATCTTTGTACTGCGTTGTAAAAGCACTCTTCTAGGTTGCTTATTTACTTATATATGGAGAACTTCCCACTGCTACTCAGTTGAATACGTGGAAAGAGCGAATCATGTCGCATACTTATATTCATGTGACTTTGATGGATTATATGAAATCGTTTCGATATGATGCCCACCCTATGTCAATGTTCATTGCAACTATGGCTGCTATGTCTACTGAATATCCTGAAAGCAACCCTACCCTAACTCGAAGAGATCTGTTTGAGTTTGACTATCGTGCACGTAATCAACAAATCTTTAGGATACTTGGAAAGGCTCCCACTATTGCTGCGTGTGCATATCGTCATCGAATTGGTCGACCTTACAATTATCCAACGGAGAGTTTTCGAGGGTATTCTTATACTGAAAACTTTCTTTACATGTTAGATAGACTTTCCGAATCAGAATATCGACCATCTCCTGCTATTGCCAAAGCCTTGGACGTATTGTTTATTGTTCATGCTGATCACGAATTGAATTGTTCTACAGCAGCAATGCGACATTTAACATCCACCAGAGTCGATCCATATACAGCAGTGGCAGGTGCTGCCGGAGCTTTATATGGTCCACTTCATGGTGGAGCATCTGAAGCTGTTGTTCGAATGTTGGAAGAAATAGGTTCTGTAGATAAAATTGATGAGTTTTTGGAAGGCGTCAAGTCCAAAACTCGTCGATTGATGGGATTTGGTCATCGCATTTACAAGAATTATGATCCTCGAGCGAAGATACTAAAAGAATATGCAGAAAAAGTATTTGCAGAAGTGGGTAGAGATCCATTGGTAGATATTGCCGTAGAATTGGAAAGGAGAGCTATTCAAGATGATTATTTTGTTTCTCGAAAACTTTATCCAAATGTGGATTTCTATTCAGGAATTATATATAGAGCATGTGGTTTTCCATTGGATATGTATCCGTTATTATTTGCACTTCCTCGAATTGCAGGTTGGTTGGCACATTGGTACGAATCGCTAAGGGAAGAAAAGAGTGCAGCCAAGGCTTCTATTCCTGGTGCTACTCATGTAATGCGAGCTCGTCAAATATGTATTGGTGATATCGAAAAAGTTTTTCCTACAGAAGAAGAAAGCATATCAAAGCAAAGCATAACTATGGATGCACTTAAGACGTATCATTCCAATCTATCCAAGCGTCGAAGGGCGCCTCATAAAGACATTGCTTAAAATGAATTTGATATAAAAAATATTTTGTTTTTCAAATTCTAGTCAATGTGCCATTGTGATTGGAATAGTCTATGCTTTTTGTCTCCAGTTGTACCTGTGTCCTATTCATACTGTCCTTCTACCCTGTGTCAACTTCACAAGGCCCTCTATTTTCGGAACCAGGGAATTAGTCGCTCAAGGCGCCTTCCTACTAGGTTTCGATTGAGTACGGTAGCCCGGGTAAGTGACTCAACGGCAACTACGACTAGTGAAAAGGTTGGATCCAGGACTGAAACCAACCGAGCGCCTGTAAACTTGCCACAACAACAATGCAAGATAAAGGTAGTTGGGGTAGGAGGTGCAGGAGGAAATGCAGTTCAGCGTATGTTGGAGAGTGGTTTGCAAGATGTGGAATTCCTTTGTGCAAATACAGACGCACAAGCACTTGCCAGGTTTCAAGAAGTATATTGCCAGAAAACACATCATCAGGTTATTCAAATTGGAAAACAAAGTTGTAGAGGTTTAGGTATCGTGACAATGTTCTTTCTCGTGTTCTACTAGAGTTATTGTATTAGGAGCTGGTGGAAATCCTGAAGCTGGTAGAGTAGCTGCTGAAGAGTCTAAAGAAGATATAGCAAAAGCTCTTCAAGGTGGAGATCTTGTGTTTGTTACTGCTGGAATGGGAGGTGGTACAGGAACTGGTGCTGCTCCAATAGTTGCGGATGTCGCAAGAGAATTGGGTTGTTTAACAGTTGGTGTTGTAACAAAGCCGTTTGCTTTTGAAGGACGTCGACGCCTACAGCAAGCCATAGATGGTTTGGCAAGTCTGAGAGAAAAAGTTGACACGCTTATTGTTATTTCAAACGATCGACTCTTAGAAACAGTACCGAAAGACACTCCACTTACTGAGGCTTTTATATTTGCTGATGAAGTTCTTCGTCAGGGTGTTGGGGGAATTTCCGATATTATTACTAAACCTGGCTTAGTCAACGTGGATTTCGCAGATGTTCGTACGGTTATGGCAGAAAAAGGATTTGCTTTATTAGGTATCGGAACTGCAAGTGGCGACTCTAGAGCTCGAAATGCAGCAACTGCGGCAATTTCATCGCCACTCTTAGATTTTCCTATAACATCTGCAAAGGGTGCCGTTTTTAATATCACAGGTGGAGCAGATATGACTTTATCTGAAGTGAATCAAGCTGCACAAGTTATTTATGATAGTGTAGATTCTGATGCAAATATTATTTTTGGTGCAGTTGTTGATGAGACATTCAAAGGGAAAGTTTCGGTTACTGTAGTTGCCACAGGATTTTCTTAAGAAATTGGGATTGTAATTGTATGGTACACTATTCTGATGGTTTTGGGATAAAACGTTTTAAAGAAATAAACATTTCATGTTTTGGTATTTTCTTTATCAACTGGAATGAGCAGCGGCTGCTTTTTTACCTGTTATTGACATCACTTTGTTTGGACTCGACTCAACTAGAGCCTTAATCTTTGATATTGCAGCCTGCGGGTCCAAGTGCTTTGGACAAGTTCGCGTACAATTTCCAATACTATGACAACGATATAATTTATAATCATCGTCAAGAAACTTTAGACGTTCCATAGTTCCTTCATCACGACTATCAATTATCCACCGATAAGCTTGCAACAAGGCGGCTGGACCAAGATACTTTTCAGGATTCCACCAATAACTGGGGCATGAAGTGGAGCAAGACGCACATAAAATGCATTCATAAAGGCCATCCAACTTCAATCTACTTTCCTTGGATTGCAGACCTTCTTTACCACCTGGAGGAGTAGAACGAATTAACCATGGCTTAACTGCACGATGTTGAGCGTAAAAGTTGGACAAATCCACAATCAAGTCCTTAATAACATACATATAAGGTAAGGGATACACCGTCACGGTCTGTTTGGGTCCAGCTAAGGGAGTCAAACAAGCAAGACGATTCTTTCCATCGATATTCATTGCACAACTCCCACATATTCCCTCTCTACAGGACCTCCTAAATACAAAAGTCGAGTCCACTTCGTTCTTTATTTTGAACAAAGCATCTAAAACCATAGGACCACACTCCTTTAGAGGAATGGGATAAGTCACTAGCTTAGGTTCCTCTCCCTTCTCGGGGTCCCAACGATAGACGCGAACATGTTTTACATCATAATTGGCACCATTCTTGGTAACAGTCTTTCTATTTGAAAGTAGGGTCGTCTGTAAACGTTTTAAAAAAGACATATTCGCCACACAACTCAATGGCCAATGGAAAACAAAATGCATGAAAGTAGAAATGACTCCGTTGGTTTTGTCACCTTTTCTTCAACTCAACCAGTTAACTTGCCAAGAATTAGTTATAAACGAGCTCGATTCCCTGCTCTAGTATCCAACCAACGGAACGTTAGCAGGAAACCAGTAGTTTGTACTGTTCAGTCGGTTCCTTCCATCTACTCAACTACAGATGTACGCATCTCCAAAACTTCCGAATGGAAAGCTTTAGAAGAACACGCCAAAAATGTTGGTGCATACTTTGAATCGTTCCCATAATATTCAATGGTTGCGTTTTATTGAAACTAGGTTATTTTAAAGACGCATTTGAGAGATCTGGTAACCGATGCAAAACGATCAGAGAAGCTTTGGGCTGAATTTGATGGTTGTATATTGGACTATTCAAGACAACGTGTAAGATTGAAAATTTTATGCAGTTTTCTGGAGTCGCCAACTTCTTCATATAGGTTATTCCAGAGACTATGAAGCTGTTATTTGCGTTGGCAAAAAGGGCTCAGTTGGAAGAAAAGAAAGAAGCTATGTTCAGAGGAGATAAAATCAACGTCACTGAGGACAGAAGTGTTTTGCATACGGTAAGAAGAAATGGTCTGTTTGGTTAAGATACTCAACTAGCGTTGATCATGACGCATAGGCACTTCGAGCACCTAAAGGAACGCAGTTATATATTGATGGGATGAACGTTGTTGATGAAGTTTGGCAAATACTTGAGAAAATTCGAACATTCTCTGAACGTGTTCGAAATGGCCAGCATGTTGGAGTCACTGGTCGTCCTATTAAGAATTTCATTGCAATTGGTATTGGAGGTTCCTATTTGGGTCCTGAGTTTCTACATGAGGTATGTTATTTCGATCTAGTTTCCTTAGGTGAACGAATAAAGCATATAAAGGCTTTACGAACTGAGAAAGTTGCCTCTGCTGCAGCTGGAGATAGAGTTCTCCGCTTTTTGAGTAATGTAGACCCTGTCGATGTGAAGAGAGCAACAGACAAATTGAATCCAGAAGAAACCTTGGCTATAGTTGTAAGCAAAACTTTCACTACTCGTGAAACGAGTATCAATGCCAAAACCATAAAAGATTGGCTTATTTATCATTTGGTAGGACAAAGTTTCTCTCTAGAAATGTCTTATTAGAAATGTGGCATTTAGGGAGATTCTGCAGAAACTATAAAGAAACATATGGTGGCTTGTTCTACTAATCTGGATAAGGTTGTCAAATTTGGTATAGCTCCAGAAAATATGTTTCCTTTTTGGGATTGGGTAAGTTGATTCTTGAATTGATCATATAGGCCTTTTTTAGATGGTTTGAACAGGTTGGCGGAAGATATTCTGTATGCTCTGCCGTTGGAGCATTACCCATTTCATTGCAATATGGATTTGATGTGTTTGAACGTTTCTTGCAAGGAGCTCATAGCATGGATGCTCACTTTCGATATGCACCACTGGAAGGCAACTTGCCAGTATTACTAGGTCTGTTAGGTGAGCTCTTACAACATTTGTATGCTTTTAGTTTTCATCTATCTCGAAATATTTGGATAGGAGTTTGGAATATGTCATTTTTAAATTACAACGCTCGAGCTATTCATCCTTATTCCGAAGTAGAATTGCATTTCTTCAACAACGGACATTGAGTCTAAAACAACTACTTAGGCACTTTTAAGGTTCCCCGCTCATATCCAACAGTTAGATATGGAGAGTAACGGAAAACATGTCAACATATTTGGAGAAGCTGTAGATTACCCTGTCGGTGAAATCGACTTTGGGGAGCCAGGTTGTTACTCGTCATCATAGTATCGATCATGAATAGTCTCATGTAGTATTCGTATAGGCACCAATGGACAACATTCTTTCTTTCAACTTTTGCATATGGGTCAAGTGGTTCCTTGTGACTTTATTGGTTTCATAGAGTCTCAAAATCCAGTTTGTGAAGAAGGAGAGCCTGTTTCCAACCATGATGAGTTGATGGCCAATTTCTTTGCGCAGGTAAGAACAAATACGAAAGAAATGATTTGTGTTGACTTGAAGCACCAGCCGGATGCTCTAGCCTTTGGAAAGACAGCTGAAGAAGTTCGGCAAGAAGGGAAATCTGAATGGTTGACTCCTCATATGGTGTTTACAGGTAAGCCATTTCTGCATATCAACCGAAATCCATATTCTCATTTCTATTTGTAAGGCAATCGACCATCATCTTGTCTTTTAATGCCTGTTTTGGATGCATATGTCACTGGACAACTCTTGGCTCTTTATGAACATCGTACTGCGGTGCAAGGATTTTTATGGGAGATCAATTCCTTTGATCAGTTTGGAGTAGAACTGGGAAAGGTGTTGGCAAACAAAGTCCGCAAACAATTGAATGAAAGCAGGTATGGAAATGAAGGATTGTTTTTGTTTTAGAAATTCATTTGTATTCAAGGTACTTTAATAAGGAGATTTCTGGATTCAACCACTCTACCACCAAATTACTCAACCGATACTTGGAAGGTTCCGTAGGGTGTGCTTTCGAGCATGTTTTTCATTACGAAGACGAATAATTTGATATTCAAAATACTGCAAAAAGAGTATTATAGAATATGTCCAAGTTTCAAAAACTATGTAGCTATATAAAGTCCTTATAAGTTGCGTGACATCTTATGTTAGCAATCTCATTACCTGCGCATTTGTTTTTTCAGAAATCTAAATATTCTTTGGTTTATTTGTTTTCTGATACACACAACTCCCAATGATCGTATTGCCGCATTATATTGTGTCTTTTCTGGAAAGTAAAGATAGAAGCATTGTCTTGAGTCATCTTTCTTTGTGAATTCTAGAATCATATCATAACCTTTGTAGAAACAAGAGATAAAAAATTTACTGTATTTATGACTTGTTCTTATTACTGGAACTGTACATTGCTTGCTTCAAATATTACTTGTTCTAAAATGTATTCACAGTTGTGTGGCTCAGAGACACAATCTCCACAATTGATTCTGTTGGTATTGGTCTTATGGATAGACACGGCGTTGAGTCATCTTCAAGCCTTTCTAGAAGAGAAGAGGGTGGAATAAAAGCAATTATAACAAGTCCTGCCTTTTTGACATATTCAGTACCATATAAGTTATCATGTGTTTCAGAAAAGTCGAGAGACAGGCTTCACTCCAGGTTCGGGAGTTCTTCTGCTGGAAAGACAGCTAGTCTCGCGAGACGTTCGTTTCTTGGCAAAGCGGTTGTTTGGACCCAAGATGTTTCCTTGAGAAAGGATCACAACAATGAAGGTTCCTTAGCTACAAGGAAAGCTCCAGTGGTGACTAAAACCCAGATGGTTGAGACAACAGTAAAGCCCGTAACCCAAACAGGCAACAGATTGGCAGATCTTTGCATAGACAGTATTAGATTTCTAGCTATAGATGCTGTAGAAAAAGCGAATTCAGGGCATCCAGGTATGCCAATGGGAATGGCTCCAGCTGCCTATGTATTGTTTGAAAAGTAAGTGAACGAAGGTTTTTTATTTGCAACTCTAATTCCTCGTTGAAGTTTCTTAAAGTTCAACCCCAAAAATCCGTTTTGGGTTAATAGAGATCGTTTCGTTTTGTCGAATGGTCACGGTTCAATGCTCTTATATGCTTTGCTGTACCTTTGTGGCTATGACTCGGTCACATTGGAAGATATCAAAGAGTTCCGACAAATTCATTCTCGAACTCCTGGACACCCTGAAAATATAGAAACTGCAGGTATTGAGGTGACGACAGGTCCTTTGGGCCAAGGTATGTTGACAACTCTTGTATTCAAGTTTCTGCTTTTCATACACTATTTGAAGGAATTGCAAATGCCGTGGGACTAGCAGCTGCAGAAGCACATTTGGCTGCAGTTTATAATAAACCTGGTCATGATTTGATTGATCACTATACGTATGTTTTTATGGGAGATGGCTGTGTGATGGAAGGTATCTCTAATGAAGCATGTTCATTGGCTGGACATCTAAAACTTGGAAAATTAATTGCTATTTATGACGATAATAATATTTCTATTGATGGAAAGACAGATGTTGCTTTTTCGGAAGATGTTGGTAAAAGATATGAAGCACTTGGATGGCACGTAGTCACGGTTGAAAATGGGAATTTTGACTTGCAAGCTATTTCGGATGCAATTCAGAAAGCAAAACAAGTTCATGACAAGCCTTCTCTTATTCGTTTGAAGACCATTATTGGATATGGCTCACCAAACAAGGCTAATACAGGTGAGGTACATGGAGCAGCTCTTGGAGCGGAGGAAGTAAAGTTAACAAGAGACAGCTTATCGTGGCCATTTAAGGAATTTGAAGTTCCTGAGGAAGCTCTTCGTCATTATCGTAAACACAGTAAGTTGTTTATTATTTCGCCTTTTTTTTTATAACTGTAAAAATGACTAGTTGAATCCGGACAAAAAATTGAGCGAGAGTGGCAAGCTAAATGGGAGGCATATAAGAAAGCTTTTCCCGAATTGGCTTCACAATTTGAGAGGACAGTACTTCATAAGAAACTTCCAGATAATTGGGAAAGTGTCTTAATTTCTGCAGCTGAAAGAGGAGGTGATATGGCTACTCGTCAAGCATCACAAGCAATGTTGAACGCGTTAGCTCCAATTATGCCAGAACTTGTGGGTGGTTCTGCAGATTTAGCTCCATCTTGTTTAACTATGATGAAAAATGTGCCTTCTTTTCAGCACAACTGTAGAGAAGGGCGTTATTTCCATTTTGGAGTTCGCGAACATGCAATGGGTGCAATATCCAATGGCTTATATCATCACAACACTGGTTTCCGTCCCTTTGCAGCAACCTTCTTTATTTTTACAGACTATATGCGTGCATCTATTCGGTTATCCGCTTTGTCTAGAGCCGGAGTTATTTACATTATGACGCATGATTCTGTTGCATTAGGTGAAGATGGACCAACTCATCAGCCTATTGAGCACTTGGCATCCTTTAGAGCTATGCCAAATGTTCATATGCTGAGACCAGCAGATGTTACAGAAACTGCAGCAGCTTATATTGCTGCTCTAAAGTCAACATCGACTCCATCTATACTGGCGTTATCAAGGCAGAAGCTACCCAAACTAAAGAATTCATCTATAGAAGGATGTCTAAAGGGTGCATATATATTATCTGATAACACTCGATCAGGTGGATATCCGGATTTTATATTAACTGCGAGTGGTTCGGAAGTACATCTTGTAGAGATTGCAGCAGAAAAATTGCGTCAAGAAGGCAAGTCTATTCGAGTTGTTTCTTTTCCTTGTTGGGAGCTCTTCGAACAGCAGAGTAGAGAGTACCAAGAGTCTGTCTTTCCTTCCAACGTTGGAAAAGATCGTCGTCTTGTTTGTGAGGCTGGTTCAAGTTTCGGTTGGGAAAGGTTGGCTGGAATATAAAGTGGATATACATATATATATTGAATCTAATGGTTGTTTATTTAGGTATGTGGGTCATATGGTTAGCATCGACCAGTTTGGATTATCAGGCAAAGGGAACGATATCTTGAAACACTTTGGTATTACGGTGGAAAATGTCGTGAAGCAGGTAAAGGCGGTTTTATAATTCGTCAAAACTCCTTAGCACCGTGCTTTTATAACTTCCTGTCATTCATTCTTCGCTATAATAAAGTCAGGTGGTTTGTTTCGCTGACCGTTTTCGTGCCAATGCAGTTTCGTATGCAGCGTGTATCGGTGCCTGTACAGGAGATAATGATCTTGTAACCCTAGAATTCTCTAGATAGTTCTTATCTATATCATATGCCATATCAGCATCGTAACATGAGAGGTCCCCACAAGATACAAAAGGCATAACTACTGTCATGGTTTCCTGACTATCAGGTGGATTCAGTCATAATATCACTTTGTACTCAGTCGTGACAATGATATACCATACCTTGAGCACTCTTGTTCTATTTCTGAGCCTTGTACGACCTCTATAGAAGCATCTTTATGCAAGAACAAAGTTGGCTGCCAAAAACTTGGTCTAGAATAACCCCTACAAACAAAAAATGCCTCTATTGAAGAGTTTCGACTAGAACGCGGCTTTGCAAGGGTGACGTTCTCGAAAAATACACTCAGACGACTGAAAACACCGCAAGTATCTTTTCCGCGAAAAACCTGTCCTTGGAAAGTAATAATAGCCAAGGCAAAATGAGTTTTTTGAGTACCTTAGCAACAAACGTTCCTCCCTGTCGAAGTAGAAAAGTTGCAACATTCAACGCAGAAAGAATCAGCTCACTTTGTATATATTCGTCCAAGTCGTGGAGTCCAGTAACGTCTGGGGCACCGTCGGAGAGGACAACATCGACCATTCCATTTTCAAACTCTTTTAGAATAGTCTCAACCGTCGGACGGCTAGTTATATCACCTTGAATAACAGTAACTCCTTCAATTGGTGCAATTTCTTGCAAGTCAACGGCAACTATGGTTGCTTGACCTTTACGTAGTTCTCTTAGGCGCTTTGAGACGACCTATTGACTTATCAGTATTTCGAATTTCCGTCGTAATTTTTTTTTTCTGACCTGACTCCAACTTCCAGGAGCTGCGCAGAGGTCGACAACGTTTTCCGCATCCTTGAATAAGTTGAACTCTTGATCCAGTTGCAACAGTTTATAAGCAGACCTTCAAAACTAGTCGACTTGTAAAAATATTCAACAGATTGTCATACCTTGCCCGATAGCCTTCCTCCTTTGCTTTGCGATAATAGATATCTCTTTTGTCCTTCGAGGTTCGTCCCATTTTAAGACCTTTACTCCTTGAAGAGTTTCAAACTCTACAACCTTAGACTTCGTTTGACAAACAAAAATAATCAACTCCAAAAACTACGTTCACTAATGGGCATTTCGCCCCGTGTACAGAAAACAAAGAATCGAGAATTGGCAAATAAATATATCTTCTGAGGAATTCTACAAAAGACAATATAACTTAACTTGTATCTTTCTCCATTGAGTAGGAAACTGAGAAATAAAGAGTCGTTCAAAAAATTAATTCTAACAATGAATACAACTGATAACAACGTGTATCAGTTTTGCGACATTCGAGGAGTTGAATCATTTACAAATATTGGCTTCAAACAAGTCCACTTATGTATTGGATCTTTCAAAGAAGCTTTATTTCTGCAGCCTAAATTTTTTTTGGAAATGTTTCAAAACAATAATATCATAAGAGCCGTTCTGGAAGACCTTGTATCTTATTGAAAGAGTAACTTAAAGAAAATTCAAGAAATGAATGTCCTCCAAATAAATCACAAATACTCATTGTATCATCTGCAACAAGAATAAACTTTGTCAAAATAGCATCAAGCTTTGCTGGAACTGTCTTCCTCATCTGGAGACGCCATAACAATAGCAACATAGTCTTTTCCAGTGGTTTCGTCTTTCCTAGAAAAGTCTCAGTTATATGCATACAAACTTATCAAAAACAAACCTTATTTCTGCACTCAATGGAAGTGAAAGTCGTTTGGATCTCCGTTCATTCAGCAAAAATTCTTGAACTTTACGCAAGAGATTGTCATCAACATTTACAACAAGTCAGCTAAGAAGCCACCTCTAGAAACACATTCTTACTGGCTCTTTAGAGTATTCCATAACAAATTTCTGAATACGAGAAAGCTGAAGACGAGCGTCTTCTACTGAAGTGTTTATATCATGAAACAATGAGTCAGCCAGTCCCTTTGACTGTGCTAACAGTTCAGTTCGATTATAAAGCCCAACATATCGTTTTCCCTTTCCTATAAGCAGAGTTTGTTGCAACGCATTCAACAACTATTGTACTTCTTCAGCCATGAAAACTTAAAAACCAACGGCATTTCGTTCTTACAGAATTCACCGTCCAGAAAAAGACAACGCCTGATGGCAAATGCGAGATCAATGGAAATACTAAAATTGTCATTCCTTGTAAAATAATCTTTGAAATATAAGCTACAAGCAATAATTAAATGATGGCTATCAATACCTTCATCCAATCAACTATTTGTGGATCTCGAAGGCTGTTCGCTAGATCTCCTAGAGACCTTTTCGATGAATTCAAACTTGGTTTTTCTAAAAGGAAAGTCTATAAAAGTATCAACCAATTGATCTTATGGTACTTACCATTAGCTTTCAAGCTGTTTTCCGTATTTGCTATCAAAATAGCACTATTGACTATGGGAAGAATATACCAAGGATCCGGTGCTGCCAAATCCTTAAACCAGGAAATACCTTCCGATTCAAAACCCTAAAACTTGTTAACAATATTGTCGATCACAAGACAGAGAAGTCCTCACTGGATATCTTTGAAAGGCTAATCTTCTCACAGATGCTGCTGCTGTTATAAAAAGCGGTATGTGGACTAGTTTCCCATAGGGAACAACCTTCAAAGATGAAGAACTGCTTCGCTTCAGCAATTCCTGTCTCAAACGACGAAACGTCCTAATCTATTCAAATAGTAAAACTGCGAGAAAAACAAGAAAAAGCTACCTTCTGTACTGTTGTTCCTGATGAACGACTAACATACGCCCTTATTCGTTCCAACTCTGGAGCTAGCGAACTCAATTTATCTGCGTGGTACTTGAGGCCAAATAAGAAAACAGATCGAAAGCAACATTTGTCGCAAAAAATTTACCTGACCGTACAAGCAAAGAGGAAAGGTTGCAGCTCGAATAACTACAGCACCTGCAACCAAGGTTGACCACCACGGCAACCCTGTCTTCTCGTGCAGCCAGACCCAACCTGACTAATAGAGCTTTTTAGACGGAAATGAAACACAAACATAAAAAAGAAACCTTTGCCATGGCAATAAGCCGAAGTTCTTTTCCTTGGTCACCCATAAACTTCACTCGGTTGCACTGTGCTTTAATGAGATTCCTTTGATAAAGACCACAAAGAGACGAACTTTGTCAATTGCTATTGAGTTGGAAATTGTAGAGACTTGGAAGGCCTTTCGTCTTCGTAACATGAAGAACGGTGCAGAAATTGAACTTCAACTTGTTAGAATTTTTTTCTATGTTTTCTCATCTTCATTAGAAATATATTTAAATGCTTTTTGATTCATGAAAATATGAAATGTCAAATTGAAATGACAGTAAGTGCAGGAATAAACTTCTAGCCAGTTCTATATCTCAAAAGCATTCCATTGAAATAGAAAGGGTGTAACATGAAAAGTCATTTGCATCTTTAGACAAAAACTTCCTCTTCGCCTCCAGACTTTAATGAAAAACTAGAAATTTCAGAAAGAACAATCATCTCAATTCTGTATAATATAAAGAACTCAAGAATGAAAATGCGGCGTGAAGACTAATAATAAAGTGGCTCAAGTTTTCTCCAACACCCATAAATTTTGACAAGTACCATAAGATAGTACTATGAAATTATAGATTATCTTCAAGATTTCTTACTTTAGAAAACAGTTTTACACGAGGTCAGAGCTATTCTTCAAGTCTTCATTGAGCCTTATCTCTTGGATAACTTACTGGTCTTTCTAGGAGGACATATACTTCTTAGTTATCTACAAGACTGAAGTACAAGGATGAATTCATAGAAAGGAAGCGCAGAATATAGAGTCTGTATCAGTTGTAAATGATAACAAACTCAGTATAGATTCCATTGGGCACAATAATCACCTATTATCACGTGCAAAAGCCATCCGAACCTTCTATTAATGCGCGTCTCATTTTATTTGTTGTTTCAACATAGCCTCTTGTTGCCCTGCAAACGAACGATACTTGACGCAAGGCTTTGTATCCAGCATATTAAAACTCTGAAGAAGCAGACCTTTATTGGTAACTTTATTATTGCAGATTATCGTTGTAATCAACAGTTCTCGTTAAAACAGTTCGGCAGTATGAGCGAAACAATTTCTCGTGTTCGTCAGTTGACGGAAAAGGGTGCGAAGATGGAAGGTTGGGATGACTGTTGGAAGTAAGCGCTTATATAGAAAGACGAGTTTGAATTTTGAGTGATTGTTTAGAGCCGGTTTGACCCCTTGGGATAGAGGTTCGTCTTTACCAGTTTTATGTGAACTTTGCAAGGAGGACGCTTTACCAAAGGGTGCTTAATTTGTCCCAACACCAAAAGCTGAAAATAACATAGTGTTTTAGGATATGCGCTTGTGCCTGGTTGCGGTCGTGGCTATGACGTTTTGACGCTTGCATCGGAATCTAGAGTTGCTATCGGTTTGGACTGTAGCGAGGAAGCTAAGAAACAGGCAGAGCAAGTAAGAAAATTTTCAGTCGTAGATAACTGTCAACTGAAGGAAATTGAAGCTGAGGGATTCTAGAGGAATATCGAGTGAAAGAGCGCAATTTGTGATTGGGAACTTTTTTGACTTTCCTTTTAGTCAGAAGGTATCTGAGCTTTCTTCATGATTTATTGATACGAACTTTGTGTTAGTTTGATCTTGGCAAGTAGAAAAAGGTTTTTAGTTTCGTGAAGCTGACAAGTGGGGTTTAAGTTTATGACTTGACATTTTTCTGTGCATTGCCTCCTGAAAGTAGAAGCTCGTGGGCAACTCGTATGAAGGATATCATTCAAGTCGGTGGAGAGTTAGTAACTGTGATTTTTCCTATCGGTGACTATGTATGTGACCTACTATGGTACCTTGACAATAACTCTTTCGAGTTCTAAAAACTCTGTGTAGGAAGGTGGACCGCCTTATGCCATGAGTCTGGATCTTTATAGGCAATATCTAGAGCCACTTGGTTTCGAAAGTTTTTATATGAAGAATATAAGTGATCAACTCCCACCTAGTTCGATGTAAGCATATGTCTTTTAGTGTATATAAGAAGCTCTAACTTGTAGACGAAGATTTGTCCGTTGGAAACTCTGTCATTTGAAATAATATTTAGACAAATGCTTTATATTGAAGTAAAGGTTAGTTTCTTGTGCTTTGGTGGTTGTTTTTCCTCAGTTATAAAGCTGGAGTGATGCCATCGACCACCTTCATCATAATGTCGTATGAGCCTTTTTCGGTGAAACTCGTCTGTCAACCAAGATACCTTCAAAAATACTTATCCGAAACGTCTCACGAATATTCACAATCGACTTACCTCAATACAGAAACTTTGGTCTTTGGGAATTTTCATAGGACATATGACGACAACCCCACCACCCAATAATAAAAAGCGAACTTCATAGGTGCGCCTTTCAAGTAGACAAAATTTGCGTCAAAAAATATACCAAAAAGAAAGAATAAGGAATACCCTTGGGCCGATTGGAACACAATAGCGTGCTCCGAGTCCTTTTTCCCCAAACGAAGTCCATAGTTGAACTCTTCTTTTTCTACAACCTTCTCACTTGATATTATCCCAAAACCACTAACGTCCGCGACAAATCTACAACGCCTGTTAAGCGAACTTTACAAAGCATTCTTTGTACATACTTGCATAGACTTTTGATTGCATATGTTCTACTTTCCTCGGGAAATATCGCAGTACCTTCCCCTACCCAACGACCACTAGGCAAGACTCGTCTATGCAAAAAAGACCACAACAGCAGCGATACCGACCTCTGCAACTTTGGGGTTGCACAAAATGCCGCAAAGGACTCCTGAGATCCTACGCCTTCAACTAAAATATCGGAAAATAGTGACAACTTCTCCGTTCAACACGAAAAATACTTCAAAGGTTGAATAGAAGTACCTTGTTGGAAGAGGAAATAAACGAGTTGGTAATCTCGTCAGTATCCCCAGGTATATAACGTACTACATCCAACTCTTTGAAGAGTCAGCAAGCGGGAACTAGTCCCCGTACTTTACTAACCTTGTAACTGACCATCGTTGTTATAGCCCACGGTAACCGTTGTTCCACAAAGGAAAAGGCTATCGTTCAGAATTCTAATAGTTTGTTCAACTCTGAACCGAACTGGATCTCCCATAATATACGTTTGTACCGAACCGCCTGAAATTGCGGAACCCTGTTCAAAATAAACATAACCTTTCCGACCCGATAAGAGGTAAAAGCAAGCGTTAAAAACCAGCTCACCCAGAGCTTGAAGCTCATCTTCGTATACTATTCTTTTCTCTTCTATATCATAAGGTTCTTTTGATAGGGAAGTTTCAATTCCCTTCAGGGTAGTTCCCTTGGCATCGATAGTGACTGGACTGCAAAGTTGACACTTCAAAACGCATCTCTTCCTTTCCTCCAATATACCTAACGCATCATACTTCTCAACGTGAGTGTTGTCTTAAGTTTTCAACAAGCACAAACTCTTGCACGGTTTCCTTGGTAAGTTCCGAGGGTTGCTACACAGTTCGTCCACTGAGTGTCCTCAATGACTGACATTATTCGAGAAGGTCGTTAAGTGGACAGCTGTCGAAATAAAGATCTACTTCCACTTTCTTTGTCTTGATTGGGTTGGAAATTTGGAAGACGCCTGGGCCAATTGTCAACTTACCAATAAAAAGCTAACGTCGTTGAGACATTTTGGAGTAACGTGGTTGGAAGCGAAATATGTAGTCCTATATAAGAGGAGGTTGCTCTCTACAATCATCGATTATTTTGTTTGTTCAAGAATTGGTGTCAACGTTCTTTCAAGTTTTGAAACGAAGACAGAAGCATATCATGAGACTGCCATGGAAAAGAGCCTCGGTGGATAAGGCCAATGAACTTCAAACACAAGACTCTGTTGTACCCATGAAACCTCACCAGTCGATTGAGGCAGCGGTTGAGGATCCTGTAGATGAAGAAGAAACGCCGTTCGAGAAAAGTTTCGAAGATGCGATGAAAGAGTCATTTGATATTGGTGGTAGAAGCCGTTCATCTTCTTATGACCCTAATGATCCTGACAAGGAGTATGTGCCTCCTCGGAAGATGAGTTGGTGGATGCTTACCATGTTAATGTGTGGATATATGGTAGGAATTGGAGTGTTATCCATTCCTAGTGCTTTCCAAACACTTGGTTGGGTGGGAGGTGTTTTCATTCTTACTGGAGTTTATTTTATCACCACAGCAACAGGATACTTTCTGTATTACATGGGTCTGCGTTATCCAACTATACGGAGCTATGCTTCCATGAGTCGTCGACTCTGGGGAAAGGCAGGAATGTATTTTACCGCGTTCATTGCGTATTCCTACTTCTTTGCTTTGTTGACAAGTGACCTGCTAACGTCATCCTTGACTTGGAAGAATATGTTGCAGAAGGAACATATATGTACCGTGGCATTTGCTGCAATTGCATACGCCATGTTGCTTCTTGCTGGCCAAGCCCGAAGTCTGTTTGAAATTACTTACATCGTTCTAGTTGCTATCACGTTTATAGTGATTCCTATAATCCTTGTTTGTGTGAGGTCTCCAGTAATTGGTGCAGGTCTGGCGAAAACATACGCCAGTTCGTCAGCATCCTTTTATGAAGGTTTGACTGCAGCAATGGATATTATTTTTGCCTTTACAGGTCACTTGATTTATTTTGAATTTATGGCAGAGTTGAAAAGAGTAGAAGACTTTCCAACAGCTTTATGGCTTTCACAAACCTTTAGTTACGCATGTTACTTAACGTTGTCAGCGGTTGCTTATTATTATCTTGGACATACTGGAAAGATGGAGAGTCCGGTGACGTTGGTTATCAAACATGGTGCCATACATTATGTGAACGATGTTTTTATGGTAATTCATGTTACTATTGCTGGAACTATTGGTGGAAATGTGTTAAGTCGAGCAGTCCAATGGGGTTTTCAGCCACTAATTGCCGGAGGCTTGAGAAAGTTTCGAGATGGTTCCATCCGTAACAGACTTTGGTGGTTACTTTGGACGGGTGTCACTTACGGCGGAGCATTTATTGTAGCAGAGTTGATTCCTTTCTTTTCATCCTTTATTGGCATTATGACTTCATTATTCTCTTCGTTTTTGACGTTTATGGTGCCAAGTGCATTTTACTTTTGGGAATTTTGGCATGACACTCGCTGGTATCAAAAACTCTTGCCGTTTTTCTGTTTCCTTGTTGGTTTTCTTATGTTGACATTAGGAAGCTATGGAACTTTCAAGAGTCTGATAGTTGCCATTGAACACACTGGAAAACCCTTTAGTTGTACTCGAAAATTCTGAAAATGCTCCTTTGTGTCGTATTTATAGATGAGATGCATAATGCTTGGAGGAGACTCTTTCTAAAAGGAAATGTTATGAATAATATCAAGTACCACAGTTTGCACAAATTTGGACAAATAAATCGTATTGTTGATGGAATGAAAAACATGCTTCCTTGAGCTGTGAGTATTTTCAACGACATTTGATTCCCTCCAGTAAACACTCTCCGTCTCTTTGTTCCATTGTACCATACAACCTCCTTTGCATTTCATCAGCTCTAAATACGACTAAAATCCTTTTCCTACCAGTTTGATGTACAAAGTAAACATTTTCCGTATCCCTTTTATCTAAGAAAAGCCCCGCCTCCAGGATAACCATTTCTATAGCTTGTTTCCATAAAACAACGTTTATATTGTACCAAACAGTAGAAATGGTCCATGAAGACTGAGAATTCACGAAATCAAATGGAACTCTGCAACAAGTCAAGCCTTGTAGCTTTGCCTAAATGGTCGTGAGAATAAAGCAGCTTTGTAACGACAAATGCATACCCGACGAAAACAAAATTGGATATAGTCCTCTACAACACCCCCTTCACAAACAAGCCAATACAAAGACCAGTGAAAGGCAGCAGATGGTACAAGAAACTTATCAACACCTAAAATGATCCATTCATGTCTGCAAAAAAGTATGAAAACAGCGTTGTTCTAGTCCAGTGTTTCACATTTACCTAGCTCCCTTAAACATTCCCATATCAAGCTTGGTAAAGAACTGTTCTTCATTGCTCCGATAACCATCCAGGGACTCTGAAGGAAGTTGTTCAAATCCGATTTCGCCTCTCGTGATCGAACGTAAAAATTGGGAAATGCATTCCGTTGATTTGTTCCCATTTGGAATAATAGCAAATCGGACTACACGTGCTTGCAGCTCTTTCATTAAAATTTCAGATGTACATGGTAACACCTGTCCTTCTACGAGTATTTGATCCAGCCTAAAAATATGCCGTCATCCACTCGGGAGTCAAATAAAGTTCGAATGAATCACCTATTCCAATTAATGGAGTCCGTTTGTACAGAGAAAGATCCAGTTTTAATAACGAAACGACTGCTATTTGTACAGAAGAGATTATAACGATAATGAAAAGAAGGAATGCTCTTCTCAGGAGCATCCACCCTTACAAATCTTCTGACTTGCACCGTATAGTTCTCCGGGTTAACCGTCAACTCGTGATATCTGAGACAGTAAGATAGCATCAATGAGTTCCTTGATGATAAAAGAAAGATATTTATGCCTTACTCTCTTCCTTTCGCAAGAACACAGCGGATTTGGCCGATATCTTCGCCAGGAAAACTGGATTTCTGCCTTCTACTGGAAGACTTGGCATGACGTTCCATGGTTCTCTCGTATAATTCAGGAGACGCCAAATTTTTCCAAAAGATTTCATCACTCAGATGTACCACTACCTAACTATCATCAGCCATAGACTATCAAGGAACTTGCTAGAAAGAGAGAACCTGGAAATCCTGAACCATTCTTTGACAAACTAGCTCCTTTACGAGAGCCCTTGCGCTTTCACTAAATAGTTGTGGATCCGATTTTGACTTTGAAGGTAAAGGTAATGTATACAAATACTTGCCCAAGTAAATATTCCACAGCTTTTTCAACCCAAGAAAGTACCTACCTGTAAAAAGTAACTCTTCGAAAAAATAGAATTAGGAGCAAACTCAGTCGTCAATGGAAGAACACTTGGCTCTAACAAATTATTCCACATGATTCGCCTTTGTATATCTATAGAAGGAGGTTCTTCGCATGTTTCATACTCAATCCAAGGTTTGATGTCTTCAAGGGAAAAGGTAGGAAAGTTAGTATCCGAAGTGAAGGGAAAGATGCTATGAGCCCATCTTGTACGATTTGAATTAAGCTTGGTTTGAGAATCCTTCAACAACTCCACTGCCGATAGATGATTCCTATAAATCGATTTTCTTGTCATGTCACTAAAGCATCGTTATTCAGAATGCAATTATTTGATTTTCAGACATAAAGAGCTTACAAAAACTTTCCATAGGTTGCTTCATTAAAAAGCTTAGAGAATGAAAGATGAAAAACAGATGAAACTTACTATAAATTTCATAACTAGGGTTTCTTTTCTGTTCTTCCCTGGATTTTGTCGAATGAAACAAATCAACACTTGTCGAACGAGGCAATTCTAAATTGAATGGAGAATGAGACACAGCTGTCTATGCTTACTGCTTCCTTTCTGGCAGAAAAGCACTTACTGCTAAGCAAAGCCACTTGTGAATGCTTGGCATTTGCTACCGCAACGCGATTATCATGAATGTGCATGGCTGTAACAAAGTTACTAGATTCCAGTTCAAGGTCATTAGAAAAATCCTCCATATAGATTCTTATTTCGTTTCGAGGTGATGCAGTTTTGGCTAAAGATGACGGGAAACGAGGTCCGATAAATCTACAAAACATATGTATATACTCTGAGTATCAATCTTGCGGAAACCAACCTTAATGGAAACCATTCCTTAGGAAACTTGTAATATATGGTCCCCATCTTTGCTGTTCTCTCCATTTGTGCAATCGATATAGATCGAGATAAATGCACTAAAAATATAAACATCATTTCATAAATATATTCAAGACCTACTCAAAATATTTGGATTTTCTTCACGATTCTTCCACATCTTGCTCGTATGTTCCATTTGGTTCTTGGAAGGTTGCAAAATGAATATGGGTGCTTGGTCAGTAATGGGAACTCCTACAGATAATATCTCCCATCCTATAAACTTTAATGACAGATCCTCCTTCTCTTCCTATATTTTCTCTTACCTACTCCGTTGCTCATTAGACGTCGTTTCGTTAGCTTTATAAGGTTCTCATGTACTTTCCAGACTCCTCGACTGGCGGTAAATATTACCACGTGATTTCCTTCATGTCCCATGAGCTTCTCAGATCGAAGAAATTACAAAATTACCAGTTGCTTTTAGTTCTCGGTCAATAAAATGACGTTCAAAATCATTCAAACAGACATTGAACGCTTCCAACAAATTGCTTTCTTCACTCCAAGAATTTTCGGCAGTTCCAGGCAACAGTAACGAGAATTTCGTTTCATCGTAATCAACATTTGTCGTATATTCAAATCGTTCTAGCAATAAAGATGACCCAATCAATAGGGGAAAACGATAAAATAGTCGTTTCAAAGATCCAACAACTCTAGGAACGATACTCTTTGAATGGCCAACTCGTTCATTTGTCAACAAGGGCTAAACTCAAGTCTCACACGAATTATTTCAAAGTAGTAAGAAATATCTTACAAAATAGAGATCACTATATGGTCTATTATTTTCATCCGTTAGAACATGTACGGAACGATGTGAGTCTTTCCGATTCAATAAAGGTTTAGAGGAAAATCCGGCTTCCCAAAGATTATTATAGAAAACTAAAAATAAATAAATAACTTGCTGCTAATATGTGTGCATCTAACAAACCTCGACTGAATACAACAATGCTCAATATATGCCGAAGACCATCACTATTCCATCTTTCTAATATGCGCTCCATCAATTCAACAACGAGCTCAAAATAAAGTCTGCCATCCATTGTCTCCTCCCATAACTCTTTGGAAAACTAGTTGTCAATTCAATATGATGCATACAGTATTAGAAATGCAGAACAATACTCACTTCAATAAGCCAAACAATCTTTGCACTCTGCGAACGAAAGTTGAACTTGGTTTCATGGCCAATTAGACCAGACTTCACTTGCAAAGTATCCATGAAAAGAGATTTGACCTGCAAGAAACTAGTTGAGAAATAAAAAATTTGCAATGAGGAGTTGAACTCACACTTGCTTGTATACGATCTAGAAAGAGTATTTTTCCTGAATAAATACACTGACCATTCAGGAGAAACTTAAGACGCCACATTTCACTGGAACTAAGATATTGATTTTTGACCAAAACCTCGACAAAACTAATAGGCTTCACTCGCGGACCGAGATTGGCAACTTGTATCAACTGACAAAAAAGTTATCAGGTCAGAGAAGAAAATGTCTTATACTTTACATACACTGTGTCCTGTAAACTGAAAACTCTCCGCAATATTTTGGGAAATACTGATTTCAGTTTTGGTGCCTTGAATACTAGTCCTATCGGTTACCTATATTATTCGGTAAACAGAAGCATTCAACTAAGGAAGATACGAACTTTCAAAAAACACGCTCCTTCTGATTCTCCTGGTTTTGAAAGTCGCAGAATATCGCCACAACTAACCTGGAGAAAATCTTTCCGATCCTTTAAGCCACAACGCATTCTATTCTAGTCAAGCTGTTTACCTGGATTAACGAGCACGTCTTGGTCTTGATAAAGACTAGCATTATGTATCCGAAGATGTAGCCAACGAATAGTGTTATTTTCAGATGCTTCTCCAGGCTGTTCAAAGTCATTCTGAACCATCAGAGAATCAACCCTTATCCAAGAAATACTTTAGGAATCAATTCTATTGAAAATCCTGACAGTCTATCTTATTCTTTTGATACAAATAGGAAGATATAAGAGAGTCCATATTCTTTAAGTTATATGATATTTTATGAATCGTAGAAATTGGTCTTATCGGATTGGTTGATGAACTTAACATCCGTATTGAGATATGCGCCTGTACAAGTTTCACTTCGTTATCAGCTACCGTTACCTATCGATAGTCACAACGTTGCTGGTGGATTCCGTCTTGAAGCTTATCGAATGAATTTGTTGGCTATGAATAAAAATGGAGACCAACTTTACGTTGCCTATGGGGAGCACGTTTTCCTCTTTCAATTTCGTGAAAGACAAAGTCCAGTTTTTCAGGGAGAACTCTCCGTGGCTCCAGATACCATCAACATGATAAAGTAATCTTATTGTTGTTTTAAACAACAAGTAGCTTAACCAACATTTGTACTTTTAGGTACGCGGAACTAGCAGCAACAGGACCCATACTTGTAGCAGCTTGTGGAAATCCTGTGGTTGAAACCGGAGCTGCAGTTGTAAGAAACAAGTTTATAGACTTGGTTTGTACCATTTTGACTCGGAGAATAGATTTACTTTTTGGATGTTTCTACTGCCTCACTCGTTGGTGAGGAACGTGTGATTTTCACCATGAGCTGTTCAGGTATATTATTTTCTCGTTTGTTTATGTAATGTTCATATTATATTCTGAAAGTGTGGGGAATCAGTGTTTGTGAAAGAAATGGTCTAATAGCTTTGAGTTCCAATGATCATTGTATTAGTATGATTCGCATATGTTTAGAGAACGAATGGGGGGTAATTGAAAGATTGGAATATTATGGAAACAATCTCAACGTAGAATAGCCTCAAAATAGATTCTTTATTGTTCCTTCTGCTTGTAGAGGTCATCAACATAATATTCCAAGCATTGATTTTTCAGCTCAAGGAAGGTATTGTTGTTATATTTTTTTAAATAATATTAACCTCGTCCTTATTCATTTATAATATAGATTTATTGCTTCTGCCAGTATCGATGAAACATTGCGAGTTTGGGATCTTACCACCGGCCAATCTGTTGGGTTTTCTGAAGGTTGTCGAATAGAGAGAGAGGAAGACAAGTGGGGTTGGGGTGTTAAGTGGTTGCCCATAGACTCGGTGAAGATCATAGAAAAGGATGATCCTCTATATTCTTATTTTTTTGAGTCCACAAATACTCTCACGCAGCCATTGCTTTCAAACTATAATGAGGAAGAACATTCTGCTACTCAATTGTTTAGGAGAAGAAGACAGCCGGTTCAGATACAAAATGAACAAATACAGTCCATTCCGCAGATATTATTGCATCCCGATTGTTTACTTACAGATGATTCTGAACAAGGTGGTTTGATGTTGTTGTTGCAGGAAATTGGTTTGTCACTTGAAGACTTACAAGCTATGAAGGGGGAGAACCGGAATGACAAGCTTGTAGTTTTCACGCAAAGGTAATTTATTCTTCTTCTTAATAATCGTTTAGTGCTTCAATTCATCATGATAATAGAAACTTTCTTCACCTACTAAGAGGTGGAGACCTGTATCAGTTGGTGTTTCTTCCACAAGTAGTTCCGTTTAGCAATTCTGGAAGTTTAATGCGTCGTGGTATGTTTCGTTTGAACTTACTTGATTATGCTCCCGACTTGTCACTGCTTGCAGTGGGTAATCAAGGCATCGGTTTGTTTTATTCACTGTCATTTACGAAAGGATGACATTATCTGTTTCCGTAGGAACTGTATCTTTGTGTCGTTTGCTCCGTAATCGAGTAGGTGAATTTCGTATCATTATTGAGGATATCGTTCCACAGAGGACAGCAATGGAAGATGAACAAGGTGAGTTTTATTATCGTAAGTGGAGAATATGATTCAAGAAATGCTCTCATTCTAGTGCCTCTTGCTGGACTTTTTTTTAGAAAGGGCAATAGTTATTCGAAGACTTGTCCATATTACCAGTTGATTCTGGTCTATCTTGATGGAGTCCTTCAAGTCTATGAAGTAGAAAGGAGAACCGAAACAAGCCCTCTAGACATTAGTGCTTGTTTTATATGATTGATATTTATTTGTATGACCTTGTGTTTTATTGATTGATTTGGTTCTTCATTATAGTACACTGAAGTATTTGGAGTTGCTTGGAAATAGGAATTTCATACATTTTTGAAGCAAGCACAAAACTGAGAACTACGATTGCGTCTGAATGGAAGAATGAGCTCAACAAAACGATGCCAAAGTGACTTTGTTAGATCGTATTTATGCCAAATTTAATGTTTCAGAATGTTGTTTGTACAGAATTGAGTGGGAATGCTTCTTAGAAGCTGCTGTTCTTGTTTCAAAGAGAGGAACAAGAGAGTTGTTTTCCTAGAGTGTTTCAAGTCACTGGATTGGAAGATAAATAGATTGTAGTTGGTATTTCTTTTGGTTTTGCGTTCAAATAGTATGTGACGATCATAACTATTTCACAATGGATGTTGTTGAAATTTCATGAAATCCATAAATATCTCGCAGATTCCATTTGACGAAGTATTCTTGTTCGACTATGGAAAGAAAAATTTCTTTTCAAAGCATCCTATTCCAACAATCAACAGGTTCTTGCCACTGCCGCATATTAGCTTGCAGTAGAGGTTACTGGTATATTAAATTGTCGATATGGAATCGTAGAATCCTCAGGAACCGTGGAATACAAAACAGTAGGCAGATATCCGCTAACCAAACTTTCCTTTCGCAAGAAAGTGGCCTTCCTGATCAAGGCGAAGTCGTTTCACCTATACCGAATTCTTTAACTCGCTTATCTGAGAACAGCCTTTCTGCCGTAGGTTCTGGAGTTTATACTTTTTCCATCAAAAGTTGAGATAATCTAGTTAATAGCGGCCACAGAGGCAGGCTATAAAAGACTATTGATTGATATAGACTTTGAACAAGGTGATTCAACGTATACGACATTTAAAAACGCTGTTCCATTTTTACGTGAGTTACTGAGGGTGATAGAAAGTCGAAATTGGCAGACTACTACAACGGTTGGCAGTTTTCATTGTATTTATCTATTCAAGTTTACGTAGTTTGGACATCTTTAGCTTTTGTTCCCTGATGAAGGAAGTGCGGCCTTTGCAAGAAAGGATTGGAATATTTCCAAGTGTTCGTTTTTGAGTTTTGGATCATATTCTGGAAAGGACAGTAGCCAAGATTGGTTGATTATGGTAAGTCTTCTTTACTAGAAATGTTTCCAAGGGAATGATTGTGTATAGATATGTCCATCTGCTGTTGATGTGGAAGCTATGGAACAAATCGTCAACAGAGAGTCACCATTCTTAAGTAAAGATGCTCGTCCAATCATACTTATCAATCCTAAACTAGTGGATATGGGAGCAACAGGTGAGCTAACCATGGACAACTTTTTATTGTGATAATCTTTGTTCAGGTCTAGGTTTTAATGCAAGACAGCTTCGACAACAGTTCCTGAGCACATTTGAGTCGATTTATTTTCTTCGGGTATATACGTGGGTAAGAGCTTCATTGCAAGTCGTTACTCTGAGTTATATTGAGCTCAAAACAAGGGAGTCGTAGTTCGTCAATATCCATTCCGTTGGAGTGTTTGGTTGGATACAGCGAACTCTGATGAAAACAGTTCTTCAGAGGAAGCTCCTTATAGGTACATATTCAACTGATGATTATTCGAATATTTCGACAACTGAACATGCATAGGTTGTTGAGAACCTTTGAGAATAAGCCTAATGATGACACTATTCAAGAAATATTTCTAAAGTCCGTTCAAAAGAAAACCTTTGGAACGCAAAGGAAGAATTGGTTTCAATCCTTTGTTGATTTTCTAAAGNGGTATTCAAAAGGTTAACGAAAAGACTTAAGATTGGAGGAAATGAGTCATACGGCTTCCTTTTCCGTAAAAATAAAGACTTTGGACTCTACAGAATATGAAGTCTCTGTAACCAACGTAATTATCTTATACTTGTCTTGTGTTTGTTTACTTATTGTTCTATGAAGGACACCAGTGTTCTACAACTGAAACAAAGACTAGTGGAGTTGACAGGAATTCCTTCGGAAAGACAAAGAGTTATATTTCGAGGACGAGTTTTGAGTGATGACCGTACCCTCGGCGACTATAAAGTTGAGCAAGGGAATGCTTTGCATTTGGTTTCCCGACCAGTGTCCTCAGGGACGGAAAGTACTTCGAGAACTGCTGACAGCAACGTCTCGTCCAACGAAGTGCCTTCAGAGGGAATGGTAATTTTGTCTCTTCTTATTAGTTTTATTCTCATAAATCTTTTCAAGGGCATTCCAAGGGGAGCATCGGTTTTTATTGGTTCTATGAACATACCTATAGGTTCAGAAGAGATTACTGGAGTTGCCGGTTCCATCATCCAATCTATTCAACAAATGATGAGGTTTGCTCAAAGTCGTTCGCAGTTTTCTGGTCAAAATGCCCAGCCACAAAATATAGAACAGGTAACATTTTGTTATGGTTATTTTGAATTGTTGTTGGAAACTCTATTTTAAGATCCTGAGAAACACGTTTCATTCCGCGCGTCAAATCTATCAACAATTGCAACAGCAAGTCTCACAGACACAACCAGATGACCCAACCTTTCCCCAACAGTTACCTTCCAACACGGCAAGTCTTTAAAGCTAAGTTGCCTTTCGAAGTTTGTTAACCCATGTGAGATAGATCAGTGCATATTTGATAATTTTACAAGGCTTGTTAAGCAGTTGTCGTCTACTTGAGCGCTTTTTGGAGTCTATGATCATGAACTTGGAGTCTCAAAGGAATACTAATGAAACTGATTCCATTCGAGGAATTTCGTCTCGTGTAACTACAACCTTGTCTTTATTTGTTCCATTATTTTCACAAATACTGAGTGGCTCACGTGCATTTACTAATTCGATGCAATCAACTCAGGCGAACAATGTGAATAGAGGTATAAGCTCGAATAGATTTCTTACCACGCATCTTATTTAGTTTTTGCAGAAAACACAAATGAACCGCAACCACAACAGCAAATGTTACAGAATATATTGCAGTCTTTTGCTCCTCAAATCACGAACATGATGCAACAAATGTTTTCGTCTGCAACAAGTGGAGTTAATGCACAAGGGTTTATTCATATCGATAATCTTGGTATGGCAACCAATCATTCTTCGAAGGACTAAAATGTCTTTCATAGGTACTCCGATAAACGCAAATACTTCAAATCAGCCAACATCAGATCGTAGTCCAAATATATTTGTCTCGCAAGCTTCAGCACAAACCAACAGTGACACGAATACAACGGAAGGTACTCAAACAGATGCAGGATTCTTTGTAAGTTCCATGTTTTACTTGTGTTTCGTTTGATCTAAATCACTTTTTCCTTAAATAGATGAACTTGGTCAATCAACTATTGTCATCGTTTCAACAATCTCTTGCAGCTTCCAGAGCCAATCCTCACTTAGTTTCACAAGGCCCCAACAATGATGTTGGATTACCTTCAGTTAGCAGTGTTCTTCGCTCGTTTATCTCTCGTATGTAAATAATTAGTTGTGTAAAATAACTTTTTACTTTAAAGAAGGGGACCAAATGGAAGAAGCAAGCATCATGGAAAGAATAATTGGCATTGTAGGAGATCAGCTGTCCTTCTTAGACCTCATCGGACTGTCTCAAGGGAACACGAGTTGCATTAGGCGAATTCGTAGGCCAGTTCGAGAACAGTTATTAACTCAGATTTTCCCCGGTGAAGGAGACTTATCAGTTCAAGTAGGAATAGCTTCCTTCATTGTTTATTTCACTAAATAGGTTATGCAAGATTCGTGACGTTGTTGAGAGGATTGTCGATAACGAGATAGGTCCGGAATTGGAGAGATTCAATAATCTTCCAAATGTTCAAGAAAGACTTACAGAAACCGTAAGAAGTGACACTTTAAGTATCTTAATATTAAAGTGTATCTCTTCCAGGAGATTCGTAACAAGATGGTGCCCATCGTGAAAAAACATCTCGAGAACTTATTTCACTATCTGCTGGAAATAGATGTTTACTCTGATGAAGAATTTGAAAGTACTTGTCGTTCTTGGAGTTATCAAGTAGCAGGAGAAATGACTTATACTTTAGCGGTAAAGAACTAAAGAACGATCCATTTATTTTTTTTTCAAACTTTGTGGTTAGACGATGATGCGCAATGGACGTTCAGACGCTTTGGAGAGTTTGAGAGAATATATTTCGACTCGAGCAACCGAAACTTTTGGTACACAACTTGGTGCCATAGCAGCAATTGGAAGTGTAGCAATCGTTCATTTTGCGACTGATGCGTATGATCAGTGGGAGTTGCAGCATTCATCTCGAACTATAAGAGATGATGGAGGACCACGAGAATTGAACTTGAATGCAGGATCAGGTGATGCTACACAAGTCATTGCTCAAGAACAACTTAAAGCAGCAGCTGCTGAGTTATTGGCAGAAATGGAAATAGACTCTGACCATGCAACAAGTTCGCAAGCAATGAATGCATCTTCGTCACAAAGAGATGCACAAATGCGTCTAGTTGTGAGTCTCTGTTTTGGGTATAATATCAATTTTTTATTTCTCTTTTGGATAGGAGAATTTTCGTCATTCTTTGGGACAAAGTCTTCCTTCACAAGTTGTCGAGGACTTGACACATCGTGTCCTGCGAGATCTGGATCATTTGAAGGTCAGTGTTTACTACTTGGAACGAGTGAATTCGCATTGACTCGTAATGAAAGAATGTGAAACGGAAACCTTTAAGTAAAGCATATCGAAGAGGATATTCTGACTCTGATATGCATGAAAGAGCAGCAGATACTCCCAAATCCTTATCTGCCGAGGACTCACACAAATTTGCAAAGCATTTATTAAGGCAGGCAATGCAAGAGGCTGAAGTTTCCGATGAAGAAATAGAACAGGTACTCTATTTGGTCGAAGAAATGATTGCTTTTTCATTACTTTTATTTTCAGATACTTGCTCGGTTTGATCAAGAAAGAATTGGCGAAGTGTACAGCGACGAACTGATAAGAAGCTTTTCTTCACGAGTCTGGTGTGACTCAGACTGTCAAGAAGAACGGTAAGGCCTACTTTCTATTTGAGTGTTTGGTACTTGTAAAATTCAAAAATTTCGTATGATAGTTTTCCCTTTGTGTGTAGGCAAATTTCTGGTATGAAAAGGTGAATTAGGTCCAAAGTCTCAATGTCTCTCGTTACCCATAAACTTCAGTTTCTTTTGGGAACTGGTTTATTCTCGTAGTCTGCCGACGCCAGTTGTTTTGCTTTCTAAAGTTTTCTTTTTTCAACTTTGAAGTTATTCCCTGAGAACGATGCATACCTCATATTCTTCCTCCAAAGATATCTTTTTCTTCTTAGAAATATCCACTTTTAGTTCTTCCGCTAGTTCCTTCGGGAATCCCTCCAAACGATCCCTGGCTTCTTTCACCTGCATATTGGCCATATAAGTTCCTTTATAAGTTTTCTAGCTATCTTAACTTACCTCTACTCTGCCTTCCATTATATAAGCCATGCCGTATAAACCACCAAGAAGGAAGGTAATAAAGGGTAGGCCTACTTTGTAAACATGGGAAGGAACCCTTTCTAACATAATTCTTCTTCGGAAATTTTTTGGAATGCTTTTGATTCAAATATTGGTTTACATTTTCCATCCAGTTACTGCATGAGAGAGATATAAGATGCAATAACACTTGTCGTTTGACAAATTGCACAACTGAGCATATTTATCTTGAAATCTTTTGACAAAGACTATGCTCCAAATACTTCTCACTTAAAACCTATTGAGAATAAAAATTGCAGACAATGTATCGTAACTTTAGGTGTGAAACTGAAGTTGGAAAATATCTATTTGCACAGTACAACTAAGTGATTGTTCTTCACCGCAACAAGAGAACTGAAAAAAAACATAAATAAGAAATGCAGAAACCTTTCCAACTATGAACTCGTTGAAATGTATAAAGCCAAGTCTAATCCACGACAGTTTTATTGTTGACCTCCAAGTTTTTGCTTTTCTTGTTGCATACGCTTGGCTTTTATCTTCTCTGACCAAGTCATAGGTCGACTAGTCGGTGCTTCCGTCGAAGATTTGGTTTCTTCTGCTTTCTCCGGGCCTACAACTTCCGGGACTTCTCTTCCATCTCTACCAGAAAGTTCCTTTGATGTGGAAATGTTATCAGAAGTATTCTTCTGTGATATTTCTTTGGTTCCATTGACATTGTTCTCCAGACTTTCTGTCGCTTTGGCTGCTTCCTCTTCATCCTTTTCTTTCCTTTGTCGTTCTTCTTCTGTTCTTCTCCATTCTTCAAATAATTGCCGTGCATGGTTCCTCAGTTGTGCTGTTAATTGCTGTCGTTCATCTTCGATGGATAAATACAAAGCTTTGTCTTTTAGATCTTCTTCGTGACGCTTTCTAGCATTTTCTACTATTTTCTGTGCTGTTTCTTGCGCAGTTTTCACAAACTGTTCCGAGTCTTTTCGGTGCTTCTCCTTCAGTAAGCTCCATTGCTCTTCTCTTAAAGCTCGATCGGTGTAATCCAACTTCTTTGCATAACTCTGCAATCGTCGTTCTATTTCTCTTCTTTGCTTAAGTTCTGCTTCTTTCTTCTTGATCATAAGGTATTCTGCATTGTTCAATTCTTCCTCTTCAATATCAACTGCACCTTGTTCCGTCAACTCCTTTTTCAGCTTACTGATTTCAGCCTTAACCCAAACTTATCAAAAACAGGCAACATAACACATTGGACGACTATTTACCTTGTCACGTTCTTTCATTTCCCTTTCAAGCCTTTCTACAGTCCTGCGTTTCGCATCTTCTTGAACTTTCCTTCGCTCTTCTTCTTCTTTCCTTTGTTGTTCAAGAGAAGCTTGCGTTCTTGCCTCATGTTCCGCCTGAGCAATTCTCTTCTCTTGCTCTTCCTTTCTTCGTTCAATAATACCTTTTCTTGAAAGAATTTGTAAATGCTCTATTTCTGAATTCTGCTGATATTGTTGTAAAGCTTTCTTCATTAGTTCATTCTTCTGCTCGTACTCGGATTGTAGTTTGCCTTCCTTTCGAGAAATCATCTCTAAACAACGAAGGAATCTCGAAGAAAGAAGCTTCAAGTGTGAACGCATTTCCTAGGAAAAATTCAATTCCAAAATCCTGACAACTTTGAATCAGTTACCTCCGTGTCGAACAAGTTAGACTCGAACAAAATACAATGACGACGATGATCGATTCGGACTTGCAAAACCCTTGCTTTCAATGCCTCTAAAGCTATAGTTTCTATTTCATCATAACTGCAGAACTTTCCCAACTTCTTCAGACGCTCTAGATCCATTGAATCATATAAAAGACACAACTGTTGTAATAACCGAAAAGCTGCAACTTTCTTAAGTGGCTTTATATACTCTTGATAAGCTGGCTCCTTCTCCATAAATGATAGGATTGGCTCTAAACGGTCTGCAAGGCGTAAAGCATTTACATCTGTTTCCAATATGGCATGTAAATTGCGAAGTTCCTCAGCACAATTATCCAATACGCTCCTCGACTGCACTTCGGCTACTAATGTCTCTCTTAGTGGAGACGATGCGTATCCCAGTAATGCAGCCATCCTTGCTTGACGACTTCCATCATTGGTCCAACCTGCAGCGTCCAACTGCGAAAAATAATCAGCAACGAGTGCTCGATGTTGGTCGTAGACTGGTATACAAAATACTGCCAAAAGCAACTTCGATGCCATGGTCTTCAACTCATCAGCAGAAACTCCCTTGTGATGTTTTAACAGAAATACATATAAACGATATAAACTACATGCGTGATATAGCGTATTCTCAGAGGCGTGAAAAATCTAAAAACAAAATTTCAAGCTTTTCAAACTAAAGCACTACAAAAATTTACCTCAACGAGACGCTTGTAATAGTTGACCATCATTTGTGCCTTAAGAGCCTTTTTTGAAAGGCCTATTAAAGTATGAATATCTTCACAAGTACGATAAGCTTCTTGCCACAACTCCAACTCCACAGCCGTGTTCAACTGCGCAAAACGCGTTTCAAGGAATCGTTGAACAGTATCAGGATTTGATAGTTGAACATCATTTGAAGCGTTGCGTGGATATTTTATCAGTTGATTCAAGTGTTGGCGGAGGATATCACACAGACGGCGAAACTCCACAAGTCTCTTACCGCTCTGACAAAAAGTAAATGCCTTTTCTGCCATTTCGTGATAACAAAGTTCCAACTTAGAATTTCCTTTCAGAATATCTAATACGATCCGATATATTTCCCATATGAATCTCATCCAAGGAACAATGTTTTGCCTCTCTGCTCTTTCTTTTGTTTGCTCTGTTCCTGCGGCTTCCAGTAACAGAGCGAATGGAGTTTCACTAGAGTCGTCCAAATCTTCCGAAACTCTGCTTGAAACTGTGGTTGAAGAGTGAGCAGCTTGCAACTTGGCCAGGGAAATTTGAATCAAATACCGAACGACTGTTTCTAAAGACTGGGAATAAACGTGAGAGCACATAGCTCGGTACTTATGAAGAGCTTCTTTGATCATAAGCGTTCTTTTCAGTTCAACCGCTAATTCTACAAACTTCAACATGACCCCTTCAAAAGACTTGTTCCACTGTCTCCTTCGATTCTGCGAGTCTGTTATTACATCGTAAAGGGTCTGAAGAGCAACGATGTGTTGTCCAACTTTGAGGAGCTCTACATAACAACTCGATGAGAACAGTTCAAAAGGAGAAATAACATACTCACGTTCAGCTCTATTCAAAGCGTTTTCTGGTTTCGGAACTCCTAAAGGTGATTGCTGCATGTAAGGCATATTCATGCCTCTTGGAACGAAGGAGTTGTTCTTTCCTCGTGGTCCCATCCTAAAAGTAAGACAAACAGACTAGACGGAGCACCACGTCAAACTCTAAATAGCGACGATTTTTAAGGCTACAATCCATTCGGATTGTAATAACCATTTCAGCAGGTCAGCGGAGAGTCTGTGAGAACGAATAAAGCAAGTTGATGGTTTGAAATAAAAAAGTGTGCATCTAGTTTCGTTGGACAGTACTATAGGCTCTAAAAACAGTCTAGTATTCTATCTCAGGTGTCTTGGGGAAACTGTATACAGTGTTAAAACAACAATAATCCTTCAGTATGAACTACATTTCAATTATTTCTCAAACGATGTCATACATAGAAAAAACTTGAGTATTATTTTTCACTTTTCGTTCCTTTTCACTGCACTTGCAGAGAAGAATTCCTATTAAGCAAAGTCGATAAGGACCATCCATCGATCACTCTCCAAAAGACCCGCATTCCATTCTTTTCAACCAAAGATTTGAAATTTTGAGTCAATGCCTTCGCAGCAAATACAATATTCAGAGAAATATTACGACGATACATATGAGTATAGGTACTATAAAAGCTTTTAGTATCTTCGAACTCAATCTCAAACGGGTATATAGGCACGTTATTCTACCCCCAGATATAGCAAAACTACTCCCAAAAAACAGGCTGTTGTCGGAAGCAGAATGGCGTGGTCTCGGAGTTCAACAATCAAGAGGCTGGGTGCACTATGCAATCCATCGTCCGGAGCCAAATATATTACTTTTCAGAAGACCTAAGCAAACAGACACACAACAGACGCAAAACAACATAGTTAGTAAGCAACAGCAGAGCCAAGAGCAGAGACCGGTGGACGTTCTCCCATAAAACTAAATAACAAAGTGCCACTCAACTGGAAATCTCTTGTCGTTATCTTAGTGGATTCTTTCTTGGTTAATGAGTTGCAATAAAACAAAAGTTGCTTAGATGGAGTAGGAATAGATAAATGTGTGTAACTTGTTGTGGTTTGTCCCAATTTTTTTGGTATTGTGCAGAAGACCGCTCATGTTAGCTCTTGGGAAACAACTTGCGAGGAAAGTGTTTTCTCGCAATCGTTACAACCAGAAATTTTTCGAGCACTCAGCAGTCACTAAACCTGCAGAGAAAGCCGTTCCGGACCCTGTAGTCGAATCTGATGCGCAACCTCAAATAGACTCTGTCGATTCCCTAGGAGTCATATCTGGTGTGCCTGAGAAACATTTGAAACGAAGAGTTAAAATTTATAAACCTCCAAGGCACGCTTAGAACAGGTTTATGGTCAGATTCAATGAAAGTTTTCTTTAGGACAGCCACACAACAAGGAAGAGGCTCGAAGTATGCCGTTTGGAAACTAGAGTTTGAGAAGCTTGAAGAAGGAGATCGTTGGACGAATCCTTTAATGGTACCCATTTTTGTTTCTTTATTGCCTTTTACTGAGTCTTATTAGGGTTGGACTAGTACTGGTGACCCGCTTTCTCAAACTGCTGTTTATTTTCCTGATAGAGAATCGGCTATAGAATATGCAAGACGTTATGGTGCATATGATTTGTTTCAAAGTTGTAAGTTTCTGTAGTAATTCTTGTGCACTTAGGTTTGTCTTACATCATTTACGAACCGGAAGAGGAGGAAGAACACATCAGAAGTTTCAATGCTTATGGGAAAAGTATGGTTCATCAATGGAATCATAACGGAATTCCCAAATATGAAGACGAAGAATGACAGCTTTGTTTAGTAGCGGAAATAAGAAGCTTGTTTACGAAGCACTAGTTGTTTGGGTGTCCTTTCTGAACAAAAAGGACAACAAAATTTGTGTTTAACTGAATGTATTTCGGCAACTGTTTTTTTGTTAAAGTAGCCTAGTGGCCAATTTAAGCGTGTCCACTCTATATTTCCGTATTCGTCTATGCAGACTTTCGATACACCAAAATTGTAGAAAAACCGTACTTATCAACGACCCCGTTTCCTTCAGTCTTGTTGTGTATAGTCCTTAAGTAAGTCATAAGCATAAATTTGGATGCTTATACCCGGAATAGTTTTCAACATGTTCATCATAGTTCCACGATAGAAACTCCGAAAACCTTCATTCCTCCACATGGAAAGTATGCAGTCTAAAATGGATTTGTATTTCTTCAAACCAGAACGTGAATTCATTTGCATTCGACGTCTGACCGTATCAAAAGGATAAGTAATCGATTGCGCAATCACACCGGTCAAGGCACTTAAAGACAATTTTGATATATGAACATGCATCCATATTTTATCCTCTTCTGGAACAAATGTCTTTAGGAGATCGTATGTGATAAATGCAGTTGCAATGTAAGGCATCATACCGAATACTGAAGTGCCTACTCCACTATACAGTCCAAAAAAACCTTCCTTGCGAGCAATCTGTTTCGTGCAGTCCAGTATTGATGCATATTCTCTGGAAATCCCTTGGCGAGAAACATCCGCAGCAAAACGCGTCCTTACGAGATCCAAAGGATAAAAGATAAGTACTGCACTAGTACCAGCCAAAACTCCGGAGCCTACTTTCCGCAATATCAAGTCAAATCCATCATAGGATCTGTTCTTGGGTAGAAACACTTGATTTTTAAAGTATTCATACAGGAATAACTTGAAGCCAGAACCTGGTATACTTCTTAGGAGATTTACTCCATTTCCTCTCCAATAAGCCCAAAATCCTTGTTCCCTTGGAATTCCTATCCAACTTGAGCAGTGTAAGTTGGAAAGTTCAACGACCTACTTTTGAGGGCTTCCATCCCTGTTCGATAGCGAGCATATGAAGGTAAAGGAGTAAGAGGTTGAACCTGCAACAGAATTTTTGCTCTATCTATTGGAGCGACTAGTGTTTTTGAAACGGTTGTAGCAACAGCAGTCAGGGACAAGTCCCAAAACCGTTCAGAACACATCAATCAGAAAATGGTTACATTATGTGGTAGGCTTGCAACATCAAATGGCTTTCATTTATTTATCGCTTATAACACACGTTCCAAAGAAACAATACACTCTCCAGCAGAAGCACCGGAAAGCATTTTGTCAGCCAAAAACAAATGCTCTTTACAAAAAGCATTGAGAATCTGCTCGGCATCGCTGTACGCACGTTCTAACAGGAATCTTTTACAATCCTTCCAGTCTTCTTTTCTGCAGCCTTTACCACATTTAGATTTGAATATATTCAAACAACTTCCTTACCGAATTGTGTCCACATTGACTCATCTAATTTGTCTACAAAACGCCATATTTTGTCGGGATTTATTTCAAAAAACAGTCCATCAATTGCTGATTCTGCTGCCAAACCTGAACACATCCATACTAAGTATTTATATAGAAGTTCACTTTCTCTGACACTCAGTGACGTCATGCTTTCTAAAGAATCGTTTTCTGTGTTAACAACGAGCTCTAGCAACGTTCGATGATGACGAATCAAAGCTTCTCCATTTGGTTGAAAAAATAAATAGGGAATACCCAACAAATATCCACTTAATAAAAACGCTGCTTCACATCGACTTGTACGAACAGCATCATCAGTAAATATTCGTCGTAAGCCACGTTCAACTGAACGATATACTTTTCCACTTCCCATATAACGATCTGCTGCTAATCCAAAGAAAATCAAAAGAAGAAAAACAGTCGGTTCCCAGTCTTCATGATGGAGTATTAAAGGATTAATAAGTTCCATGGAAAGTCCAACCCCTAAAAATCCTAAGAAGCATAAACCAAATAAAGTATCGCTCATAACTGGTCCTGACGGAAAAGCAGACCTTCCACTTTTCATCGACGAAAAATTCTGTGGTACAATCATATTAACATTCTTTAAACTAATCTTACTCAAAGAGGAGTACTCAGATTGAGTTCTTGTGAACTTGGGTATTATGACAGTACGTGATCCGAATTTTCGAGCAAGTCCTGTTCTTTTAAGCCAACCAAGAATTTGATAAAGGAGAGTAATATTCCTTTCCTTTATAGCAGCATCAACTGCTGACTGAACAAAGAATTTATTCGCTTTCTTCATAACAACGACAAGAACACCAACCTTTATGATACGAATTGGCAGGTTTAACTTGTGTGAATGCACATAGTTGAAAACAGAAAAAGCCTCTTGAAATTCCTTCCTTTCAAAAAGAGATTCGAGTATAGCGCCAATCTCCGTTTCGTCGCAAAAATTAGCAACAAAGTCAAGATAAGATTTTCGTGTTTCTTTGCTATTATTATTATTATAGGAAGAGTTCTCTTCAAAATATACTTCTCTGGTTCCCTCTTCAGGGTGCTCTTTTGTGTCTTCCGTTCCACGAGCGTCTCCTTTCAACAAGAGATAGTAATGTCTTCTTGGAGCTCTTTCAAGCCTACTTCGTGAACATTGTCGAAAATAAGTCCTTCCCTCAAAACAACAAACGTTTTTGAAAGAATATGAACATACAATGACTTGAAGGAAACTGAAATTGAGCATGAGCAGTTGGACTCCAAAATTTTCAACTGTTTCAAAATCTGATTCAATTGTTGATGAGAGAGAAGGCTCAATCCAACAATTATCTCCTTGCAGGAAACTGATAGTAAGCTTACTCTAAACTGGTAACCATATGTATAATAGTATTATAGAATCGTTTATCTTTCGAACATCGAAACTGTTGTCTGTATTGGAAATGGAAGCTTGTCAGAAAATTGTCAATTCACTGTACAGCTTTATGCACTAAAATATTAGCAGTTTTGTTAGGTTCAATTATTCAACTACTCGTTCACAATTAATGTTGCAGTTGCAGTCCTTCTGCAGGGACCGTAAGACAAATATAAAGGGAAGATACTTTTGAAAGCGCCACATTTTTAATAGCTTCTTCTCGATAAAAACTATCTATGGTTTCTAATTTCATGTAATATTCCTTGTTGTTTGTCCTTGTTAGTAAATTCCTTTCTTCTAGGAGCTAAAGTCCTTCTTTATCACACTTTCTTGCGTCCCAGTTTTCGAATAATCGATAAGTCTCAAAGAATGGACAGGAAACAGTCATGAATACACAATCATTTCCATTTGACAACTTCATGTTTCTTCTTTCGTGTTGAACTAAATTAAGGAAAATGCACTTTGAAAGTGACAGTGAATCGCTTTCAACTAGAGCTAAAACGTTTTTCTCGCACAATGTTCAAAGGCTTCCAACATAATTCAACAATACTTCACTTTCAAACATAATGCCTTTACTTTTCACTAAACCATATCACGCAGAGTGAACAGATTCCCAAGCTCTCATGACAACGCTGTCAACTTCTCTTTGAGCTCCATGTCTACAACTGATCCTTTCCAAAGCAAGGGTATTGCTACAAACGCTCAAAAGTAACATGTGGTCAACCAAGAAAACCACGCCAAAATCAAATATTCTACAAGATTGGAAAAATAAGAATGTACTGAAATAGGATTGCTATCTCGTTGAATTTGCTTCAGTTTCATCGTATCGAATTATTATCAAAGCCAAACTGAAGATACGTAGGTCTTCCTAACAATCCCGCATCCGACTCAACATTTTAAACTTGCACAGTTAGACTCGAACTCTCAAATCAACCAAGAACGTCAGATACAACAAGGTAGTCATTAACCTGCTAATGAGAAATTCTGTGACTCCGCGTCCTCCTCCTCTTCCTCTTCTAATTCATCAAATCTTGAAAAATTGGCGAGTCCTCTCTTTTCTAATGTCATGAAAGTATCGTTCCGACCATCACTTCTGTGACTCCATTTTCGCCTAAATAAAATTATGGATTCAAATTCCTCCAAGAATACACTTACCTAACCAGTAGAATAACCTCTCCAAGAGCTCTTTCGTGATAGATGTAAATAAGTCCAAATAGAAATCCTTGTAAGCTCTGGGTCACTGCATGAAGCACCATGAGACCAAATGGCGAATATCCTTGATGTGTTAGTTCATAAAAGCGATTAATCAGACTTCCAATTCTGGTGACAATAAAAACCATCAAATATAAACTAACTCGAAGGGCCCTTCAAATAGACGTGAACCAAAGTCAAGAAAAACTCATTTGTGAACATACCAAAAAATGGTTTGCCTTGCAAATGTTGAACGAGTTGTAGCTGCAGGATAAAAAGATTTCCTAAGACCTAGCATACTACGATAACGTTTGTAAACGATAATTACGATGACAACGTAAACAACTACGTTGATAGCTAGCAGGATGAATAGTGGAACATAAAACAACGCAAATTTCCAAGAATTCTCAGTTATCCAGCACCATTCATAGCTATTCTCCGAAGCTGAATTGTCAAATTTCCCAGATAATAGCAGAATAATAACTGTAACAGCAGGAAATCCCTATTGAGTCCTCCATTTAGACGCAAAAGAATATGGAAGGGACGAGTGAACTACATACCCAACCCAAACCATGGTAGATAAGAGAGTGCTTTCTGCTTGCTCTTGAATTGTTTCTAACAAATACCGTGTAAAGTTGGTGAGCAATACAGGTTACCCAAACGAAACTCGAGAGGTAGAAAAATTGATTTCCAGCAGCCTCTATACTACAAAAACTGTCTCCAAAAGAGCCGAGATGCATATTAAAAAGAGGAGCAAAGAAGCAAGCGAAACTAAGTTATCAGCTGAGAACCTTCAAAAAGTTGAGAAAACAACGTTGCAAACCTCAACCATAGAACTGGTTCATCGATTCTTCTTTTACCACCAGTAACACTAGTTCTTCTACGCAAAAGATGGAAGACTATAACAAACAGGGATATCGCCATGGACAAGGAACCCAGTGCGATGCTCAAGTGACGAACTACACTCTGCTGACTTTCTGTTAAGTTTCTCATTCAAACTCCTTCCAAATAATAGTATTGTAATGAATTTGCGGAAACCCCCTATACGTCGAGGGTTTTCCAAGGCTTCTGTTTATACAGTAGTGGTCGTTGTTTTGTTTATCTGTTTGTGGTTTATGAGTGATAATAAGTGGTCAATTGCACGCTTGTTGAGTTTCTCACTCCCAAGTTGCAAGAACGGAAAGGGAACTTGCTTTTATGTCGAGGGTTTTCAAGGTTGTGGTTTTTTCCGAACTGGTAAGCGTTTCGATGACAGAAATATTGTGAAGAGAATTCGACTAAAGTACAACAGCTGCATGTTTAGCGCAGAAACTTGAGGAGCAACATCAGGGAGAGGTAAAGGTGTTTGTCACCATGCGTTCTCGTGAATCCTGGCCTCAGGCCTTGGAAGAAACGAAAAAACATATTCCTGGTGCAGAAGAACATCGAACCTCACCTATAGTGTATGAAGTATGTAGAAATTTTTGAAGACTGTCTGATACAACTCTCAAACGATCGTATAAGGGTTGTCCTTCAGAGGACAGAAAAGCGCCAACCTGCTTCAAATTTGTTGGAGGCTTTACAGAGTTTTTCCAAGAGGCTACCAAAAGGTTTGGACCTGTTGACTTGACGGATTGCGCCAAGTTTCAAGCGCAGCGGCTCTGAGTTCTTTATTTGTTCATCTTGCTTCAAAGTTTTGTTAAGATGAAAAGATAACGGAGAAAATGTTCTTCATCATATGACGACTTGAAACCTGGAAACGGCAGTATAAAGTGTAGTTTTTCATATAAAAGTTGATGGGTTTTCAGAAGCACACAGGTGTCCCTGGGTAGTCATACAATTATTTTATTTCAGTCACTGATATTGCTGCCAAGAAAGAGTTTGTTTTCCAAAGTTCATGTTTCAGCGAGAGCACTTGTCTATGATTATAGCTTGTTCCTTAATTGACTTCTATACGTAGGGTTGTTTTCATTTGTATATTATTCACTGGCAGTTTTTACTCTTGTGTTATCATCCACATAAGACGACGAAAAGTTTCCAAATAAATTAAATCTTCCAAAACCAATTCAGTATGAAAAGCTTCAATCTGATAAATGAACAGAATAGTCTTCATTTTGTCTTCTCCCAATATGTGGCTTTTTGAGATAAGCTTCCGTTTGCATTTCACTCAATCTCGATAAAGTTCGCTCCGATGCAAAAAATTCTTCGGGTTCTAGTCCTTTGGAAAAATCCAAGTCTTCCTTTGAAAACAAGTTATCCAATTCCACGGTAGAGGAACAAAATAATTTGGTACAATGATCTATCTATATTAAGAAAATGATGCAATAGGCAATCTTATACTTGCTTACCATAAAGCGCATCTATCAAATTAATAAATCGGCGGGCTCTATTTCTTTCCGTAAATAGTTTGATTTCTGGAATATCCTCAATCAAGACAGAGCGAAATGTTTCGGCCAAAACGACAAAGTCAGCTGCTGATAAGGCCTAAATGTAAATGTTAGAAGAACGCAAATGTAAAAAGCTGTATGCAAATACTTACCTCATCACAAAGCTCAGAAAAGGAAAACCTTGCAATGCCTTTACCAGTCCTTTTGATAACGAGCTTACGTGAAAAAACATCCAAGGTTACTGGTTTTTCCGTGGAGTCACCAGAAAGTGCAAGAAATATCTTATCCATTTGACGTTTTCTCTTTTCTTCTTCTTGACAAACGTAAAATACGATGCCATGCCTTTGGCGAGAATTTGAAACGTCACGAAGAATCATCTGCATACGATAATCCGTTTGAGAGGAAGCGTGAAGCACCCGGCAATAGTCATACAAAAGTGGTATAAATGGCAAAAATAGTTCTCTTTGAATTCCATTCCAGTAAAGTTCTTCTGGAGCACGATTCGAAGTAGTCACCAAAATGAGTCCGCGTGAAAATAGTTCTTCACCCAAACGACGAAGCACGAGAGCATCCGCAACGTCTGTCACCTGAAATTCATCAAGACATAATAGCCAGCACTCCGAAGCTACTTGGGCTGCAACTGGTGGAATTGGATCGCTGCCATGATTTTGAGAATGTACTCTAAATTGGTGAATTCTCTTATGAACACTCATCATGAAATCCTGAAAATGCATTCTATACTTGAACTTTCCGGGAGTCAATTGATAAAACATATCCATAAGAAAAGTTTTTCCACTTCCAACGCCTCCGTAAATGTAAATTCCTTTAGGAGAAGTGACTTTTGTTTTGCTTTTCAGAAAAGGAAAGAAACTGCCAATCCTATTTACGAAAAATTCCTTTCTGGTTTTCTTCACAAGAAAATTTCTTTCTTCAAAGTCACCTACTTGTTTTAGTAATCGGTCAAATTCTGCCGCAGACCGTAGTTGTCCGGGGTCTTCTTGTATTGTGCCGGTAGCTGCCAAACTTTGATACAATTCTGTTACTGTTTTTGCTTCACTCTTTGCAACTTGTTCTGATATAGAGAAAATATTTGGAGTTGTTTCGCTTGTTCCTTTCCAAGTAGAAGATACGTCAGATACCTGCTGAAACAAACCGGAAATAGTCGAAATATTTCTTATAACAAAGTTGTTTTTCAAACTAGTTGATATATTTGTGCTTTTGGCAATCCACATTTGCGTTCAAAGACGACGTGGACAAATGAATTTCTCCAAAACACGTAAAGATTTTAATGAAAAGTCACTTTTCTACAATTCTCACTAGTGTCCATTTAAAACGACTTGCACAATCATCATACTTGTCCTTGTAGTGATATCCATTTTTTCTATTATTGTTTCAAATACATTCTTCCTTTTGTACCCAGAGTCGAAACATTCGTTATATGTTCAGAAACTCCTTTTTGAATGAAGAGTTTTCTGATTGGGGGAGAATGGATATTTCAAACTCGCAAGACGATGCACCAAACATAGCTTTGACAGAAAAGAAAGAAGAACGTCCAATCATTGAAAGCTCGTCGGTGAACACTCTTGCTGTGGAAGACGTTAGTAAAATACGAACTGAAGGTGTTTTACCGTTGAGAGAGAACCCCCAAGTGGCAAAACTGGAACAAGAAACCAATCTTGCCTCCGAAGGAGATCCTTCCAATGGGAAAGAAAGTACCAAGGAAGATAAAGATATGCATATAAAAACTGTGGAATCGGAAGAAACTGTAGATAAACAACAATCGGAACAGGTAGACTATTCCAAGGAAACAACACTAGAAAAGAGTAATACGCTAGAAGAAAAAGGGGAAATTGAGAATAAGACAAATCAATCTTCAGACAATATAACTGCAGAAAATGTTAGTAAAAAAGTTACAAGACAAACAGCCGCCTCAGCTGTCAAGACTAAGAACACTTCTTCTAATACTGAAAGCAAGTATGTTCCAGGTTCATTGGAGGAATATCGTCATCGTGTCTTGCACTTAGAGAGGATATATTTGACAAAAGTTTATGAGGCAGAACGTGCCAAGCTATATCATGCTCAGGTTGCAAAGATAAACTATGAGTACGACTGTCAACAGGCAGAAGAGGAGTTCGAACTTGGAAGAAGATTGCTGATTACTCGACTTTTATATGAAAATGCTGATAGAAGAAGAAGAATCGAAGAACTAAAGTATAAAATTGTTCGAGATGAGAACAATTCCTATTTAAGACTTAGGAGACACGATGTTGGCCATCGAACGAGGAGCACACTTCAACCTTTCAACAGTGATAATAATAGAAATGTTGTTGGCGGCAAGGAACTTATAAATGGACAGGAAAAGGAAGGAACATTATTTCCGAGTTTACAAAATTGTGTTACAGATCAAGATGCCCATTTATCTCAGCTAGGAGTATCTGGTCGTTGGAATAGATTGGTAAGAGCAACCAAACGGTCTAATGAAGAAAAGAACCAACTTCGAGTTGTTCTCGATTCTGATGAGATGAAGGAAGACTTGGCTGAAATTAGTGCTACTCCCCATAAAGGAACTACTGTAAATTCTTGTGAAGGTAGCAAATATAAAATTGCATCAGAAGGTGCACCAGAGGAAAGGAGATCGCATACATATTATCATGTTCGGGGTCGTAAAAGGAAGGCAAGGGGAAAGGGACGAGTTGCATATGGGAAAAACAGATAAAATGTTATTATAATATCTTTAATTTGCAACATGAATTAACTTGAACCATTTGTTGTTGATGAATTGCAACAAAAAAAGCTCCATTCATTTGATGAGTATCGCGTATCATAAAAATGAAAGCATTCCATAATGAGAACCCCATAAATCTATTTTTCTTGTCCATGTCCAAGTCGATGTTCTTTCCGTTGCTTCAAACTTTCCAGTATTCTTTTTATAAAGGAAGACATAGTTATTCACTATTTGTCAAGGCATATCGTTGGAGACGAATATCTGCTATGAATAGTTTTCAAGGTTTTTTCTCTTCAGATACAACTTCTGTGCAAAATACAAGTAGATTGCAAATCAATAGGAAAAAGATAGATGGTTCTCAATCGAGTGGTAATAACCCAGCTCTCAAACAGGCTGCTGCAAGAGCTCGTAAGAAACCAAGAAAAGTTGTTAGAGTACTGGAAGATGATGGAATCGGAATCTGCGCAGCATATTGTCTGCCTAGTAATGTAGACTTACAGGTGATCAGTCGAGAACTTTCCAATTTTCCTCAGTGCACTTTAGACTCTGAACAGATACCGTATGCCAATGACGTCGTTCATGCGACTGTGTCGGTACAACCTACTTCTGCTGATCGAGCAGAGACTATAGTTATTCAATCTGAAACAAGCAAATCCTCTCCCACTACAATAGGCCATCTGTTTGTCTTCGAAAGCGGTGCTCTCGTCTTTTGGGGTGTTCCTTTTTATAAAAGGAGCGAAATATTCAATAGGTTACTGGAAACTTTGAGATTTTCGTTGGCAACTGCGATGACGCTATCTAGTAAAGCTTCTACATCCAAAGCACCGTTTTTCAGTCTTCATGACTTTGATCATGAGTTTGACTATTATACTGGTTCTTCTAAAACAAAAGTAGAAAATGATGAAATTCATTTGATGGATATTGATGATAAGCTCGAGTTGATGGCAATATCATATTGTTTGGCACAGTCTGTAAAACTCTTATTATACGAGGAGGAGATTGACACTTTAGTAAATAATACCTGGCAACTTCCATTGGAGCTTGCACAGACTGGAAGTATACGAATGTCCAGGAAGGATATAAAGAAGAGAATAGGCGAACTTTTAGCTGCTAGATATCGAGTGAATCTGTTGTCCGATCTGCTCGATGCACCCGATCTTTTTTGGCAGTTTCCTGATTTAGAAATTCTTCGTTCTCAATGTTTCAACACGGTTGATTTTCATAAAAGGACTCGCCTATTGAATAATAGAATGGAGATAATCAAGGATGCATTGGATATTTTGAATACTGAACTAACTGCAACGAGCTCTCATCGCGTTGAACAATTTATCGTTCTTCTGATTGCTATTGAGGTTGGTTTTGAAATAACTAAACTTTTCTGATATCTTGGTACTTTAGTGATATGAGAATAGCTCTAATTATTTCTGTGCGAGTTAGATGAATTATTGTCGTTTGTTTTCTGATGTGAATATCTCTATTGTATGGATATTTTTAGGTTTCTCTACTACAGATAGCGTTTATTGTTGTGTCCAATGACCATTGAAAAGATAGTGTTGTTTCAATACTATATAAATTGGTTGATGAAATATTTCAAAGAAATGATTTCTTTAGCGTTCTCTTCTCCATATATGTTTAGTCATGTAGCTATATTCATATTGTTGTTGTGCCACTTGTCCAAAATGAATCGCAATTGGTTTCTGTACAACTAGCTTGTGAAGCTTTGAATGAATGTGGAAATACAACGCAAGGTTAGAAAACGCGGTAGACAGGCAGCGTTGAAAGACTTGGAAACAAAGTCTCAACTAACCGAGGATGAGAGGGACCAAGATGAAGATGACACAGTTTCCATGCCATTGCCGAAACAAGCTCTGTATTCCTTTGCCGAAAGAGAAGAACCAAACAACAAAGTGGCGTCTACAGAGCAGACTGGTATTCCAAACCTGGCAGATTTTTCACAGTTAAAACTAAAGGTTGACCACGAAAGACGACCTTTGTGGGTTTGTCCTTCAGGAAAGATATTTCTAGAGACTTTTTCTCCGCTTTACAAGCAAGCTTATGACTTTTTGGTTGCAGTTTCTGAACCTGCAAGTAGACCAGAGTTTATTCACGAATATATGATAACGCCATACTCTCTTTACGCAGCAGTTTCTGTAGGCCTCGAAACCGAAACTATTATCAGAGTTCTGGAACGTCTATGCAAGACAACCTTACCTAAAGAAATTGTGGAATTGATAACCTCGAGCACAAAGACATATGGAAAGGCAAAACTTGTTTTACATCGAAATATTTATTATATTCAAAGTCGCTTTTCAACAGTGTTAGATACGCTACTGAAGGATCCTTTGCTGGCTGAATGTTGTGCGCGAACAACAATGGGGTTGTTGGAACAGAAGAATCTTGCTTTAACGGAAGTAAAAAATGGTTCATTGCTAAAAGATGACGATTTGGTACACAATATTGAAAGAGCCTTGGAAGAAGATGATCTCGATGAGCCGTATTCTGAACAAAGGGGCTTGAAAGGTTCTTCAGAGGTACTTGGAATAGAAATAATTGCGGAAAAAGTTGAGCACGTGAAACGTCGATGTATTGAATTAGATTATCCTCTGTTGGAAGAATATGACTTTCGTAACGATATTAGAAATCCGAATATAGAGATGGATCTGAAAGCAACAACCCAGGTGCGTCCTTATCAAGAAAAGTCGCTTTCGAAAATGTTTGGAAATGGTTTGGCAAGATCAGGAGTCATTGTGTTACCTTGTGGTGCAGGGAAGACGTTGGTGGGAGTTGTTGCTGCTTGTACCATAAAGAAACCGACATTAGTTCTTTGTACCTCTGCAGTTTCTGTGGAACAGTGGCGACATCAATTTTTGTTATGGAGCACTATCGATGACAAAAACATTTCTCGTTTTACTGCCGATATAAAGGTTAAAAAGGATAGTGGCTGGTTGGGCAGTGTCACAATAACTACTTATACCATGGTGGCTTTTGGAGGCAAACGTTCAAGAGAGTCGCAAGAAATCTTGGAAGAGATGCGTAGTAGAGAATGGGGTCTTATTTTGCTGGATGAAGTTCATGTCGTTCCAGCAAATATGTTTCGAAAAGTTTTGGGAGTTATCAAAGCACATTGCAAATTAGGTTTGACCGCAACGTTGGTCAGAGAAGATGAAAAGATTGAAGATGTTAATTTTTTAATTGGTCCAAAGTTGTATGAAGCAAATTGGTTGGTTACTTTATTCGTTTTACCTCTTTTTTGTGTTTACATTCTTTTCTAGGCTTGATTTACAGCAAAACGGCTATTTGGCAACTGTGCAATGTGCTGAAGTATGGTGTCCAATGACTGCTGAATTCTATAGAGAATATCTCATTCAGAATTCTGCCAAAAGAAAGCTGTTGTATACGATGAATCCAAACAAGTTTCAGACCACCGACTTTTTAATTCGATTCCATGAAAATAGAGGAGACAAGATTATCGTATTTTCGGATAATATTTTTGCTTTGAGAACGTATGCCCGAAGACTGGCTCGCCCTTTTATTTATGGTCCGACTTCCCAAGCCGAAAGAATGAGAATATTTTACCAGTTTCAAAATAATCCCGCATTGGGAACTATATTTATTTCTAAAGTAGGAGACACGAGTATAGATTTGCCCGAAGCCAATGTCATTATTCAGATATCTTCACATTATGGATCTCGAAGACAAGAAGCACAGCGGCTAGGTAGAATTTTAAGGCCGAAGCCTCGAAGCGGCCAGCATTTCAATGCTTATTTTTATTCACTAGTGAGCACGGACACTCAAGAAATGTATTATTCATCCAAGAGACAACAATTTTTAATTGAGCAAGGCTATAGCTTTCAAGTTATTACTCATTTGGAAGGGATGCAAGAAGAAAGACATCATTTGGCGTATTATCGGAAGGAGGAGCAGTTGAGTCTATTAGCGGCTGTGTTGGCTGCTGATGAAAAAGAAACGGAAGAAGAGTTTGTTGAAGATTCAGATCCGAGTGGAGATGTTGCCAGAATTCTTTCAAAGGATGGACGGCAGTTGACGAAAAGAACGAATCGGTCACTTAGAAAATTAAGTGGAGCAGATGGTTTAGTCTATCGGGAGTATGATACTGCGCAGACGAAAAATGTTTCTTCTATATTTGAACGAAAAGTAATCCATCATCCTCTGTTTAGGAAGAGATTATCAAAGAAATGATTTCATCGGGATAAATATTACTTTCTTTGAAATCAAGATGAACATTTATTTACATATCATTTTTATGACTTGTTCTCCTTATGAAAAGCTAAGGGATCAAAGATAGTTACAGGATGTTCGCGAAACTTTCGCAGGAACAGAAGAGACCATCTCTCCTTCTTCTCCAGTTCATTACGAGCAAAAGCTTCCCTCTCAGATTTTTTCCACACTACGGATGGATTATGCAGCAGTTGATCAACAGACAGGAAAGTTGCCATAACTAAAGACAAAGAGACGCATGCAAGCAATGGATATACCTAGGCCTCTTAAGTACACTTATTATCTCTTAATCATTCAAAACGTACTTCCTTGTTTCTTCCTGATGAGAGAGTTCTTTGAAAGAAACCAAGAGCTCCCATTTGATAGTTCAAATGTTCTTCACACGAAAATGCGTATCTCACATTGTTTGCCTCACTATTTAAAGTTCAGCTGCATCTTTGCATGTCACGGCAATGCCCATTCAATGCAGATCCATTGTTCGACCCTTCCCTAAAAATTGCAACATTCAAGCATCCAAAGTGTAAAGATGCAGTCGTTCTCACTGCAAGTCCGAATATATATCTTTTTGGTCTTCAGAAAGTCTTATCGAGAATTGAGGACCTTGAAGTAGATATGGTCGTCGTCATAAATAAAAACCTTTCATCTATCATCTGTTTTTCTTTATATATGAAATAAAGATTGGTCAATCTTTATAGGGGTTCACATGCCATGGTTCTTCCCACTGAAAGCAAAGAAGACAATACCACAGAAGAAAGTATTCTAGAAGAGTATGTTCTGTTGAAACTTCCCCAAACGACAAAATGTCTGTCGTCAAATGCTACTGATTTCCGACTTATTGTAAGTTGCAGCGTTTAAAGAAAAGCACTTAACCTGTTTCTGTGCTTTTAGGGGTTGGAGGAAGGAAGACCGTTCTTGCAAATTGGAAATGAAGTATTTCAAGGTACTTTCGATAAGCCATTAGGCACTATTTTATTGTTTGGAGATCAAGGTAAGACACTGGAAACATAACCTTCTTCGTTTGGTTTGATTGCAAGTGTTGTAGACGAAAGTATTGAACAGGAAGCAGAAAAAGGTAAACCATCTTCTTGGGGTTTTATAGGATATACGGAAGAGACCATCAAGTTTGAAAAGGTGCAGCTAAGGAAAAAGAATATAGCTCCTGAGACAGAGGCGAACAACAAAGAAGGGTATTCATCTTATCCCAACCAAGAAGCAAAGAAGGAATAATAAGTAGAAAGTCTGTCGTAACAGTTGCACTACAAATTCAAGTGGAAAAAGGCTTTATCAGTTTTCCTAATTATCTCTTGAAGCTCGCAACTGTTCCATCAGTATTCCTCCAGCAACACCTACGTTGAGAGAATCGATAAGACTCAAAGCGACGTTATTGTTGCAACTAGTCGAAATTCTTTGTTGAATAGCAACAAAGCCGTTACATACATTTTGCACGTTTGTTCGCAAACCGAAGCCTTCACTTCCAAGAACGAGTACAACCGGAACAGAAGGATGTATATTTTCGATATTCACTGTTTCTTTTTCCATAGACGCCCCTAAAATATACCAACCTTGTCGTTGAGAGTTTTGTAAAAACCTGCTCATATTGCGAACAGCGTGAATGGTCATAAGTTCCATAGCCCCAGCGGATGCCTTCGAAACTGTGCCAGTTAGAGGTGCAGAGTTCTTGTCGCAGATAGCTACTCCAGTTATTCCCAAGAAGCAAGCGGTTCTTAGAAGAGAACCCAAGTTCTGAGGGTCCATAACCTCGTCAAGTGCCAACCAGATTGGTGCTGCTTCATCTGGAGACAATCCAGTTGACGGTAGTTGCTCAATATATTCCAGTTGTAGTGGTGCAGCTTGTAAAATGATGCCTTGATGCGGTCTTTGTCCAGACAAGTTATTCAAGTCTCCTTTGTTTAGCGTCTTTGAGGGTATATTAGCTTCTTCTGCCAGTTGCACAATCTTTTGCAGCAAGGCAGCATCTTTTCGTTTTGAAAAGTCCGCATTTTCTTGCAAGTACAGACATCTGATAGGATTTCTCGTTTTGACTGTGAGTGCTGCATAAACAGGAGTGACACCATAAATGAAGTCATCGCCACTTTTCATTGCTTTTTGCAGTGAACTAAGTGTAGAGTCTGTTTCTGATAAGATTGGACTTTTGTCTTTGTGTTCCCAAATAGCACCTTTTCCAGCTCTCGGTGCACTGTTTGTCTTTGCATGCCATCGTCTACAAGGCACTGAAGGAGTCCTTGCCTTCTTTGCTAGGTTTGAAAACTTAAGTCTTTCAAGGAATATTCGGTTCGTCGCATTGAGAAACGACAGTTTGTTGCAATTACATAATAAGCACATCGAATAAGTACCGTTGGGTAAAATCCACGGAGCGAAAAGTTCGAGATTGATTGCTCTATTGTTTTGGAAGCGTATTCCTAGAAAGGCTCCAAAGGCTAGTGAGAATAATATGTTCAATCTAAGTAACTCGTTCGCATTTCGCCGAGAAGCAGCACAAGCCAAAGTAAGTTTACAATCCTCTTGCCTTGTGGTGAAAAAACTTGGGTTTTGTGCAGCTCTTGGAAATCATGGAATGGGGTTTTAGTGATGACTCCTACAAAGGAAGACCTTTCCAGTTTCATTCGTTGATAGATAACACATCTTCTAGGGGAAGTAGGGATATATATTTATTTTTCTTGCATGTTTCTGTAAATCTAACTATTGGATAGCTTCCGGGCCTCTTTGGTACCTGAAAGACAAGAATTTTGGCCGCAGAGATGATTTTCCCATGGATACTAGACTAGTTAGACCCAATGGAGATGTTGCGAGGTTTGTGAAGTTTATAATTCTCGGTGAATTCCAGTTTGAACGATTCACTAGTTTGGAATACGTACAAGTAGGTTCTAAGCGCTTTGAGAAGTTTTGGGAGGAGTTTGTATTTTCCGCAAACAGCAAATAGTATTGAATAAACGAGAGGTTATAGTTCCTGTTAAGATGCTTCTTGACAAATCCACAAACTCAAAACTTTATTGATGACAACATGGAATGCTTTCCATACGAACCTGTCTCCTCTTTAATTGGACAAAACACTCAACAAACAAGTTACTAAAAACTTCATATGTGGAAAGCAAAAGACATAAATTTTATGAAATATTCCACGAATTTACTTCTTCTGTGCCTTTGCGGCAGCCTTCGTAGTCTTTCCTTCAACTTCTTTCTTCTCCACCTCCTTAATAACACCAACAGCCACAGTTTGTCTCATATCTCTCACAGCAAAACGACCCAAAGGTGGATAGTCTGTGAAAGTTTCCACACACATGGGCTTGGAAGGAATCATCTTCACCATAGCCGCATCTCCCGACTTGATTGCTTTCGGATTCTCTTCAACTGTCTTTCCTGAGCGACGATCCATTTTTTTCTCTAGCTCTGCAAAACGACATGCGATATGGCTTGTGTGGCAATCAAGTACAGGGGTATATCCAGCATGAATCTCTCCAGGATGATTAAGAATAATAACTTGCGCACGGAAATACTCGCAACCTTTTGGTGGGTCATTCTTACTGTCACCAGCAACGTAACCACGTTTCAACTCTTTCACAGATACATTCTTCACGTTAAAGCCGACGTTGTCACCAGGTTGAGCTTCTGGAATAGATTCGTGATGCATTTCAACAGACTTCACTTCGGTGGTTAAACCAACAGGAGCAAACGTAACCACCATGCCTGGTTTAAGAACACCAGTTTCTACACGTCCAACTGGTACAGTTCCAATACCTCCAATCTTATAAACATCCTGAAGAGGGAGACGTAGAGGCTTATCTACTGGACGAGTAGGTGGCTCAATCATATCCAGAGCCTCCAAGAGACAAGGTCCCTTGTACCACTTTCCGAGAGGATGATCTGCGGACACTTTCTCAAACAGATTGTCTCCAGTCCAACCAGACACTGGGATCTTCGGAACCTTGGCAGGATTGTATCCGACTTTCTTCAAGTACAAGTCCATTTCCTTGGAAATTTCGTCATAACGATCCTTCGACCAATTGACGTTTTTGTCGTCCATTTTGTTAACGGCAACAATTAATTGGCGTACCCCCAAAGTATATGCCAAGAGTGCGTGTTCTCTTGTCTGACCGTTTTGAGAAATTCCGGCTTCAAATTCACCAGGAGGAGAAGCAACCACCAAAATACCCAAGTCAGCTTGAGAGGTACCAGTAATCATATTCTTAATAAAGTCACGATGTCCAGGGGCGTCAATAATGGTAAAGAAATATTTTTCGGTCTCGAACTTCCAGAGAGCAATGTCAATAGTAATTCCTCGCTCTCTCTCAGCCTTAAGTTTGTCCAAAACCCACGCATACTTGAAAGACCCTTTGCCCATTTCCGCCGCTTCCTTTTCGAACTTCTCAATGGCTCTCTTATCAATACCTCCACACTTGTAGATGAGATGTCCAGTCGTCGTGGACTTTCCAGAGTCGACGTGACCAATTACGACAATGGAAACGTGTTGTTTCTCTTTTCCCATATTTACTGCAGAATTTTTGTCAACAATTCTCGTCCAAATAAGGAAACACTCTTACCTAGGTGATATTATACAACAAAACTTTCACCAAATGAGGACGACGACCAACACGCCGAACAAATTCAAACAAAAATAAATGAGTATATCGACGACGGCGAAATCTAAATCAATGGCAGTCAAGACGCACCCCCATAATCAATATTGGAGAAAGCGATCTTTTCGGGAAACTGTTTTTCGTTATCCACACTATTCAGCCGTATATAGAAATGCAATCCAATATTTATCGTAATAAACTTACAAGTATAATTCCATTGCACAAAGTTAATGCTGCATAATGGAAACTTTCAAGCCAGTACCCTAGCCTGGCCTACAAAATGTTTTTTAACTTACATATATTTTCTTAAAGATAATCATAACTAGTTGATGAGAAACTTCATTGTTGTGTTACAATTGGTAGACAAACTCTTGTTTTCTAACTTGTATGAATTGGCCATCGAAGATACGACTCTAAATGCAAGGCATGCAGATTACTAGTGGTTTTGCCACAACGTGTGGAAAAGGGCCACTACTTCTTGTGCACGGCTATAAAAGATATTATTGTGGTAGTACACATATTCTGAAGATTTTATCCGGGCAATTTGTATGGAATAAAAATAGAGCACGCAGACAGTTTGAGCTTTGGAAAGTTACACCGGCGTTACTTAGCTATAGGAGCTGCTATACGAGTGGTAAGGATAGTTGGTCGAATACGAAAGGCGTCACAGATTGCAAAAATAGTGGAACCAATATGGAGAAAAACTCACAGAACCTTTCGGCTGAAGAAGGAAGAGTGAAGCGTATGATTTGTTTGTATATTGGTTATGTTGGAACCGACTATTATGGTTTGCAAGTGAATAGACAAGAAGGTATTAAGACAATCGAAGAAGAGATAGAACGAGCACTTTATTCTTGTGGTTGGATTGGTGAACAAAACTTTCGTAGAGTTCAAAAAATTAGTTGGTCTAGAGCAAGTCGAACTGACAAAGGAGTACACGCTTGCGGGAATGTGATAGCTTTGAAAGCATTGTTGAAAGAACAGTGGTTCGAATTAGATAGTAACTTTGAAAAGACAAAGCAGAATACTAGAACGAAAAATAATTCTGACGAGCTTGCTTTCAGTAGTCTTGGCTCCTTGAAGAAAGACGTTTTAGAACAGCTGAATAGAAACCTTCCGGACTCGATCAGAATTCTTGGAGTCCAGCCAGTTACTAAACATTTTGATGCACGTTCTCGTTGTAATTTTAGGGCATATGAGTATTTAATGCCACTAGAAGCAATACCTGGAGCGTCAGAAAATATTGAACAAGCTATTTGCCGATTGGAAGAGATATTGTCTTTGTTTAAAGGTACTCATCGGTTTCATAATTTTTCATCTGGTTTGAGAGCAGCACATAAGAAGGCAAATGCTCGTTTGGAAGGTTCTGACCCAGGTGAGGAGTTCACAACAGTTAGGAGTGAACAAGTTTCTTCCACCGAGGCAGACATTGAGGAGAGAAATATCGAAGATGCGAATAATAAGGAGCAAAGTATGAAAAAATATGAAGAGAATGATGAGATAGACATAGAAGATAACCAAGAAATGCAGTTTAGTGATTACCTTTGCAAAGTCATCCGTCAATGGCCTGAACATTCTTCTCATCGTTTAAAGAGACAAGAGTACATTCGTTCTGTTTACATCGCAGATATTGAAGGTCCCTTGGAAATACAAGGTATAGAAAGAAGTTGATTTTTTTATTCTTATATTGTATGTTTTTAGGTCGAAACTATGTTTTGTTAAGATTCGCCGGTCAAAGCTTTATTCTACACCAAATAAGAAAAATGATTGGAGGAGCGCTTTCTGTAATGTACGGTAGACTTTCTATGGAAGCCTTAAAGGTTGCTCTTTATGGACCGTTTCAGGTTCCAATATCTTTGGCACCGGTAAGTTGTTGCTGCTATTATTTCTCAAGCCTGTGTTTTTTGACATTTATCTTAAAGAGTGAGCCATTGATGCTCGTTTTGTGTGACTTTTGGAACTCGAAAAGAGAAAGATATGAACTCATTCCAAGTCCAGTTACTCAAGAAGCAATGAAACATTATAAATACAAAATACTTCTGCCAAGAGTAGCGGAACTTTTAGAACAGAAACGTCCATTTGAACGTTTCTTTGTGGAAGGTTTATATGATTATGGTGGAAATGGAAACCTTCAACGCCTTATCACAAAGTTTCATGAATGGGACGAGAAACGCAGACAACGCAAAGTACAAAATGTTACGGAGCGTAACCAGGCTAGCTCCACTTCTCAAGATGCTTTTGCAAAGAAGACTTTCAATCGTCGAACCGAAAGACCACTTCCTCCAAAGTTGTTTACTCAGTTGGCAGTTGAACTTCGAATGTTACCAGGCCCTGAACTTTGTCGTATACGTCAGGCTTTGGTTGACGCGAGAAGGTGTGGAATGATTTCCCAGGATCCATCCACACAAGAGTGCATACAATATTTGAAACAGAAGCAATACCTCTAAGCTTTCATGAACGAAGCAAAGCTTTATTTAGAAAAGAATTAGTTCCATTTTGGCTACGACAGACAGGACAGCTCCCAAAATTTTTTTGCAACATCTCTTATAAGCAAAGAAAATAACTATAAAATATTTTTCACAGCATTGTAATAGATAGACGGTAACACTTGGGTCATTTCTGAAGAGCTCAACCATGCAAAGTCATAATCAAAAGGAATGTCTTCCAAGTTTCCTTCAACAACTAGTGCTCGATAAAAGAATATCTGAGCAAGTTGAAAAATTTCAAGTTCTTGTTGAAACGAAAACTTACCTTTGCACCGTCCCATTTGCGCTGTTGTTTCACTTCAGGAGAAAACTCTCGTTCAACGTGACATACTGGAACATTGCTTACAAAATGCAAAGTGATTCTATTTCCAACAAAATTCTTCAAGGCTTCCTCCGCTGTCTACATAAAACGAAAGGATTATGAATACTTTCCAAACAACGCAGTCAGTTACCTGTATCAACATCTTCCCCTCCTCAGCCTCTCCTTGTGGAAACTGCCAGACTCGGTTCTCTCTTTTCACCACAAAATAAATCGAGTCTGTCAACCTTCTATCCAAAGTCTTCTTATTGTTGGAACGATCAGCATCAGTCTCCAGAGAAGCGGGAGTAAAGTTTCTTCGTGAAAAGTCACCAATCAGAACCTCATGCGTTACAGGATCCTCTATCGATATTACTGTCAAACGACCCAAATAAAGTTGTATGCAATACACTGCTATTACCTCTTTGACCATTTGGAAACCAAGCCGTTGGCATCTTTCTAGTAAAAGGCAACTTAGCCTCATGACGGTACAGTCTGTAGTCTTTTTCATATTCTGTTAAAGGCTTCATCAACTTTGGAAGTCTTTCCAAAATTGCTGCACTAAATAGTTGCCACCTTTTAGGTTCTTCTATTTGATTGACGGCTGCATTACTTGAAGAACACAAACGTCTACAAAACCCTAGTCGACTGATAATAGGCTTAATCAAGCACTGCTGCATCAGTGTATTTAAAAGTACAACAGTCTCTCAAATACTTTAGAATACACTAAGCGATGTACTGTGGTCTCAACACTTTGTAATGGACAAACTCACCACTCAGATGAACAATCACAATAGCTTTATTCTTGAGACATGAAATGACACTCAAAGCATAGCTATCTGTGGTTGAAAAGATCAAGTAGTTACTTAGGAGGCAACGATATATTTGAAATATATCTCATTTTCTTCTATTTCATACTTATTCTATAGTAGTCTGGCTTTATTTCACACATAAACTTGTAAACACTATGCAACCAATATCACAGCTATTTTGACGGAATATTCATTGAGAATCAGCATTGGCTATTGCTTCTATCATCAGCCGATATCCTTCTTCCTCATCAGTCAACTCTCTCTGTTCCCGAACAGCGTTGCATAACAACGGCATATCTCCATCCATATCTAAAACGTTGCTAATATACAGTAAGAGATGAAAATCTGATATTCGTCTTATAAATGGTTCGTCAAGGCTCTTCCCAAGACAACTCGATAAGTCAGAAGGTTGAACGGGTGCTTGTTCCCTATTCTCTACAGGAAAATCTGGAGCAACTATCACCCAAAATACAAATCAAACTATAGATATACTCACTGTTGTTCTTCAACCATGAATGATGATCTTTAATAGGTACAGAGACCAAAAAGAAGTCAGTATCTATAGAGCGGCATTCGACACCCTCTACAATGACCTCCTCCTTCGTTCGAATCTTTTTAACAGTGTCACTTTCTCAAAAAAGAATACAATGCACACATCAACAAAAATACCTTGCCAGAATTGGGTTTCTGTTGCTCAACTGGAGCAAAAACACTGGCTTTGTACATGTCTAAACATAAATCACTTATCTGATAAGCCTCAAACCGTGTCATTCCTTCTTCAGTTACTGAGACTGTTATTGTTACAAATGTCTTGGAAACATCCTTTCCATGCATTTCCTCCGCTTCGCATTGAAACTGACACGCAGTCAAAATATCGACAGCTATACTTGTTAACACATAAAATATGGACACAAGTATTGAACTTACCGGAAAAAATACACTTTCGAGGTTTGGATGAAAATATCCAACCAACTTTCTCCAGTCCCAACAATGACGCCAATTTGTCTGCTCGCTTCTTCGACTCTGCAGCATCTGGATTTTCTTCGGGAGACTCCAATTTGTATATTTGATAAGTTCCACTTTGTGGGGGCTCATAAATACAATCTACAAATACAAAGGATGAATCTTCAATTCGGCCGTACAGAAAACCTAAACGTTGTTGCTGAAAACCAATGCTAACGAGATTGGCTTGAAACGAAAATGCTGCAGCGTGATCAACCGATACAGAATTAGTATAGCTTTCTTCTTGCGCTTTGATGTGAAATTTCATTGCTTCTGCGGCTTCCAAAGCAGCAATGGAACCTCCTCTCAATCCATGAAGCTGTTCAAGGGCACGTCTATATCTCTCTTGTGGGTCTTCTTTCGGCATGCAGTGTTCACACATTCCACGAGGTCCATGAAGACATCGAGTAGTTAATTTTGGTTGAAAACCGTTTCCCTGTGAATCGAATGGACTGTTTTGTTGGTCCCTGTCCACGACACTAGTTCCCGTTTCCTTTGGATAATCCACTATATCTCCTCCCCCTGCAGAGATTCCCTTAAGATAAAGCATATCTCCATGTTTCAATCCCAGATCCTCAACAGTAGCATCAAGGTTCAAGGCCTCAGTGTCTTTTAAACTACGAAAAGCCTGTATGTGTAGCCAGTCTTCTTTGAGAAAGTCCAATAACGTAGAAACGGTTTTATCATCATTTGCTTCCACACGTTTCGTTGAACCGTCTGGAAGACGTAGTCGAATGATCTCTTGATGGGTTAATAAATAAAATAGTGAGAAAAACTCGACAACTTACCATCCCACTATCAATCCTCTTTTCAATTCCACTACGATTCTTTTCATAGCGCCATTGAGCGGATTCCAGTTTATGTTCCCACTTGTCGTGTTTTATTTTGGTTGTGACGCGCTTTGTCTTTGAAGTTGCTATCACTCTTGAATAACTAGATATTTTGTCATGTCTTCTCCCAGCAAACGTCGTGAGATGGACCTCATGAAGCTGTATGCTTGGTAACTTTTTCCTTGGTTTGTAGCACCTAAACAAACTGTGTCTTTTAGACTTATGGCTGACTATGAGCTTGAACTCTCCGAAGAAAACCAAGTGAGTGACTTTTATGTCAAGTTTCATGGTCCTCCGGAAAGTAAGTATGTGCTGAAATAGTTCGAAAACTCTGCTAAGTTCGTACTTGTTTTAGCTGCCTATGAGGGAGGTGTTTGGAAGGTTCATGTACAGCTACCAGACGCCTACCCGTACAAGTCACCTTCCATAGGTTTTGTGAATAAGATATATCACCCTAACGTGGATGAAGCGTAAGTGTTCCCAAGTTTTCTGAAAAAAGTTTTTTTTAGACACTGTGACCTGTAGGTCAGGGTCTGTCTGTCTTGATGTGATAAACCAGACGTGGTCGCCTATGTTCGACTTGGTCAATATTTTTGAAGTTTTCCTTCCTCAACTGTTAACCTATCCCAACCCAACAGACCCTCTCAACGGAGAAGCCGCTGCACTTCAACTAAAGGACCCTGAAAAGTTTACTTCCAAGGTAAATAGTGAAACTATTTTTTGGACAGTAAATGAAGACAATACCAGGTGAAAGAATATGTTCAGAAGTTTGCACTTCCTGAGCATTTCCCTTCCTCAAAAGCCGAAGATAGTTCTTCTGACAATTCGTTGAGTGAAGACGAGGACAATACAAGTGTTAGTGAGGAGGAAGAAGAAGAAGAAGATGATGATGAAGGAAGTCACAACAATAATTCTTGTGAACAGGAACAGTCGTAACTATTTTACACAGCGTTATTTTGGACGGTCGTATATATGTGTACATAGATGAAAATAGCGGTATTACTCTCTAATGATAGTAATAAAGAAGAAATATTTACTTTCAAAATAACAAACGTTAAGTAAGGCTTCAACCTCGTTTAGCCAGGTGTCCAAGAATGGTTCCCGAGTAAGAAAAAGAAAGCCCAGTTTCCTTCAAGCACTCGTCCTTAACCTCACGGGGCCAGTCCCTCGCGGTTTCGTCGATTTTAACTCGAACTTGATCGAGAATCTGTTTCACATCTCCTTCCCACTTATAAAACTCAAACACATGGCCATCGAAGAGTAACTTGGACATCAGTCTCCCAATCATTCTACCACCCGCAGTGTGTGCAAAGTAAAAATTGTACCAATGGCACAAAAGAGCGTGTGGTTTGTCCTGAACCAGCGACTGAAGATATTCCACGTAAGCTACTCCAGGCTTCTCCGGTTTTGGTATGGAAAAACCACGTTGCCTAAACCAATCCAAATCTTCTTCCAAGGCAGAAACTCGCTCCAAACCAGTTCGTCTAAAGTTCACAAACATATTATCTTGACTTTGGTTCATAAAATTTTCAAAAAAGTCATAAACATGTTTTGAGTCCACGAGAAACTGTAAATAATCTTGTTGACTTGGTTGCCACTATAACAAAGAAACAAGGGTTAAAACAAGATACAGTGACGATCACAGAATTCATACTTCTTGAATTGGAAGAGCGCTTTCTTCAAGAGTGCCTTCTTTTGCCTGATCCCTTGTGTGCAGACGCATTGCCACAAACCGCATCTCCTCAACGAAACCTTTATGAGAGCCAGGTCTGCGGTCCCCTTGAACTACGGAGTCCATGTTATCCGTTGAAGTTCCTCCCATCCCTGGAGGTCCCCTAACTGCGGAATCCGCCATAGTAAAAAAGACTCTGGACTGAGAGCCTCTTGGTGAAAAAACAGTTGTGCGCCAACAACAGTTCTTCACACAAACACAAAAACGCCCTTCTTTTGTAAAGGCAGTTTTTGTCAACCTGTTTGGAAGCCATTGTTGAAAGGCAGGAGGTACAATAGTCCCTTGCAAAGGTCTCTTCATTGGACGTTTCCACGCAAGCGTTTACCACAAGTCGGTAATATGGAAATCTCTCAAATCTCGTCTAGATGAATCACACGGCTAGGAGCCCCACAATGTCAATTGCAAACTGTTGGTCCATTCACAAGCTCAATAACATATCCGATGAGTACGTATAACATTTTCTAATCTTGTTTTCTATTGGAATGCGTCCTTGAGTCATTGTATAATAGAAAGTATTTCGTTTCAAACTATCGCGGTCTCGAATATTCCAAATACGAAATAACCCTCGATGAAAGTCTCTCGATACTGCTGAATTTTCATTCTTCACACCTCTATCGGCTTCATGAGATGTAGCTAAGACCCGCTGTACAACTTGTTCTTTTGGTTTCGTCTGTCGATTATATTGAAATGTAGAAATTGGCTTTTTCTCTGGAATTCCCCTCTTTTCCTCTGTTGAGGACTGTTTCGATTCAAAACAGTCTCTACTAGCCAATAGCATTTTTACTCCAGGTTCTCTATATTTATTTGAGCTTGCCCAAACTCCAACTTTTACTGTACCTCCCAATTGCCATTCTGCCACTATCTGTTGTTGTTCATTCACACAATACAATTCCTTTTCATTCTCCGCTATTCGCAAACTACAACCAGCTTGAAGGACTCTACAATCTTTTTCTGCAACAAATACTTCCGAAAAATCATCTTTCTGATCCAACTGCATATTCAATGCGGGTAAAATAACCTGATTGGATACGGAATCCATCAAAGGAACAAAACCATACAAGGAAAATCTTGGAAGGAAAACAGAAAATCCCAGCAAAGGTTGTTCTTGAATAGCTATTAAAATGGCATAGGTTACCAAACCTGGTTGGGATTGAAAATATAGAGAGAAAAATAAGGTATTGGACATTTCAGATGCCATCTTTGCCTCTCTATGACGAATATTCAAGTGTTCTGCTAGTTCTTCCAAAGCTCCAGGAAAATCTGGTGGAGATGAGTCGCTGTCGGATTCTTCCAGTCCAGTAGCTCTTAATAGTGCTCGATGGACTATCACATCAGGGTATCGACGAATAGGAGACGTAAAATGGGTATATGCATCCAGACCCAAAGCATAGTGTCTGGTGTCCTTTCCGGAAGATGCAGCAAAGTATTCTGCTTCAGACATCGCTCTGGTTGCAAGAGAACTAATCAATTTACCCCAAGAAGAGTTGTCAAGAGAGGCGGCATCCAACTGTTCTTCTAAATTGGAAATAAAACTCTCCGTTGAAATAGTATTGGACTGTTGTTGTTGGCCTTGTAGAAAGTTCTCCAGGTGGATTCCAAGAAAATCCAAACTCGCTGCAGTGGATATGAACTGTGAAATCTTTTCTACAGGAGGCGCATCATGTCTTCTTAACAGCGCATCATTTGGACATACTGCGAGTAGATGTGAGGCAACAAAAGCATTCGTAGCAATCATTAGTTCAGCAACTACCGACATAATCTGTTCGGCTGTATAAGTAAGGCATTAGTCAACAAGATATTAACCTACCTCTAAGTCTATTTTTGTGGATACTTGTTGAATTCTTTTCTCTTCATCGAATTGAAAACGCAACTCTCCTGAGGTCAAGTTGGTAATAGCTCCATCTCGGATTCTCCTTTGACGAAACATTTTGGCAATATCTGCCAATATTCGGGTATTTTGAATCACTTGAGCATCATCTGTGGTACCCAGCGATGTTCTTTCTCCTTTCAAACAACAGTCCACCTCATCATAATGAAGTTCACCACATGAACGCAAAATACAACGTGCAAAATACACTCCTTTATCTGCACTACTCTTGACAGCCTTTTGAACAAATTCCTTATCCAAAAATTCCTCAGAGATATCCACAAGTTGACCTTGATTCGCAAAGTCTATGAAGAAAAATACAGAGAGACTTAAGCGGTCATGATACTGCCTTAGCGAACATAGATTTTCACTAAGGACTGAAGGAATCATGCTTATTCTTCTGTCCACTAAATACACGCTAGTTCCTCGTTTCATCGCTTCCACATCTATAAAGCTTCCGGATGGCACCCAAGCAGCAAAATCAGCAATATGAACTCCCACTTCATAAATACTATCTTTAATTAGATAAAGAGATAAAGCATCATCGATATCTTGGCTTCCAGAAGGATCGATACTGAAAACCAAACGAGAGTTTCGAATATCCAATCTCTTATCCATACAAACTGACGACGGAAATGAACATGAAAATGAAGACAAGCTACTCGTCAAACCGATCTCTTCAAAAACACTTGTTGGGTAGTCAAAGTCACGAACCCCACAGGTAGTCAAAACCGCTCGAGTCTCTGCTTCTACATCTCCCACATAACCAAGTGTCTCTACTAAATATGCTTCTGGATACTTTTCATGCCATTTCCAGCTACGAAAGCGTAAAACAACGCGTTGATTTCTGTATTTCTCTAAATTTCTACCAAAAACTATACACAGTGGTAGCCTCTGATCCATCGGAGCAAAAAGATGACCTAAACGTTGTGACTTTGTATACAAGACAGTTTCATCATCTTCTTCGTTGACAACAGAGTCTTCCGTAGAGTCCCTTTCGAAATAAGATGCTACAAAGGAGTCCGCTCTTCGTTCCAAAATGGAAACAACTTTTCCTTGACTTTTACCATTCACCGTGTTTATTTCTATCATCACTTTATCACCGTGAATGGCCTTACCAAAATGTTCAGCAGGAATAAACACAAAAGATACTCGAGCAATTTTACGATTTCGTTCAACTCGAAAAATTCCAATAATCGTGCGCTTTGAAACCTCTTCGGATTCTACCATCTGTTCCTCTAATTCATTCTCTTCTGCTTTAAAAGGCAGCCCAGACAATGAATGTGTTCCTTCTTGGTACCAAATATTTTCAGCTAGAAAAGAGTCATAAAGAGATAAAACCATATCTAAAAATCGACTATCGTCCATTCGTCTCGAATACGATAGAATAGAACAAAGATATAGATTATCTGCTATAGTGCGAATGGGAGACTCATTCGCTACAATATTCTTCTCATCTACATAAAGAATAAAACAATCCAAACTCTTCATCTGGAACAAAATTCTTGCAGCCCTTATCTCTCTTTCATAGTTGTAGAAAGATTCCTCTAATGGTTGCTTTGGCGATGCTAAACATGTGTCATCCAATACTGAATCAGGAAAAAAAAGAATTGGAGAATAAGGATCTGATAGAGCCAGCTTAAGAAGTTTCCGTTTCTGTTTAGTTATTCTAGCAAAGGTACTCTTCAGGATAACCGTATTGATTACTTTTGATCGAGCAAGATGATTGCTTTTGTCGCCGATTAACACTTCAAAGAAAAACTCCAAAACGTTCAAAGTGGGTATTGTTATAGAACTTCCAACAGAACTTGGGTAACTTATTAAATCAAAAATATACAAGATCAAAAACTGCTTACCAAAGTTTCGACCAGTCGAAGCATTCTAAGGGACGAAGATAAAGTTCCGATCCAAGTAAACTGAGAACAAAAACTTCTCGTTGCTTCCTTTGTTTCTTTTCAAGTAACAACTCCTTCTTTCTACGTGTCCACTGAACTTGTTTTGGACGCTGTTCAGAGTCTCCATCGGAAACAGTTTGCTTCTTTATATATATACTATCCCGAAACAGCTTCAATTGAGTCTGTTCTAGTTGATGAAATATAGCAAGCAGAGATGGAAAAGGTGGAAGCAACAACCTTAAAGTCAACAGATCAGTACTGCTCTTTGCCTCCTGAGAAGATTCTTTTTTATCTAAGCTATTTTCGTCACTCTTGTTTTCGCTGTTGTGTAAACAAAGTGCACTATACAAAGAATCGACCTCTTCGGTTTCAGACTTCAAGTTGACCACAGAAGAGACTGGTTCAACCGTGGACTCTTTACATTGACTTTTTCCGTTTGTTTTGCTAGACTCATAAACTTGAACAGTGGATATCGTTTCTGGTTCCGCTTCTTCTTCCGACTCTGGCTAAAAAATGGGGCGTCAACACACTGTTCTCAAAGCAAACCAGTTTTCTTACAGAGAGAAGTATCTCGTCTATGGCAAGTTCTACATTTCCTTTGGCAGTTTCTAGAGCTTGCTTTGCTCGACGAAACGACACTCCAAACTCCTTTGCTAACTTTTGTGCATGTTGTTCCATTGTTTGCATTTACATAGTCAATAAACCCATTATATAGTTATTCAGTATTATATGTATATTATATGTATGAAAGATGTGCATTTATGTAGACTGAGTGAGAAAACGTTTTTCCTTCCAACTAATAACAAAGCTACTTTCAAGCAACAACTCGATAACTGGCGTCCAAACAACAAAACAAACAACCTTTAATTTCAATCTTTCAAAAAGCCTTTTGGTTGTCCTGGGTATGAACGAACACAAACACTAACAAATGAAAAAAGCCTAACCAACTTGCATTTCTACTTCACTACGGACAGCGTTCCAGGTTCGCTTATCTAAACCGGTTGAACGGCTCGCTGACCTTTACATCATTCTTATCTTCTATGCTAACCATAGTCCAAACAATAACTTACTTTCCAGAGACAGTCAAAAAAGTCTGATAATATGCACTATGCACTTCGTATATCATTCTTCTTCTCTTCCCACAACGACCAAAATTTCATTCCCCTATTCCACGTCATTCTACACTCCCATTATATCATCGTTTCCTTATTATTTTCTAATAAACAGTTCTTTTTGAAAAAAGTTACAAGTTGTTTCTATTCGTAGGATGGAATTGAGAGAAACCTTTGTAAAACTATTTACTTGTTATTCTCTTGTCTCGAATGATAGACACCTCATGTGATTTGTTATCATCCTTTGCTATTATTCTTGACATATTCATTCCTATTGGTGAAATCCTGGAAATGAGTTTAGAGGTGAGTAAACGATTGCTGCAACTTGTCGTGGCTTGTGAAAGTTTTGATATAGCAAACATTCAACAAAGCGGCAGAAGAAGTAAAGAAACTGTCTTCTGCTTCGAATGACGACAAACTAGAACTCTATGGTTACTTCAAGCAAGCTAAAGAAGGTGACTGTTCCACTGGTAAGTGTCTGTTTGGTTGATACGCTTTTCTAGTCACACAACTATCCTCATCTTTAGAAAAGCCCGGAGGTCTTTTTAATCAGAAAGAAAAAGCAAAGTGGCAAGCGTGGAATTCAAAGAAAGGTACTTCCAAAGAAGAAGCACAAAAAAAGTATATTGAAAAGGTCGATCAACTTTGCGGTACCCAGTTTCGTCAAAGTGTTTCGTAGTTTCTCGTATCATTTAATAAAGTAGAATAGCAAAAGTTTTTTTTGGCTCAACTAGACCATCTTCTATCTACACAGTCTCAAGTGTTTCAAGTAAGATGCAACTTGCTCCTTTGGATATGGCTACACAATGACATTCAAAACCAACTTTGCTTGGAATAAGCTAACAATACTACCTTTATGGCAACGGCAGTTGAAACATTTTCCGGTTGTTCTTTCCAAACCACACACTTGATGTGTGCTCCTTCAAGTTGCTCAGCTAAAGCCAATAACTTGGCTTCATTGCTCGTTTCCAATACAACAGTATGCATTTGTTGCTAAAGAGGTTCATAACTGGAATCCTTTACAGAGAAGGGCAACTTCCTACCGATTCTTGTGTACAATATGCCTGGACAAAAGGATCGTCTCTATACTCCCAATTCACTGCAATAGCTGCGTGCACACCTTGTGCTATTACCTACAAATCAGACATAAAAAATACAAAGCAAAATAAACTTGAAAACATACACTTCCCAACGGCCAGCCAAAGTCTGCTATCAAATCTTTGCGAACTATTATGTATTGGACAAGATGTTCCATACTCATCATAATATGGAAGCGACTTTGTTTGATTGCTTGAAGGCAGCACTTTCTTGGCGTAGAAATAACTTTGGGAAATAAAGGTGGCCAACCTTTGTAGACTCTATAACAACTTGAAAAGGGAGTAAACGCAATTTTCGAAGACATCGAAGAATGTGGATATAAAGATTTTCACTTTAAAGATTCACTTCATAACAAACGAAACATGTAAGAAACGTTTAATAACAAACGACACGTCACTTTAAAAAGTGCTATGGACAACGATGAGTAAACAAAAAAACTGCTCCATGAGAAAGACACAAACATGAAAAGACCTTTAAGAAGCTGCCAATGCAGAATCTACGAAGCGTTTCAAGTCGCCATTATTGTTGTTGGTTCCATTTTCATTGTTGGTATAATTGTATCTTCTTTCTGCTTCATGTGATGCATGACCAAAGGCAGCAGCACTACCAAGTCCGTACAAAACTCCACAATAACGACGCTCATCAATTTGGCCACTAAAAATACTTTCCTTCATCTTAAAGAATACCTTCATGGTTAGCAAACTATCCGATCCGGCTTGGTGCATTTGTCCAACCCGTTCAACTTCAAGTATTTCTGCCAACTTATTAAGGCCTCCATAGAGTCTGTCTGAAGCCATCATCAAATATTTCATGTCATAAAAGCGAGGAAAATAAGTATTTAAAAGCTCAAAGAACTCTGATTCCTCTGCTGGCATCTCGCTACAAGTCAATATCTTCAACAAATAGCCAAAATCATAACCAGAATGAAAAGAAATCCAGCAAATATCTTCGTTTAGAACAATACCTGAAGATATTAAAAGTTCGCCAAATCGTTCCACGTCTATGCCATGTCGTTCATGTTCATCAAAGTCAATACCAGAACGTGTTAAGAGATCAATAGAATCTTGTGCGTAGATGTCTTCGTTCAAACTAAAACGAAAGTTAAACTGCCAGCAAGCACAACCTTCTGGAATATTCCCTTCCGAGTCTGAAAAGGATAAACCCAACTGAATTATCTTAAGCAAATCTACATTGCATCGAAGGGTTTGATAATGATAGTCTGTATTGCTCCGAAAGGAACCGATAGGTCTCGCCACTACACCTGGGAATTCAGTGTCCTAAGAACACTCCTGAGTAAGCGAAACCAAACAAAATGACGTCACCACAAGGACCACTTACCATAGCAACAAAGTTATACTTATCCAATATGCTCGAGATATTTGCCAGTTCTTTCTCAAGGTTTTCCGCCCAAACCTCTTTTATCACAAGAGAAGGCTCCTTTGTCTTCTCCATCACACTTTTGCTACCCTCACAAACTCACTAAATACTGCAACGACTCAAATAATCCTCTAAAATGCAATCCTTCCAACAGCTTTTTTTCTTGGTCGAAGCAGCAAAACGCATTACCGCAGCTTTTGGCTGAAGTGTTGGTGTGACGCTGTTACGCGGGTTACCCTTTCAAATGTACACACAGAGGAACTTCTAATAGCCTTCGAACGGTAGTGACCAAATTATGTAAGCAAAAAAACGGTGAAACGCTAGTATAGTCTTCCAATGGGTTTCCACTTGCAAGACTCTTAAAGCTTCGGCTCGAAGGTTTCCCAACTCTAAAAGCCCACTCCAAGAAATTGTCTAACAACTGATTTGGTCAACGACCAACTTGTGAGGAAGACATACAAAAGCAGCTCAAGTTACTATTGATAAACTTGGACAAGTTGGGTTTATTGTTCAACACAAGATTTTCAATATGTTTGTATCCCTTTTTGGCCATTCCTTTCGTTCTTCTACCAACAACTTCTCTCTTTCATCTTTCATCCATTACAGAAGATAGTGGCATATACAAACAGTTTGAATACTGAACAAGAGCAAAAGAAGGGCAAGTTATTTGAGCGCAGTTTTATTGTAGCAAAGATTGCTGCAACTCCATTACATGTATCGATGCAATCCGAAGTTGAGGGCAGAAACTTAATTGATTGGCAAAGATCTCAACTGCAATTGAGGTTTCGTTTTTGAAAGATGATAGAGTGCTCTCTACTGTTATTTGTCTCCACGGGCAATCCATATTACTTATTAAAGAGGAGGGGTTCATTTTGTAGTACAACCAGGAATTGTTCTTGTATTTCGCCTTATGAGAGATCGAATATTTCTGCCTTACCCAAATGGAGTTGTGTCACTACCAGTAAAACAAGTCAAGAACACTCGTTTGTTGCACAGCAAAGGTTGGAAACAACACCGGACTCGCTAGTGATCGAAGTTGGAGATGGAAAAAAGTGGGCTCTGGGCACTGTTATGCAAAAAAACTTTGAGAAAATGATACGCGAGGCTCAAGATGATATTTGTGCTGCCATCGAAAAGTTAGATGGTACTCCATTCAAACAGGATGTTTGGACTCGTCAAGAAGGAGGAGGTGGAATTTCCCGAGTTTTGCAAGATGGAGTAGTTTTTGAGAAAGCAGGTGTCAACGTTTCCGTTGTGTATGGTCATATGCCCCCGGAAGCTGTTAAAGCAGCATCTGCGAGAGGTGTAACAAGGGATGGAGGCTATGGACCTGACGAGAAGGTTCCCTTTTTTGCTGCTGGTATTTCATCGGTGATACATCCGAAGAATCCTATGGCGCCTACTGTGCACTTCAACTATCGTTATTTTGAAACAGAACGTGGCTTGTGGTGGTTTGGTGGAGGAACGGATTTGACTCCTTCCTTTCTATTCGAAGAAGACTGTTCTCATTTTCATAAGTGTTTGAAGGAGACTTGTGATAGGCATGATGTAGAGTTCTATCCAAAGTTTAAAAAATGGTGCGACGAGTACTTCCTTATTAAGCATCGTGGAGAAAGAAGAGGAGTTGGAGGAATATTTTTCGATGATTTGAATGATCGACCTGCGGAAAAATTGTTTGAGTTTGCCAAGGATTGTGCAAATACTGTTATTCCAGCATACGTACCCATTATCGAACGTAGAAAGGATATGCCATATACGGCGCAAGAAAAGGAATGGCAGCAACTTCGACGAGGCAGATATGTCGAGTTTAATTTGGTTTACGATAGAGGAACAGTGTTTGGTCTGAAGACAGGCGGTCGTATAGAAAGTATTTTGATGTCGTTGCCATTAACAGCTCGTTGGGAATATGATCATCATCCAGAAAATAATTCTAGAGAAGCTCAGTTACTCAGTGTCTTAAGGGAGCCAAAAGAATGGATATAATGGAACGAGTTCAAACACTTGATATAAACAACAGAATGTTTCCCACTACACATTTTACTATCCAATCTATCCACAAAATGGTTTTTCAAACATAAGACCAATATGATGTTGTTTCATGTCCTTAAAACCTGAAATACTTGTACATGGTAGATTCTATCTTTACTCAGTGGCTTTATGGCCACTAAACCAGGTAATATTATGAACAGGTTCAAAAATTTCCAAAACTTTTTGCAAAAGCACTTGGTCAATGACCTTATGAACGGCATCAATATCTTTCAATAAATTTTTGACCCCGTCAATGCCAACCAAAGTACAAGTTACACCTTCCAACTGGTAAGCAAACTGTAAAGCCAACTCAGCGATATCAGCACCGTGTTCTTCACACACTTTTGCTGCCTTCCTGGCTGCTGAGCGGAGTTCTGGCGGTGCAGGATGCCACTCCGGAGCTCCTCGAATAGTCAACAAACCCATGCTTAATGGAGAAGCATTTACAACTCCCAAGTCATTTTCCTATTTAAATATATCGTAAACACGGAACAATAGAAAAACAGCAACAACAACTCACCTTTAAGAACGGCAGAATATTTACTAACGAAGTGTCATTAAGACACCCATGGCAATATGATAGTACCAGATCAAGCTTCACTTTTGAATTGGATATTACGTAATCATAGATATGTAGCGGAAGACCAGTTACCCCAATAGCTCTTATCTGAAGAAATGAACCACTAGTTAACAAAATGACGAGTCATTCCACTTCCAAACTTACTATTCCCCTTCTCTTCAGAGATTCGAGCAAAGGTAAAGATTCCTCCACAACTTGTCTTAAATCCCCAAACTCAATGTCATGACACTGCACAACGTCGAGATAGTTTACATTGAGTCGTTCCATGCTTTCCTTCACACTACTTTCAATTCTGCTTGGTGAAAAGTCAAACCTAAACTCTCTCGCTGTTATCTTTTCTCGATTGCAAATGAAAAAGGCACCTACTCTGAAGGTCCATATCTGCCTACTTTCGTAGCTACAACTACAGATTCCCTGGGAAGGTCCCTAAGACCCAGACCTAGTACTTTTTCTGCTTTTGTGAAGCCATAATAGGGAGAACAATCAAAGAAATTGATTCCCTCTCTCCAAGCCTTATGTACAGCTCTTATCCCTTCTTCTTCCTGTTTCAAAATAATAAAACTATGAGGACCTTGTAGTTTGTCTAGACTTACATTCACAGGACCAAACACTCCACCTAGAGGAGAAGCCCCAAACCCAAGTGGACTCACTAATATACCGCTTTTACCTAGTTCTCTATATTCTGAAGCTTCAAACGCATTGTGTAAACGCATGTGTTGTGACAAAAGGACACTACACAAAAGTTTAACCAACCAATGTATTCTTAGAGCCGCTGACCAAGAAACGTGTGACAATCACACGTCTGCCGGAGGCGATTCCGCCACCGAAACTAAATCCAACGGTGCTTCTCTTCTCTTGACTCATAGACAGAGCTATTTCCACACTAGAAAGAGGAGAATTTGTGCTCTTTGTGTTTTTGCGGACCATATCATAGCCTTTTCTTGCTTAACCCTATTTCGAAATAAGTTTCCAGGCCGTATATTTCTAGTGAACATACTATGCTATAACTGTCAACAGACAAACCAAACGTTGAAACCCTTACCCTTTGCGAGTTTTTAATAGTAACATGTGGCTTGATATGTTCCCAACTTGAAAACTTTTAGGAAGAACTCCTGATATATTTCCATAGTATACACATGACTCATACCTGTTGTTTCTTATAGCTTTTACTCTTCCCTTTGCAAATTCCTTCTCGAAGAATATGCAATGTCACTTTTCTTCCTACTGAATGAGGTTGATTGCATAGTTCTACACCAAACGAAGAAGAAGAAGAATCCGCTTTCCATGGTATCTCAGGTCTAATGTAAAGTAAGGAAGACTGATACTGAAATAGTAGACGCTATACAAGGAATAAGAGAAACTACACAACGAAGACTTGGTATGTATCCATTTGATGGAATTGTTATTCTAAAACTACAGTTATACTGAATAAACAGACGCTTTATTCAGTACATATTCATACAAATGGGAAGATGGTTGCTGAAGCTAATCGATTCCTGTGGATACCACATACTCTTTCAACACAAAGGCCCATGTGTTGTTCCATTTTGTAACTCGTGACGAGCTAAGACTATTCAACTGGGACTCAAGGCCTCGTGAAGAAAATCCAACTGACAAGAAGATTTGTTGGGTGATTTTTGAAAGTGGGCCCATTTCTGTATCTGCTTCCAGAGGAAGGGACAAGTTAGTTTTGTGTTAGAAGAGATGAACAATATGTTATTCGAGACCCAGAGGAACGGTCTTGAGCACCTTAAAAAGGGAGCGCTTTCGATAAGGTCCTTGAACCACGTTTCTTTTTCGGTACCAGAACCAGTGAAAACCGGACGTTTCTTTTGCGATATTTTAGGTTTTCGAGTGGTAGGACTGACCTTCTTTGTACTCTCAAACACTCAACAAGAAGTAGGTTCGACGACCCAACTTCAATTTTGATGGTATTTGGTTGTATAGCTACGGAATCCAGATACACCTCATCCAGGGAACTGCTTTGGAAAGACCAAATACGTTGAAGCCCAACACAGACCATATATCTTTCGAAGCTGATGACCTGACAAATATACAAAACCATCTAGATTCTTTTAATATTCCTTATCTCCTTGAGTCCCATGAAACGGAGAAACTTCGACAATTGTTTTTTAAAGAACCCCATTCTGGTATCATGATCGAAATTTGCAATTGTGAAGTATTTCCAGTGGAGTATATTGATGAGCTATGAATGTGCTATTGGAATTGACCTTAAAATCAAAACAATGTGTATATAGAACAATCATATCAATAGTAAAGCAACTCAACTTTAATTTCATGCAAACTTGCAAAAGAGCTCTATAGTTTAAGAGCAACTGAAAGGAGTACTTGCTTGACCAGTTTGATAGGAAACGATAATACTCTTCACAGAGGCATACATACCAAGGCCAAGAATAGTTAAGCCCAAGGCAAAGACTAAAGCATTAATAATCGCCAAAATGGGACGCTTTCGCCATTTGCCATAGTTGTCAAACAACCAAAAATAGCCAGTCAAACCATATGTAAACTGTGAAGCAAATAATGATGCTACTAAACCAAGAAGATCATTGAAAACAGGAATAACTTGAGATATTATCCATGCAATAATCCATGCTAAAGCACAAAGACCAACCCATGTACCCCATCCTATCAAAGTATGCTCATGCAAATGACGAGAACCACGAAATACTCGAGTAAATATAAACTTGGCAGCAACATGTCCATTGATGACACCAGCAACAAGAATAGTAGGAATAGCAATTCCATATGTAACCTTTCGAAGAGTAATACTCATACTAGATATAGAAGGTGACAAGGTGTATTGTCCAGTAAACTTGTAAACCAATGCACCAGCAAGGGTGTATATTGTAATATCAACTGCTTGCAAAAGATACAATGACTTTGGATATTCACGAGGATTCTTCATCTCAGAAATAAAATTAAAGAATGCCAAGTGACCTGCATAGGCGAAAATAATATCCTAAACAAATATTTGAGCAAACCATACTTTAACAAATAATTCCTTAGCAAGAACTTACAGTAACTGCTGAAAAGGCATTGTAAAAACTAGCAGGAGTAGTTGTATTCACTATAATGTGTGGGTTAGCTGGAGCTCCATTTGGAGCACTTTCAACACCAGTTCCAATTATTGTAATAAAAACTGAAGTAAGAATACTGGCAGAAGAAACAAAACTCAAATAACTAATGCGGTCAAGTGTACGAGGAAGAGTTAAAAAGAACGCAACAACACCAGTGATAAGAGCCCATACAACTTTACAAGTCGCATTGTCCGTCAAAGTGTTCATTGCAATAGCTCCAGTCAAACAGTGTGAACCACATATAAAGACTAAAAATATAACTTGACCAGCACCAAGAAGATATTTTCCAAATGGTCCCCATAATATCTCACCAGCATCTGCCATATTACAAACTGTAGGGTGGTTCAGACGAAAAAGGCCCAAGTTATAGCCAGTATACGTAGCAATAACACCCAAACCAATAATGAGCAAAATACCAGGTAACATACCAACAGTTAAAAGCACACTAGGTAACGATAATACCCCCAAAGCAATAGTTTCTGCAATCATAACCACACCACATTTCACCCAAGACATAGTTTTGTACCTTATCGAGTGCTCCTCTTCATTCCCATAGACGTCCTAGACTTTCTCCTCTGTCTTCAGTTCGCCGGATCCTTTTCAAGATCATGTATCCTGTGTGCTTCTGTTCTTCGAGTCCCGTTTTGCTTGTCGTCGTTTGTTCCCCTCGCTATCTCCTCCTCTTCTTCTACTGTCCTTTCTTCTTTGGTCCTTGACATTTCACCAACCTTTAATCCGAAGAGCACTCGGTTTGTTTTAAGTATTTCACGGCGTGTTTTCTCGAAATGCGGTGAATGGTCCTGTCTCTTGTGATGCTCTGTGTGGATCGTTTCTACGTTCTTTTGTTGTCTTTTGATTATTTCTCCCAAATGTGCCCTTCTGTGTAGATGTCTAGAAGACAGAGGGACGCAAGCTTCAACTCGTGAGTTCAACCGGAAAGACTCTTGTCAACGGAAACTTGGATATCTGCCAGGAATAGTTCTTGCTGTGGTTTTTAGAGTTTTCTCTGAAGGTGCTTGTTCGGAAGTATAAACGAAGGACGTCCTGTATTATAAGACGTTCTTCTTGCTAGATAGGAGAAGGGGAGTGACACAGCGCACTGAGACAAGTGTTTATATGGCATTGTTGACGTACTCTGTAGACGCAGTCCACTCATAATTCCTATTGAGGGGTAGTTCCCTTTGCAGGGGGTTGTATAAAAGCTGTTTGACAGTTTTAAGGCTCGTTGTGTTTCTGTGGAAACTAAGCTGGCAGAAATAGAATACTTTGAAGTTGAGTATTCTATTAGTTAACTCTATTCCAGTAAAACAATTTCCAACCACTTTATATTCAAATACAAAACTCACTCTGTTTCTCAATGCTAAATTTGGAATCCACTGTGTTCTATTCAACCTTTTTACGTGAATACACAACCTTAACAGGAAGCATAAAACAGAATAGCCATGGCTACTTGTTCTCCGGGCAAAGGAGCCTTATTGGAAGTCGAGATATCAGATAAATAACCTTTAGAACGTTCAGCTAAAGCTGCAAATGAATCTCTTAGTGTAGAAATGCACCTTCCATCAAGATTCCGCGTCAACGTCTTCCTTAATTCTTGCAGAACAGCCAAAATCTGCGTATCTCTAACATCCGCTTCCCTGAAGTTTTCAAAAATCCTTTGTATTGCCATAGAATTCTCTCTCATTCTTATCACTCTTTTCCTTGTTCACACTAGGTTTTTTATCTTTTTTCCCTTACACCTGAATCCTCATCCATATGTGGCAACAAGAAAGACTCGTTTGTCTTACTGACTGTCATATCTTCTTTTACGTCATTTGGGAAGTCTTGCCTTATCATCCTGGCATTTTGAGGTTCGTTAAATTTTCCATGCCTTCTTCTGCATGCTTCTTGATGACGTTGGAAGTTACCTCCATTAGCTGAAACATTCTGCATACACGAAGAACAAAATGCAGTAGGTGTCTTGTTTCGCTTTGAAAGGGATTCCCCTGCATTGCTTATTTTGGTTCCGGACAAGGACGAACTCAGACAAGGGACATGAAAATGTTCTCGACCAGCATATCTACTAGAAATGGGTATATAACTTGATCTTCCATCTGGAGCCATTGTGACTCTTTCAGACTCGCGAGGACCCGAATATGAAGTAAAGAATGTTGGTTGATTACAATGCGTAATAGGAAGGAAAGTTGAGGAACTTTGAAATGACCTTGACCAATTGTGTGATGATAAATAATTCCCAAACTCCCACGATGATGATACAGAACCCTGGTTTTCACAGTATTTTGTGCTATACAGCTTTGTATTTAGATTATTTCCGTCTCTACGTGTGTCCAATCCAACAGGCATCAATGGTCTATTCCTCTGGTGATCCACGTCTTGGCAAAAAGTTGTCTCAGGTGAATGCCTGTGGAAAGATGACGTTGTGCAAGGAAGAACAGTTTCCCAAGAAGTATCTTGAAAGTCATCCAAGTTCTTGTTACCAACGACCAGGTCGCTAGTTCTCTTTCCTCGGTCTTGACCAGTAAAGAATTGTTCCACTCTTGAGTGGCCAAAATCAAAGTCACAAAGCGTTTCTGGACTCGCATCTTCAGTGGAAAAGTTTGCATTTAGGACTTCTATCGCTTCATTTAACATATCCTCTCCATTTCCGTTTTCCAATTTCAAGTCCTTTTCAAATATGTCTTCTTCCATTGGGAAGCAAATTCTGGAGACGCTGCTTAAAAGAATAGAAACGATATAAACCCTGTTTCGAACCAATAGTTTACTTTCACTCTCCCTGTAACACGACAACAACACTACGCTCTGAAAAAGAGAAAACTCGAGGTGGTCCCCAAGCTATAGGACCTCTTTACGGGTTGGTTCCGCTTTATGTTCAAACAACCCTAATGCAGTCCCACAAAAGTCTACAACTTGGCAGAAATTTCACCACAAGACGATAATTTTAGAATGTGTACTTTGTAAGTTATCCGTATAACAGTTAACTAGTATATGAACCACAGCTTCCACGCCACAAAGAATGAATCTTTCTACAACAAATGTGGGCCACACATTCTAGAAACAGCTTCGATAACCCAAATTGAGTTAGATATTTCAGGGGCTCTAGAAAAATCGATTTTGGGACACCGTATTTGGTTTAAGTGGTTTTCTACCTACAATGAAGTAAGTTGAGATTATTGTAGGCAAATCTATTCGAAAAAGTTTTAAAACTTATTGGAATCGACGATGCAACGAGTAAATATTTTCTGAAACTTTTTAATGAGGACTTTGAGTCATAATATCTCGATAAGCTATTTGATCAGAATACATACGCAAAAATACTTGAAATTTCAAGTCATGGTGCTTTTTGACTAGACTATCTTGACCTTTTGGATAAATAATTTGCTGAACCTTGGACATTGTTTGCATTGCCATAGGAAAAGAACTAAAATATGTAGATGCAACCGCACCGAGCATCGCAGCTCCTCTCATCACTGCATATTGATTCTGCACTGGTATAACAACGGGACAACCAACGCTATCGGAGAGCTACCGCCAATAAGAAACTTTCAATAAATACAAACTTATCACTTACTTGTTGCAAAAACAATTTGTTGGATGCCATTCCTCCTCCACAGAGATAAATAGATTGAACACGATGACCAGCGCCATTGAGGACTTGCACGAGATGCCTTGCTCCGTAACATAATGCTTGTAAAGTGGCAAAATACATTTTGGCGAGAGAAATAATTGAATTATCCATTCCCAACCCACTGATCATACCACGAAGAGTAGGGTCCGCGTAGGGAGCACGATTGCCATGAAAGTAGGGAAGTATGTGTAAATTCTTTGTAAGTTCCAAACACTTTAGAGAAAAATGTTCGTCATATAAAGTTGCATTATCTCGCCCTTTGCTTTCTCCTGGTGATGTATCTAAAAAGGCATTATTCATTTGTTGCTTCATTTTTGAACTGTTTGTAGATTGGATACTAGAAACTACTTCTTCCAGCGTCATTTTGGTTTGTTGGGCCAATAGAAAGATAATATAATTGAGAATTTCATAGACATGGAGATCCTTTTCTGAGGCCAGCTTAGAAAGAAATGGATATTGGCAATGATTCGTCACGATGAATTCCAATAATTTCCCAGTAGCCGATTCTCCGCCTTCAGATAACCACATATTTGGAATCATAGCAGAATAATAAGGACCCCATACACCCGGTACAAAAACAGGTTTGGATGAAGATGCCATATAACAGGTGGATGTGCCAGCAATCATAGCCAATCTCTCTTCTAACCTTTTGGCAAGATATTTACTGTCACTGGATAAAGTATCCTCTTTATTTCCTTCTTCTACGGCTCCTAATATTCCAACACCACCTGCATGTGCATCAACCATTGACGATCCAACAGGAGTTCCAACCTCGAGGCCAAGTTCCATAGCTGCAGTTTCACAAAGACCATTCTTTAGAGGTGTTCCCGGTGCAGCTACTTCTGTTCCTATTCTTCGATAACCTTCCTTTACGATTTCTTCAAGACCAATTTCATTTAGAAGCGTTTCATCCCATCCAGAAGTATCATCCAAGCGCAATTTTTGCTGGTCAGTCTTTTGTTGATCCGAGGCGAGATAGCCACTTTTGCAAACCAGTGGACAAATACTTCTAGTTGTACTCCGAGTCGCTTGAAAGGTCAGAAAATCACATAGATCCATAAAGTGCGCTATTCGATTCCATTTATTTGCCAAATTTTCCTTCAACCACAGTATCTTTGGCAGCTCATTCTCAGGAGAAACTTTGTTTCCAAAGTACTTTAAGACTCTGTGACCAGTAGCGGTGATTCGCTCCGCTTGCTGTGTTGCACGGTGATCCATCCATAAAATGACGTTCCAATAATCCTCGGTGTTGTAAGGAGACACGCCAACGGGTTTGCCTTGTGCGTCAAGGCAAACGAGAGAACAAGTCGCCGCAAAGCCAAGGCCTTTCACAGCGGAACTCTCTATATGAGCCTTTTTTAAAGCTTCCCTCACCGAATATACAACAGAATCCCAAATTTCTTGTGAAGACTGCTCATAAAAGTCCTCTGCCAAGTTCTGAGTTTGGATGGCCTTTTCAAACGATTCGATCAGTAGACCTTGTATATTCTAGAGTCAAGAAAGTGAGGCATTGTAACAATAAATGAAATATACTCACAAAAATTCCTGCACGAACACTTCCAGTTCCCACATCAACTCCAATAAAGTACGTTTCATCGTTTGCCATATTCCTCGAAGAAACTTTTGCTCCGAATAAACAATTTCTCTTCTTCAGTGGAAAATTTCTCTTGGACCAGATTCCATGTGGAGCATATCTAAAATGCAACAAAGAATCTAAACTACAATTTCACTGAGATAGACTATTGAAGAATCAATGTAACAGCCACTTAGTATAAGTAGGTCCTTAAAGATGTTTTGAAATAACAAACTACGCAATTACAGAAGACAGTGATCCTCTAGATATACACAAACTTTTCTCCATTTATTGAAGAGGGCAAAAGGTATATTCCCTTTCGAAAGCTTTTGAATGGATAAATTTCTATTCTCTCTCTATTTGCCTATCTAAGATTTCCTCTTATATTTCAAAAAGCTTATCTCTTAAAGTTATCCTCATTTCAATTAACTATCAAAAAGAAATATACGAGAGAAAGAATTCTCGCTGTGATCCTTACAATGCGAAGTCTATATTTGTATTATTCTATCCTGATAACAAGTTCCTATTGATTCACTATTCAAGCATGTGCTCGAATACCATTATTCATACTTGTAACAACTTTCCCTGTCTGACTTCTCCAGTGCACTCATATCTCTCAGTGCAAATCACAGCATGCTGCAGCCTCCTGCAATTCTATTCTTCGAAACGACACTAAACTCCAATAATGCGGTCTGTCAACTGGAAAGACAGCCAAAACAACCAACTCCCGTCAAAAACAAGTATTTGGAGAAGTGTAGGAAGCTTTTATGGAGAGGAGACAAAGGAGTTAATGCGTTATTTCTAAAGAACCCACTCTCAACTAGTACAACATTCGAAGCGGTCTCAACTTATCACTAGCAGCCAAGGTCCATCAAGGCAACAAACTCTACAGGTAACTACGAGAAACCTAACGTTACTAGTCAATAGCGAGACATACTTGTTTTTCAGCAATTAGCTCAAAAAAGTTTGTTCCCTCCAGCTGAAACAAGTTCTTCTCTGACTGTTCAACTTGTTCAATTTTTATTATCCGTTTTTCCCAGATGAATGACGACTACTTTCGTTTTGAAAAGAAGACCAACCGAAGAAACTAAACAGAAAATATTTCACAAGAAAACTAGAGTCAGAAACTACCGAATTCTTGAACTTTATTAGCACCCACAATATTCCCACAAGATATTGGACAAAGCTAGCAGATGGGTTACACTCTTCATAACCACTACTCTCAATCATAGGACAACTTTACCACTTCTACCGTTGGATCGCTCCACGTAAAAGCTCCTAATAATCGTCAAGGGAAATGTGGAACGCTGTTGTTCTTAAGAGACCCACTGTCCATTGGTCAAAATGGACTTCACGTGCAGAGGCCGTTGAGTATAGAAATTGAGTGGGTAGGGTGAAAATGAGGCGAGGTTCTTTCGGATTCGATTTAAGGCAGCTTGTCTTTATATCATAAAGTAGCTCAAGAAGTATCCAAATCTGTCATACAGTTTTTTCGGCTACTGCTCATTCGGTTATGTTAGAAATTCGTTTAAGGGGGAAGAATGACCACCTAAAGCCACTCCTATTGGCAATATTGTCCCTTATGACGTTTTTCCTGGAGCTTACCATCGCGACATATAGTCAGTTTGACAGCGAACACTCTCCTGCTCTGTACAATATTCCAGCATTTCACCTGCAAGGTAGTTTGAGAGGACTTGATGTAAGTAAAACTGGAAACGAGAAGACTTCGACTCTTTTGTTGAACGACTCCTTTCAAAGAAGTTCGTCTGGTGCTGACCATGGTCAGCTTGGAGCATACTGTACCAGCAACGCTCACTGTGTATACGGCTTGGTCTGTCTCAATCAAACTTGTTCTTACTGTACAGTCTCGTCGCAATGTCAAAATATGCAGCTGATTTGTGACTCCTCTTCACTTCAGTGTACTCATAAACCTCTTACAGATTTTACATGGAGAGATGGACTGACCTTTGTATTAGTATTTATCATTGCTGGTCTATCCAATGCTGGTGGTGTTGGTGGAGGTTTCTTGTTCGTTCCAGTTTTGGTTCTCGCAACAGGATATCGAGCTAGCACGGCAGCAGCCATCTCTCAAGCCTTGGTAACAGGGGCATCCGGTGCTAATACATTTTATGGATTGATTCGAAGGCATCCTAAACGTGAAAGACCTCGAATAGATTATGGAGTCGTCATTCACTTCATTCCTTCAGTACTTTGTGGTACAAGCATTGGTGTGTTATTAAACGAATTATTTCCCAATTTTTTTACGTTATTTGCGCTATCTGCGCTGGTACTGTATGTATTTTATGTCAGTCTTAAGAAAGGCATTAGTTTATGGAAGCAAGAAAGGAAAGAAGCAGAAGATGCCAAGAAGAAGAGCGAAACTTCTCAGTCACAGCAAACTAACTCGGAGTTAACACAAAATGACCAAGTGGCACAGGAACAACAATGCAATGGCCATGATAGTGCCGAAGATTTCCGCGCCACAGAATCCGCAAATTATTCACATCAAGAAGATATTGTCGATCAACACCCGACTACAAATGTGTCCATCGAGATGGTGAACAGCGGTACTGCACATTCCGGAGAAGAAGATTATCTCCCGATATCTGCTGCAGCTGACCCTCAAGTGAACCGTGACATTCTTGTGAATAATAACGAGACAAACGATGACGAGAAGCCTATTTCAAAGTGTTGTGAAGTTGATAAGGAAGTACTTCAAGCTCAGAAAGATCTGGAGGGTTCGATCAAATCGGATATTGCTATTCCGGTAGGCGCAGACAACGATGAGACTGTAAAGCATTCTTGGAAGGATCGTTTTTACGCATTTTGGTCGGAATTTGAACAGAGTGTACTTGCTGTCCTAGATAGAGTTCCTTTGCTGGGGAGGTTCATTGACCCAGGAAGATATTTGAAGTCCTCCGAAGACATTATACAGCATGAAAAGAAGCAGTATCCTATAGACTCTATCATTTTTGTAGTTATTATTTTTGTCTTTCTTGTTGTATTTTCTTTACTTCGTGGTGGTCACTCTCCTCATAGTTTGGCAGGAGTCCCTCTTTGTGGTGCTGGCTACGCAATTTTATATGTGGTGCAGGAAATAGGTCTCGTATTGTTTACCTTAATTGCAGGAATCAGAAATGTTCGAATGCAGACATTGAAAGAGCGAGTAGGGTATCCTTTTTATGCAAAGGATTTTCATTGGACCAAACTTAGAGTTATCTATTTCTCTCCCCTTATGATTATCCTTGGAGCTATTGGTGCCTGGGTTGGTGCAGGCGGTTCCTTTATGTCGACTCCAATTTTGGTTGCAGGGATCGGAATGGATCCTGTCGTTGTCCAATCTACCGCTGGATTTATGAACTTCACCTCCGGTTTCTCGAGTGCTCTACAGTATATTTTTGATCATCAAATGAAAATTGATTACGGTCTCTCATTGGGTGCGACCACTCTGGTAGGATCCTTCACTGGCCTTTATATTTTGAATGGTTTGGTTGCAAGATACAATCTTCAAGCTATTCTGGTTATTGTCATGTCTATTGTGATGTTTGGAGCATTTGCTGTAGATTTGTATGCTGGAGTGCAAGAACTGATTGGAGTTTTAGACTTGAACGAACACTTTCCTATACACAGTATCTGTGCTGCCTCTTAACTGCAAAGCAAGGTTTGGTAGTTTTCATTAAGAGAACGACTGTGTAAAGTTGTCCAAGAGGGTTTCAAGTTACTGTTATTAGCAGTAAACTTTGTATGAATAAATAAAGTGTCCAAGTTGCGTATTCTCATTGATTGATCGTCGACGTCGATTGGTTGATTGACGTAGCGTATTCTTTCTTTTTGGTTGAGACAGGAACGGCCAACAACTTGCAGTATGGTAAGTGAGTCAACATGTTTTCAGTCATCGATAGGATACATTTTCTATAGGCACCGAAAAAGACTTCAAAAGTAGCCCCTCCTCCTTCTGCTCTCGTTAAAAAGCAACCGAAAAAGACAACCAAAGAGAAAAACCCTTTGTTTGAAAGCCGACCCAAGTGAGTGATCGTTCAAAAGTTGGTCACTTTTTGTTCAACTCTTTGCAGGAACTTTAGCATTGGTGGAGATATTCAACCAAAGAGAGACGTTTCTCGTTTCGTTCGCTATCCGAAATATGTGCGTCTTCAAAGACAGCGCAAAATTCTTTTGACCAGACTGAAGGTGCCACCAGCAATCAATCAGTTTACGCATACTTTGGACAAGAACGTTGCTAAACAGCTATTTCGCTTGTTGATGAAGTACAGACCGGAATCCAGGTTAGAAAAGAAGCAACGCTTGCGTGCTATGGCGGAGACCCGAGTTGCAGGTCAAGATCCTACACCTACCAAGAAACCCGTATTTGTAAAACACGGTGTGAATCATGTAGTGGAATTGGTTGAGCAGAAAAAAGCGTTATTGGTGGTTATTGCACACGATGTGGCGCCTATCGAACTCGTCGTTTATTTACCAGCCTTGTGTCGCAAAATGGATGTTCCGTTCTGTATTGTGAAAGGCAAGTCCTCACTGGGTACAATAGTCCACAAGAAAACTGCCACCTGCCTTGCCTTTACGGATGTAAAGCCAGAGGATAAGCCGGAGTTTAGTAAACTTGTGGATATTGTGCGTTCTCAATACAACGATAAATATGCAGAGTTGAGGAGACAATGGGGAGGCGGTATCCTCGGTGCGAAAAGTCTTCATCGTTTGGAGAAACGACGCAAGGCAGTAGAAGAAGAAGAAGCAAAGAGAATGAAAACTTAAGTATTTTCGAAGGTATCATAAATATTCTAGAGATATTTTTACAGTTCAACCAAAGAATAAAAAGCTTCAACTTTGTCCCTTAGCTCTGCACTTGCAGTGGACCAAGTGACTGGAGATGAAGGTGTTGCCTACACAGTATTCAACTTTCACATACTGAACAAAGATATTGAACGCTTTACTTACGTTGAGTATGCTTTCAACATCAAGTACTTGATATGGTTTTCTTTCGTTATGGTGGTTCATATAAGAGGCAACTACACCCATAGGAACTATAGCCAATCTGTCCCTATGGTCGTCTACTGTTTTATCATACTTTGGCAATTTAGTCTCTCTTATGTATTCTTGTTCTGTTTTATGTTTTCGTTTAGCTCTTAGTCGATGGACAGCTTCTTCCAGTTCTTCAAGGATGAGGTCGTGTTGCGACCGCCTTGGAGAAAGAAAGGCAAACCTTGAGTTTTTTTCATAAAGGCGCTTTCGAAAGACGTCAGAAACGCTATAATCTTTACGAACAATATATTCAGCTGTTTGTTGCACTCGCTCACGAGTTTCTTGGTCCATTCTATCAACTTCCAGATATCAAATGCCAATGAAAAATATTCCTATTTGTGTGTTTCCTGAATAACCAACTCTTGTAGAAATATCAAGTTCTAAAAGAGTAACTTTGCTACAGGACTTGTTTCACTTTTCGCCGGTCGAAAACACAGGTCTATTTGAAAGAACTGTGGAAAAAGAACGGCGATTTGTGCAACTATTCTCAAAGAAACGTTGCTGATTCTTTATTGCTCTCACAGAACTCTGCAAGCTGCAATCTACAGATTACTTCCGACAAATACTAACTTCACTAAATACAGAGCTCTAAGCCTCAAGAGAACCTATATGGTCTTCGAAAACAAACTAACCAAAACAGAAGAAAACCTATCTTCCATTTTGTGCACACGGCGTCCCTTAATCATCCATCCATTAGAAGAACAATGATAATATTAGAATAGATGAAGCATGGAATACAAATTTGTCAATTTATCAAGGAAGAGGTAGAAGAAATGGAAAAGACTGTCAGAAGCTATTCTTCTACTTCCAACTGTCACAATGTGTTCACTCATTTCTTCTAAGAAATTATTCTTCTTCTCATGTTGTTGGTTAGTAGTAGGTGTTGCGGTAACAGAATGGAAGCATTCAACAACTTGTGGTCTCCATCTTTTCAACTGATTCAATTAGGAGTGCAAGATATTTCTTCTCTACAGTTTTCTCTCTTTGCTATGCCATTTGCTAATAATAAAAAAGAATTCTCTGAGCTACGTACTTGATGAAGACCTTGAATTGCATACAAAGTCAAAAATCTCTATCTCTCACTTTTCTTTTTACTCCCTTGCATAGCTGAATACAAAAAGAATCGAGATTGAAGCTCATAACTTATCAGAGTTGTACAAAATGATATCCATAGAAAAAGGATGGAATGCTGTATAGTATGTGAACGTTTATCAAAGTATTAGGCGTGAAAAAATACAATATCCTTCTTTCATTTTTTGAATACTATGGGCTCCTATCTTCCATAAGTTGTCATTTGGATGGCTAATTTTCCACTATTTCTGTTTTTTAGATTCTCTTTCAATAGCCTTAGATCCACTTTCACCATAGATTTGCTCAGAAATGATCACTGCACATTTTTGGGGATTTGTAGATAAAAAATGCGAGCTGCAAGAAATGAATGAAAAGTTCAAGTGGGAAGAATTGGAAAGCCAACAAGAGAAGAAAACATATTCTTCCATGGTTATGAAATCCTATTTGTCTTTTTAGTTGTTTTCAGATAAACTTCAAGTTATTTTTCCATTTAGCACATCAAGATAGAGATGAAAATTTCATTGTAATGATGGAAGCTTTCATCTATGATACATTTCTTTTGAGTTATATCTAAATGAAGAATAATAAGAAGCAAATAGAATTTTTAAAATTTCATAAAGATTCTAAAGAATATGGAAGACAATATAGGAATAGAGAAACATATGGCTGCAACAGGAACTCTTGGTCATCTATGATTATAGATACTGGGATGCAAAGAGAATGAGAAATCGAAGCCTACCACAGATGTTTTGAAAGGAAAGTAGAAGCGTTGTTTTTTATCCATCTAGCTTGGTATTTCAACAAAAGTCAGTAGCAAACAGAGTAGTTCTTTCCAACTTGTATCTCAAAGTACTGTTTCGAATTGCAATTAAGAAATATAAATATGTGGATTGGATTGCTTTTGTTTTTCGTGCTAGTGTTCACTTTGTATCTTGTAAGGCAGAATACTTGTACTGGAAACAAAGCCAATCTTTCATATTCTCCCGTGTGTAAAGGTTTACCTCTCCTTGGTAGTGCTTTGGAGTTTGGAAAAAATCCCCTCAAGTTTCTACAAGAATGCAGAAAGCAATATGGAGACGTCTTTACGGTGTTATTACCTGGAAGAAGAATGACATTCATCTTCGCTCCAACTCAAGAACTACGAAAAATTTTCTTCAATGGATCTCCTAATCTCATAAGCTTCACTGCTGGTGTGGAACCTCTTACTTGTCGCATATTTGGAATTTCTAAAAAAGGCTTTTCAATGGCGCATCGTTCACTATTAACTACACTTCGAAGTGAATTAGGTGCAAAGCATATACCGCAGTTAGCACATAGACTGATCAATCGCTATTTGTTTACCTTTCGTACCGTTTGGGGAAAGGAGGATGAAAAAGAGGCTTCCAATCTGTTGACAGAAACTCTTTCCGATGCCTCGCTTCGAGTCATCTTTGGTGATGAATTTGCAAATGCTTCACCTTCTCTTTTCAAGGACTTTGTTGATTTTGATGAGTGGTTTGAACTTGCAGCAACTCCTCTGTTGCCTCATTTTCTGTTGAGACCATTTGTAAAGTCAAGAAGAAAGCTGCTAGACACTATTTCCCAAAATTGGAAGTACACGAAGAACGCACCTATCCACAAGTTAACGGAAGCTTATGGAAACGACGGCAATGTTCCTAGTTTATTATTATCAGCCTTATGGGCAACTTGGTCGAATGTGTCCCCCACTTCCTTTTGGACGTTGACTCATATTCTAGCGGACGAAAAGGCAAAGGTCAAAGTGCTTGCAGAAGTAGAAAAAAGTTGCCCACTGTTATTATCATCGAAAACAGAGCTTTCGTTGGAGTGGATTTTCAGCAATTTGCCCTTTACAGCTTACTGTGTTTCGGAGACACTGAGGCTTTATGCTTCTGTAGTGGACATTCGAAAGGTAGTAGAAAACTTGGAGTTTCGTGAGTTTATCATAAGAAAGGGAGATTATTTGTGTATCTCTCCTGCTGTCTCACATCGTGAAACTACACTTTTTCCACAAAGCGAAGACTTTATTCCTGACCGTTTTCAGAAGCAAGGAACGCATCCAAACGCAGTGTTTGATAAGGACCTTCTTACATTTGGAGGTGGATTTTACAAGTGCCCTGGTCAATCATTTGCTATGGTTGAAATTGTATTACTTATTGCTTTGGTATTTTATTTGTATGATATACAACTTGTAGACCGCGTTCCAAAGATGAAAGAATCGCAATCAGTTGGAATCAAGAAGCCTTCTTGTTCATGTCGTATTCATTATTTATGGAAAAGAAGGTTAGCAGGAATGGAGGAAATCTAATCTTTTTAGGAACTATTGAAATTGGCTTTCTTGTAATTGTAATAAAGATTTCAAGTTCCTTGAATGTCTGAGATTCTATTTCCTCTATTTTGGTTGATCGGGTATTTTCCTTTGAAGAATGATTGGGACTTCCATTGTTGAGGCTAGCAAACAACTCCTTGTTCACTACAAGAATAGTGTTCCTTATCATTTAAAGGTTCTTCTCGGAGCTAGTGTTATGAATGAAGAGTCTCACTACAAATTGTAGGTTATCGATGCGTTTCTTTTATATGTTGCCTTTACCGCGGCTATTCAGTTTGTATACGTCTTGCTCGTGGGGACGTTTCCTTTTAACGCCTTCTTAGCTGGATTCTTTTCGTGTATCGGAGTTTTTGTACTAACAGGTACGTACAGTTCATCAGTTGCCTGATATCCCTTCGCCTCACTCTATTCAGTTGGTTTAAGGATGCAGTTGAATCCACAGAATCAAAGTCCTGCCAATCGATGGCAAAGAATCAACCCTTCCCGTGCTTTTACCGAGTGGTTGTTTTGTAACTTGGTCTTGCATATTGCTGTTATCAACTTTATTGGATGAGTCGACACATTCCTTAGTATTCTTTTGTAACCATAAAGCTACCACAAGTCTACGGGAGTTGTTGTGAAAGGTTGCCTTTGTATATTCCCCATTCCATCCAGTAGCTTGTTTCATTCAGTCAATAGTTATCTACCATACTCTGTACAGTTTATTTTGTCAGAGAGTAGTTTGGATGCCGCGCGAGTTGAAACATGTATGACTTGTGTGTATACCATAAGGTTGAAAGCACTATCCGTATTATACTCTATTTTCAATCTACAAACTGCAGTATGTTTTTATTTCATACACAACATTATAAGCATTGTGTTGAAACCGTATCGCAAAGACTTTTCGATATCTTTATGAAACCCCAAAGAGCCACGTAAGAGTACATAGAAAAATGCCACAACATCTCTATTTTTGGCGCCATGTGGCATGTGCTCCTTTCAAATGGGAAAATAATTTCTTAGGAAGAGAGAGAGGCGTTTGACGCTCGGTGTCGTATTTTGGATTGTGTAACGATGCACTCGCCTCCAAGTTATTATGCCACGATGAACAGACCTTGGTTATATAACAGAACCTTGACTCTGAGTTGTGTACGTTCACCCCATAGACGACGGAGAATAAAAAAATACAGCAAACGCAAAGACGACGAACCATTTCCGTTCATTCCAACCTCATCCTGTAAGGAATTACATGGCATCTCCAGACAACAAATGCAAATAGACCTGTTAACCATCCCTGAGGATCAACCCATGTTTGATTTGCCTCCAGCCCACAATATATATTCTCTATTGGAGTCTGATAGTGACGGGAAGGACTCATTTCTTGGATCAAACTACTAGGGTGAACTTGTACATTTCACTTGTAAAAACATAAATTCCATTTTCTTCCAAGTAGGTTTTATTGGAGTCAAAGTGATATGAAATCTTGGAACGACGGGAGAAAAGAAGCCTTTTTAGCGAACCTTGGCGTTTTCTTGAGCACCGCTACCATGAACAAATTGCGTTCCTGCAATCAACTTGTATTTCTTGTTATACACCACATGTCCTTGAGCATCGATTTTCAACAACTTGCTTGCGTTTTGAAATGCCTTTCTATCCAATATGGGAAGTGGCACCATCGGCATGGTTGTATTGTTGATTGTGACCAATGTACCGACCTTGGGAGATTCTGTTGTTCCTATACCATACCTCTCTTAGTTCTATCTTGTGCTGTATTTCTTAAAAGTTTTTACCGACCTTCATCATGCTTGTTTTCCACATCATGATAGTTATGATCCTCATCTCCAGGACTACCACTACCATTACATGACAACAGATGTACCTTTCCTTTCTTTTCAGCTGTCAATATCATCCCTTGACTCTCCACACCTGCCAAACAAGCAGGCTGCAAATTACACACTACAATAACTGTACGACCCAACAACTCATCCTTTGTAAAATAGTTTCGAATTCCTGCAACTACTTGCTTGATTCCACCCCATTCGCCTAAATCAACTTGGCATATATACAGGTGATTGGAGTCGACGTGTTCTTCCACCTGCACAATTCGACCGACGCGCATCTCTATCGCCAAAGCTTCTTCTCCATGGGTTTGTATTGGACTGGATTCTTTCAACTGTCCACCTGCAAACCTCTTTCGCAATTGTGAAGCTTGTTCTGTGGTTATCTTCGAAAACAACAGAAATGGTTTACCTACTACATGTCCAGGTTCCACCAGATGGAGATGAAACTTATCAGGTATATAATTGGTCTCATCGGTATGTGGAATGTTCAGTTGTGCAAATATCTTTCGAGAAAACACAGCACCCATAAATGGTTCCAATACAACTGCCAATAGACGACAAATATTGACAGCGACTACCAATACAGTTGCCGCTCTGTTCTTATCACTATTCATCCATTTCCACGGCGCTGTTTCCTATATCACACAATGTTAGAATCATGATGGAATAGTTACTACACAACTTACCTGCAAATACATATTTCCTAAACGTGAGATACTCATCGCTATTCTCAACCCATTTTTCAATGACACTCTTTCCATCGTCTGCAAATAGTTTTGTAGTTCTTCATCCACCTGTTGGATATATCTCTCGTCCAATTCTTGCAACTCATATTCGGGTACTCGAGCTTCAAAATAACTATTGAGGAACGCAATGGTTCGATTCACAAAGTTTCCCAAGTTTGCCAAAAGTTCATTATTATTTTTAGCAGCAAAGTCGTCCCAAGAAAACACGGTGTCTGCATTTTCTGGTCGATTGACTAACAAATAATATCGCCAAACCTCCGTTGGGATACCTGTATCCTTGGCATCGTTTCCAAATACTCCTACACCTCGACTTTTTGAAAACTTTCCATCTTCATAGTTGAGATAATCGGTTACCGAAATGTGATGAAGCATAGTCCATTTGCGTTGGGTACCTATCAAAGTGGCTGGAAATATAACGGTGTGAAAAGGAACGTTATCTTTCCCCATGAACTGGAACAAGGTGACATTTTCTGGATTCTGCCACCAATCTTTCCAACCACTCGTATAGTTAGCTGTGATGGAAAGATATCCAATCGGTGCATCGAACCAAACATAAAATACCTATCATCATCGCAATGATTTCAATGCTATCATTCTTTAAGTTCATATGTTTGTTTACCTTGTCTTTATATTTCTCCAACGGAACGGGTGTTCCCCATTTCAAATCTCTTGTTATGCACCGTTTCTTAAGACCTTCATTCAACCACTTGTAAGTACTGTGAATGGCATTATAACTCCAATCACCCTTTACAGATGACTTCTCTATCCACTTTTCCAGTTGATCCTTCAACGCTGGCAAATCTAGAAACAAATGGTCACTCTTTCTCACCACAGGTGAATTTTTACATAAAGAACAACGTGCGGTCAATAAATCGGTAGGATTCAATAATCGACCACAGTTATCACACTGGTCTCCACGAGCGTCTTCGAAGCCACACATCGGACAAGTTCCCGTGATATATCTATCCGCTAAAAACCGGCCACACGACTCACAAAACAGTTGTTCCAAACTTTCTTCCGTAACATATCCGTTGTGAAAAATGTCCCAAAATATTTGTTGACATATTTCTGTTTGAAGTGAAGTGGAAGTTCTTCCAAAGTAGTCGAAGCGGATGTCAAACCAATCGTATATGTCTTTATGTAACTTGAAAAACTTGTCACATATTTCTCTTGGTGTGACACCTTCTGCGAGTGCTTTTGTCTCTGTCGCCGTGCCGTATTCATCGGTGCCACAAATATACAACACATTTTCCTTTCGTTGTCGAACAAAACGTGCATATACATCGGCTGATAATACACAACCCACGAGATTGCCGAGATGAGGAACATTGTTCACATATGGAAGTGCACTGGTTATGAGAATATTTTTGCTTTGAGGGTTCACCACACGTCGAGTTTCCATGTGTGAAAAAGAGAGAGAGAGAGAGAGAGAGAGAGAGAGAAAAGAAGATGATCGAGGGACCAAATGCTTTCCCTTTCTTTATGATTCATCATTTTATACTTTTAAAACTAAAAGGAACAAACTTTCTACCATCACCTTGCAGATTATAAAACTTGTTTTGAAACTCCACCCAGTGAAGTCGAAGTGCATGTAGAAATGCAGACAATGACTCCATCAAACACAACACACCAATAGTAAGTCCAAACCACACCAGAAAACCCAGAAATACAGCAAAAGAATTATTCAAAGCCATCGCACCATATAATACCTTTTCCAAGAAAACTTCACTGAGTTCAGAATGTGCCAAACTTAATGCCCACAGTCGTAAATAACTCGCTGTATTACTCACAGCTCCCAATACAAACTCAATGGTGTGAATCATTTGATGAACAAAAATTTCTCCAAAGTCAAACTCTTCCTTTTCTATAGAGGATGAACTTTTGACCTTACTTTCTGCTGCTTCTTCTTCAGACTCGGAGGAATGACCAGTGTTGGAATTTCCATTCATTTCATGATCGGAATGTCGAAATTCTCTACTCACAAATGGTTGACTATTCTCTAGTCTCTTGTATCTTTTACGAAGAATTAAAGGTTTCGGAAGCAACATCCATGGAACGGATACTATAGCACAAACCAATAGTAAAATTTGTACAATCTTTTGTCCACGGAACAGTTGCATATCCAAAGGCAGATAACCTGGATTCATAAACATGCCAATGAGAATTTGTTTCAGGTCAGGAGGACTACAGGAAGGATTGGACTGACAAGAAGTAGAGTTCCAGTTGATAGACCATTTCACAAAGATAATAATCACAAGGTACCCGAAAATGGCATTCATAAATATCATTTGAGGTAAAAAAACATGATAGATGTCCAAGCTTCTCTGAAAATATCGTGCGTTCAAATAGGACAAAAATATACCCATCACCATTTGGAAGACTCCCAAAACAATGCTCAACTTCATCTTGTAAGAATTGAAAAAAGTCAAACCATTCGATGCTTGACTCCATATTGGATCGAAACCTATAGGATAAATATTTCGAGGAGGTAAAGATTGCGAAGAATCTACACAATTATCAATCCCGCAAGCAAAGTTGGAAGAGGAATTAAATTTCCATCGAGAACCAAACAGATTCATAGCCACTCCGAAAAATTCGTTATATATCAAACCGGTATATAACGAGAAAATGCCCATAAGTAATATTATATAACGACCATCATAACAAAACTGCAATATTTCATTTAAAGTTTTCCTTCCGAGCTTCTTTTCGAAGAGAATCAAATACAAGGCAAACAAACACATCAATAAACCATGTCCAACATCGCCAAACATGACTGCAAAAAGAAAAGGAAAAGTAATGATAGTAAAACATGCAGGATTCAATTCTCGATAAGAAGCAACTCCATAGGATTCCACGATATTCTGAAATACTACAGTAAACTTGTTGGTTCTAAAATAGGTTGGAGGAACATTATCTGATACATGATGTTCCAATACAGATGAGACTTGTGCTCGAGAAAGTCTACAACCTTCATGAAGCAGCGACTCAAGTTGTTCAAGTTCATCTTTTGGAGTCCAACCTTCTGCTATGTATATATTACGACTTGTGTCATAATTTAACATATTCATGCAATGAAATATTGCCTTTTCTCTTAAAACTTTCTCTGACCATAAAGCAAGCTTTGCTCCAATTTCACTCAAAGTCTGAAGACGTTGGGAATGCGTTGTTCCTACAACGGTCTCTATATCTTGCAGACGATTCGAGACTTGTGCTAATAACGAACGGCGTGTAATCTCATCATCTGGTAAGTGATACAAGTGTGCACCAAACGCTTCACAAAGTTTTTGTATTTTGAGGCCCAATTCCTTTCCTGGACAGAAAATAACAAATACAGAGCTACGAACATTCTCCTTCTTCTCCTCATCATAAAACACTTCTTCAATTTCTGAAAAACGACATAAACAATTGCCTCGAGCTATACGAAATACAAGTCTTTGAAACAAAGGGAGTGCTGGCAAAGAAATAACTCCTGCAATGAGTCGAAGGAAAGTTGTCTCCATATCCACTGGAGTATAGTTTGGTTTCAACTTTACATTCATGCTTGATGCATTTCTTTCAACTATTTAGTAAAGTAAGTATATTGACCCTCGGAAGCACTTACCCATTTACATGACTGCTTTCCTCGCTCATGAGGCTCAAATATCCTTTAGAGACTGTTATATATACAAAGTCAGAAGATGAGAAACCAACCAACCTGGCCTGAAAAGGTGCGAACCTAATACCAACACATAATGGTGTTCCAATAACTGCTGTCGGTGAGAATTCAGTGACTTCCAGTGCATATTCATCTCCTGTACAGTTTCCTCCAGGTTTGACAAGTGTCTATCTAACTCATCCAGTGTGATTGAGTTCAACTCTTCTCTTGAAACTGAATCGTTGTTGTTGAAAGACCTGTCAGTTGTGTTAAACAACTCTATAGAATATAGTAACTCTAGTCATGAACCTTGAGGGAAAACACTCCCGTACGTCCACTTCCAATGCTCTTAGTTTCCGTTGCATTTCTAGACATTGTCGAATACCACTCGAGAAAGACCTTTGGAATTCCGATTTGTTTTGGTTTAGGTCTTCCAGTTGCAATAGACCCTTTTTGTGTTTGTCAATAACAACGATAACCCGCTATATACTTTCTTCTTACGTGTTCTCCTATTCCTTCCAAAGTAGCTCTAGCTGCAGAGCGGTCTATAAAAAGTCGCACTTTGACCATTTCCACAGAACGAAATAGACAAGTCATTGTGAAGGCTTATGAGAACCCCACTCTATCAAAAGGATGATTTCCCTGAGAAGCAAATTCCATCAAAACTAAACCGATTCCGATCTTTATTTTCAACTCATACTTGGCTCTCCATATCACTTCCCTAATAAAAATTTACGCAATTTTGGTTATTCTCTATACTTCAGTTGATCAACTTACCAATATTTGTTCAAACAAAGTCTTTGCACATTGAATATTGAGTTTAACTGCTGTTGCTTGGATATCTGAGCGATAGGATACATAAAGTACACACGTATAAGAAGTAAAATTTTCAATAATGGCCAAAAATTGGGAGTTTCGTAGTTCTAAACTATGAAAATGAGATTGGTTCTTATTACAACTTAACTTGAAACGCTTCACTATGTTGCTAATCTTCTCAAATCGATGAACATCGGAATGAGAATGCAACGTAGCATGAGATATGACAAGAAAGGTTGCTCTCTCAAATAAAACAACTTCGTCTCCTTCAGAAATTTCACAAAATTTTAGCAAAGCATCATCCAACTTGGACAATTGAGGAATAAGACCACAAATCATAAAACTCCAAGCTTTATACAGCGTCTCGTCCCAAATAGAAGTAGCAAAACACTTGAGTGAAATGGTATCCACAGATTCCTTTACTCGACGTTGTCTTTCTTCAAATACCTGTTCATATCATTCTAATCTATCGTTTGAACTAGGAATATGTACTTACTGCTTGCCTTTGATGCTCTGGAACTAGATCAACTTTGTGAAACAAACAATATACATTGGCATCAGCACTTGCGTCGTGAAGACACCTAATGACTTTGTTGAAATAATACACATCACGTTCAACGTCGGTACTCATAATATCAAATACATAAATCAGTACTTGAACTTCACTAAATATGTTATCTCTCTGCGCATCCAAATAGCTATCCAAAAATACATCTTGACTTGAAAATAAACCATAACTTTCTGCATATTAGACAAACACAACAAAAGACTTACCCTCCACAGTCCCACAAACTTAACATCAAATCTCCTAAGAAACGAATCTGAGAGTGTTCAACATCAATAGTGGCACCCAGTCTCCTAGTTTCTCTAGGAATATAGTTGGCAAAAATAATAGACCTCATTGAAGTCTTCCCAGCACCACTTCTACCCATCAACAACACCTTTCTCCTTGTACGAGGTCTAGAAAGAATTCGTTCCGTCTCCATAAAAACTAGTGAAAGTGAAAACAATCTAAACGAATATGATCACTCAGTATCAATCAATAACGAAAAAGATCTCCTCGTTTTATATCAAGACAATCAATCAACCATTTAGAGAAAAAAATTTTCCAACATATCAAGTTGTTTTCTTTATTGTAAAGACTGAATATACGTGTGTCAAGTAAATAACAACAAATGAACCAAATGATATCTTACGCTGGCTGAAATTTTTATTTTGCATTTTCTTCTTCACAATAATGGCAACCAGTTGCACCAGTCTTTTTTGAAGATGACCTCCTTCAAGCAACATTTTACCAAACTGTTTAGAAGAACTTCCCATTCATCAAGGTTTCCTTCCACGGATGGACAAGAAACAACAAGCAACTCAAATAGTGCCGCAGTTCCTAGTGTGACACCTCAAGGAACAAGATGGAACAACAGACAGACTGCAACAGCACCTCAGTTAACAACTCAAGAAAACTATTTCGATATCCCTTACAAAATGCTATTTCTGTTTGCTCTTTTTTGTTTCTCTTTGATAGGCTTAGTTTCCTATGGTTTATGGTATTCTGGGGCGCCTTGGTCTATTGCAGTCATACCCCTGATTGCGCCAAGCTTTGGATTTACTCTCCTATTTACCATGTTTTATATTTCATCAAAGTATCCCTCTTCAGTGACAGAAAGAAGCACTAGGAGAAGAGTAGCTAGATACATCTTTCACCCAAACACAAGTCCAAGAACTCGTCGTACCTTGAGACAACTGGCGTTTTCAGACAGGGACTTTACAGAAAGAGACTATGAAGCATTATTAGAACTAGACAGACTACCAAGCACGGAAGCTTTGCAAGAGTTTCTTCAAGGTGCCTCAGATGATCTGATAGAAAGAATCCCTTCCTATATTTTTGTACAACCTGATCAAAACTTAGCCAAGAATGAATTGCAAGAAAATACAAGGCAGAGTAGCGTGCCCAGTTTTGCACCTAAAGAGAATGAAGACACAGCAATGTCATGTTCTATCTGTTTAGAAGCATATGTCGATGGAGAACAACTGAGAGTACTTCCTTGTATGCATCAGTTTCATTCTTTATGCGTGGACAAATGGTTGAGGAGATATGCTCGATGTCCTATTTGTAAATTTGCTATATTATAATACAAGGGCAACCTGTGTTGTGAAATGAAACAAGAGTGTAAGTTATTCGTGTCGCGAAGACTTTTTAATTGTTGTTGAAATAAATCAATAAAAAGAGTTCACAAGTGAAATACATGAATACTTTAAAGTGATTTTGTATGGCTAATGTTTCACACACAATGGAGTGTGGGTAAAGTACAATTAAAGCTTTGTGGAGTGTTGCGGCGATTCCATTCCTCATGTCTAAAAAAGAAACCTTGAAAAACGTCTGTGGTGCAGTTCAAGTGATTGGAGACAAAACTTTTCAGACTTTGAGAGTAAGAATACTTTGTCCATGCTTGTAACTATTCCTGGCTTAAAAGTTCCCCTTCTGAGGTTATTTTTCATTATGGTTACATTCCACTCATAATCTATTGGGGTTTGAAGACAACAGACCGTTCAGCCCTAGAAGCTCTGGTTCCTCCAGCTGCGTGAAGCTTGTTTGCTTAATATATGTTCTGGAAGCCAAGAAGTATTCTATCTAGGGAATTCAGCTTGGAGTATTGCCTTATCGATAAACCTATTTCCTTATAAAAAATCAAGTGCCTTGTGAAAAAATGATGTAAGAGTCGAGGTTTTCAATAGAATGCCTATTGTGCAACAGTTACCCTCACGACACAAAAGTCTACAATTTATTGAAAGCTGCGATATCAACGCTTTGGACATAATCTTCCAGCGCTGTAATCTCTTCCTCGATAATTTCCGTAGAAGGAACTTTTTCGTCAATAATAGTACACATTATAACCAACTTATTTATACCGTAACCAATCGGTTGGATTTTGGAAGCACCCCAAGTTAAACCATCCATTTGAATAGCTCTCACTGCCTCTTCCATCTTTTTCAAATCCGTTTGGTCATCCCAAGGTTTGACTTCAAAAACAATGGACGACTTTGCCACAGTTTGCTTTCCACTTGCTTGTTTAGCTGCATCTCTCGCTTCCTTCGCTTTCAAGGCTTCCTCTGCCCTTCTCTGCTGCTCACGATATGCCTCTTCATCTTCCTCGTCATCGCTCGCAAAAAGATCGTCCGCATCAAACTCTTCGTCTTTACTGGTGTCCATTTTTACAGGTTTCTGTCTTGACTCACCTTCAATGGTAACGGTCTCTGGTGAAGAAGGGAAGGCCTCTCTAAAAAAACATTAGGAAACAAAAGCAACACTGAAAACAGTAAACATACTGTTCGTATGGAGAATAAGACCCGATGTGGCGATACCAACGGGCTACATGTGGGAACGTACTGCTATCGGGAATGGATTTTATAGCATTGTGTACCAAAACATCTGCCTTTGTGGGTTCCACTCTACAAAATTGTGATGACGGAACGAATCCGTTTAAAAAAGGTTCGCTTACCCATGTAAATAGCTTTTGTCTGCAAGATACTGATTCAACTGAGCTATGCCTTCTTCGGTACTTAAAGACTGAAAAGATACCATTGGTCTTTCCACGACGACGGCCAAGCTGCAATTCTTTAATTTAATTCTTAAAGCTATTTCACTATCTACAGCTTCTATTTTCAAGGACAGAAATGTTCGTTCTAATAGTAGAAACAATAAAAGAACCAAATAAAACTCATTGAAAACAGTTCAAAAATGTGAAACATGTCTGCAAAGTAAATTTTCAAGTTAGAATCAAGAGACTTGTGACAGTTTGTATTTCTAAGTTTTGTCAATCTAATTGATTAAAAAAATATCATATTTTGAAATCATTATCGGGTGGTGGCAGTAGAAAATAAATTCTCCTAACATCAGCATTTTCTATTTATATTTCTAGTCAGTTCATTTCAGCAATATTTTCTTTCACCGTCACGTACTAGCAAAGATGCTTAACAATCTGAAACCACAAATGAAAGAGTAAGTTCTTTTAAAAGCTTACAAGAGATAGACAATTTTGTCCTTCTTCTATAAAAAGAGCCCGGATAAACCACTTTTAAAAAAAAGCATTGCAGCAACACATGAAACCATACAGTTAGATAAAAGTTCCACAAGTCGATTTATTAGTTATTAAATTTGGACAATCAGGAGTTTGATAGTCAAATAACTAAAATGACTTTACAAGCAGTTATGTATTCGAATAATTCTAATTGCGAAGGAATAAAATAAATTTATTGTTCAATGAAAGTTAATGTTGAATTAAATTTTGATCGAAAGCTAATTTTTAAATGGATTCTTTTAAAAGGTTTTGGGCACAAATGAACAATCTGGGATCATTTTTAATCTATATTAGTCTATAATTTTAAATATAAGAACGGGTATTGAGGCAAATATTATTTCAAATTTTGGAAACATTCTTACATTTTTCATTTATACGTGATATTTTAAGGGGAGACTGTGATGCATTATATTCCAGTCGTCTTTCTTCTGAAATAAAGCAATTGAGATTAAATTTTTCAATGTGAAAAAGAACACTTTATTGGAAAGTAATTATCAGAGATTCTTACCATATGTTGTACTGCTTTTATCAAAATCTGACGAAAAGAGTATAAAAAGCACTTTCATTTTCCAACCTGTTTGAAAAAAATTGCTTTCACCGTGAGCGTTAGAGATATTGCGATAACCAACGGAAGCCTTCTCCGTAACCCATCTTTCTCACTACACTGCACATAAATACTTCGATTGGTCTTACATCTTTCACAGGATTGGTTCCTTTCCCGGTTGTCAGGTGGTGAACTCCCAGAGCAGTTCGAAGTTCTTCTTCTGAAGCTGCCTGTGGAACGTCGATTTTATTACCAAGTATCAAGAAGGGGACATCCGTAAGTTGTTCGTCTGCCAACAGAGCCTGAGCGCTATTAGTTACTCTAGAAGAAAGTGAGGAGAGTTTCTTACATCAAGTTCCTTTTTAGCCTCGTTCAATCTGTCCCGGTCAGCTGCATCCACCATATAAACTATGGCGTCGACCTTTGTGTAATAATTACGCCAGATCTGTCTGGCGGCGGCGTGACCTCCTAAATCGAAAGCCCTGAACTTTATGTTGCCTATAACTACTTCTTCGGCTGTCGGCTGTTGTGTTGGAATATGCTGCGCGACCTTATCATCCCGAAGAACGTGCATAAGAGTTGTCTTGCCGGCGTTGTCTAACCCAAGGAACAATATCTTTGCGTTTTTGTAATAAAGACCTTTAGAGGAGTAAGAAAACAAAGTATCACCAGATGCCCTCTTTGCAAGTGATACGTACCTAAATATGCTAGAATATTGAATAACCATTCCAACATGTTGCTACAAGGTAAGAAAACTAACTAGCACCAAATCGGTCTTCCCAAACCAAATTCAATCCATATTCCGGAGTTAGTTGTGTGTAGAGTTGAGACAGCGGTTTTCATGTCTTTTTTCGAACGACCTCTTAAAGAGCGTTTAGTGCCGTATTTGCGCTCCTTGAAACCGAACAGAAATAACTTGTGGAATTTTTTTGTGGTATGATAGATACGTTAACGTTTAGCGTAACGTTTTATGAGCTTCTTTAGACCTTTGCGTTGGCCTATACAGTGACAGGTTTATTGGTCTATTTGAAAGATCGACCGAGTCCGTTCCCTTATTGGTCTATGGATCCTCCCTATGTAAGATGATTGCAAGAAACTTTTGAATATTTGGAATGATAGGGCTTTATCAGGACGAAAAATTAGCAAAAGTACGTTACAAAGACGGTTATGATGGAGTGTATTGGCCACTTCCTAACGATTCAGAAGAGTTTTATCAGTTTCTCTTGGAAAGAGAAAACGATCTTTTTGAATATGGTATTATGATTTTTATTTGCATCTAAATGGAAAGGTGAATCGTCGCGTGTAGAACCTTCTTTGGAGCCACCTTATCCGGAACCGTATCAAGCAAGGTTTCAAGCATACAGGGAAAAACATGCAGCAGATGTGCAGGAGCAGATGCGAAAGGAGATGGCAGAGTAAGTTTTTTATTGACAAATTGATTTTCATTGTTTTACTTTTGCATAGGAAACTTGTTTCTTTAGGCCATTTTCATAACTTGGAACATGCAAGTGAATTTTTCAAGCACCAGTTTAGTTAAATCTTTTTATTTAGTTATTATATTATATCATGTAGTTTTTTGGATTGTTCTTTAGTTTGATTTTCCATGAATAGTGTAACGATAGCATAAATTACGAAAATCAGTTATCTTAGATTCGGTGCTCAAAGCTTTCTGGAACCCTTGAAGAAAATCCCGAGTAGAAATTCCATTCTTGTTGTTGATCACTTTGGCAAGGATCAAGTTGTGCGGTTGATGAGACTCTTTTGGAATAAACCTATTTCTGGACTAGTTCCACTATTAGAAAATCGTTGGAAGGAACCTTTGACCAAATGGAAAGAACGAAAGCCAAGACTGCCTTGGTTAGGAGTTGCTTTTGCTCATCAAGTTTCTGGAGACATCGGACTGAAACCTGAAGCAATACCTATACCAGAAGAGTTTGTGAAAAGTGGAAAACACCATGTTCCTGATTCTAGTACTTACTATAAAATGTATGAACGTTCTATAACTGATCCTGAAGGCTTTTGGTCAGAGATAGCAAAGAAAGACTTTTATTGGCATAAGCCTTTTTCTTCGCCTATTCTGAATTATAATTTTGACATTCGAAAAGGTCCCATCTTTGTGGAATGGTTCAAAGGAGGGAAAACCAATATGTGTTACAATGCTTTGGACAGACACGTGGAGGCTGGCTTTGGAGATCAAGTTGCTTATTATGCGGAAGGGAACAATTTGGAAGATAGTGGACATCGCGTCGTTACTTATGCTGAATTATTGGACAAGGTGAAGCGTTTGGCTGTTGCTCTAAAAGCGAGAGGTGTGAAGAAAGGAGATACTGTTGCTATCTATTTGCCTAATATTCCAGAACTTCCCATTTCTATGTTGGCTTGTGCAAGAATAGGTGCCATTCACAGCGTTGTTTTTGCTGGTTTCTCAGCAGAAGCATTAGCGGAACGTATTTTGGATGCCAGAAGTCGTATTTTGATTACTTGTGATGGTGTTATGAGAGGAGACAAAGTAATTGAGTTGAAAGGTTTGGCGGATGCTGCTGAAGAACTTGTATGGGAAAGAGGAGATGGACATTTAGTTGATAGACAAATTGTAGTCCAAAGGCTGGGACCAGAAAAGTGTGCTGTTGGAATGAAAAGTAGAAGAGATGAATGGTTTCATGATGTTATGAACAAGTCATCAGGTTCAGTTGAATGTCCTGTTGAATGGATGGATGCCGAAGATCCTCTTTTTGTTTTATATACTTCAGGTTCTACAGGCAAACCCAAAGGTGTAGTTCATACTGTTGGTGGATATATGGTTTATTCAGCTACAACGTTTAAGTATATATTTGATTATCATTCTCCAGAAGTATTTTTCTGTACAGCGGATTGTGGTTGGATAACTGGACATAGTTATACTGCATATGCTGCACTATGCAATCGAGCTACACAAGTTATATTTGAAGGTGTTCCAACTTTTCCTTCTGCAGATAGATTATGGAAGATTGTAGACAAGTACAAAGTACAGTATGTCTATACAGCACCTACTTTAATTCGTGCTGCAATGCGTGCTGGAGATGAAGTTGTAAAGAAAACTAGCCGAAAGTCTTTAAAGTTAATAGGAGGTGCAGGTGAACCTTTGAATCCGGAAGCATGGAATTGGTAAGAATGCTTATTTTGTCGATTTCTTACTTTTAACATTCTATTAGGTTTTACTATACAGTTGGAGATAGCCGTTGTCCATTGATCGACTCTTGGTGGCAAACAGAAACTTCTGGTGCTATGTTAACTGCACTTCCCGTTCCAGGTCTCGTTCAGAAACCTGGCTCTGTATCCTATCCATTCTTTGGAGTAGTTCCAGCCATTCTCAATGATGAAGGAAAAGAGTTGATGGATAATAAAGGAGAAGTCAGTGGTCAGTTGTGTATTAAGAAACCGTGGCCTGGTATTTTCCGAACTATATTACATAATCATGAACGATATGAGAAAGCTTATTTTGCAAAGTTTCCTGGTTATTATGTATCCGGTGATGGTTGTCGAAGAGATGCCGATGGTCTCTATTTCGTCACAGGACGTTTGGATGATGTTATTAATGTAAGTGGACATCGCATTGGTACAGCAGAAGTGGAATCTGCTTTGATTGGAAATCGTGCAGCAGCAGAAGCAGCTGTGGTTCCTATAGCTCATGAAATAAAGGGTCAAGGTATCATTGCTTTTGTGATTCTGAAAGAAGGAATCAAAGCTACCTATGAATTGGAAGAAGAAATGAAAAAAAGAGTTCGAGTCAATATAGGACCTATTGCAGTACCTGAAAGAGTCTATTTTACGCCATCTTTACCCAAAACAAGAAGTGGAAAAATAATGAGAAGAATTCTGAAATTGATAGTAGAGAAGAAAGGTATCGTTTCTAAGCAAGATTTGGGTGATATTTCCACGTTGGCAGATCCTCAAGCAGTTGATGAATTGATTGAGGTTTATAAGAAGCAACAAATATAGGAATTGAAGATGAATGTTTGTTTGTGTGTGGAAATATAAAAGTGACTCATTTTTGTGGCTATGGTAAATAGGATGAGTTATTAGAATAGCAAATCATCCAAAGAAGGTCCTGAAGGCGTACTTTTCTTAGGCATAGAAACCGTCGAATGAGTATCCTCTGAAGTCATAGATGAATCACTAGCAACACCACCTAATTGGTCTTGAAATAACCACTCTTCCTTATCATTCGATTGACTAGTGGTAACTCCAGCCACTTTAGATGGTTCAACTGTCGAAGATTCTGTTCTACTCGGTTTCTTCATACCGGGAAGTGAAAGTTTCAACTTTTGTCCCTCTTTGAGAGAAAAATCCTTTGGAGGTGAAGCTGGCTTTCCTTGTTCCGTTTGTTCTCCTAAACTCTGTCTCGTTGCATCATTCAACGCTGCTAAAAAGTCAAATGCTTCTCCACGTTGTTCAAAGCCCAGTCCAAGAAACGCCTTTCGTTGGGTCTCTCGGTCTCTTACTTGTATCACGAAATAACGAGAACTATCCAGTGCATGTTGAGGTCCTCACGAAATGTCCCCTGTAGGTAACCAACTATTATGAATAGTTTAAAAGTTGCTTACCACTTTCATGAAATGGACTTTCTGCAAATAGTTGTCCGGAAATTCTATCTTCTAAACGAATCCATACTTGTCCGCCTTCTTCAACAACTCGACAACGCCCAGTAAATAAGTGTTCTCCTGTTCTCTTCCCATCAAAATCTTGAAAAAGTCTCAAGTTCTCATATACCTTCCCAGTCTTGACAAAGAAATCTTCCTTGAATGAGTTGTGACTGTGGAACACGATAAACGTGTACTTCACGACAGGCAAATAGAATGCGTTGCATAAAATCTCAAAAGTTTATTATCATCGAATATGATTTTCATTCCCTTATAAAGCAACAAAACGAGCCACATCTGGTAAATGAGCTTCTTCATACAACTGAGCCAACGAGTCTTTGATATCTTGATAAGAATTATTTTCTAAAAAAGTAACATCTAAAAGAAATGCTGCTCTATCTAAAGCTACTTGTTCCTTTGGTTTGCCATTTTCAATATCTTTATATCTTTTGTCATTAGCCAACTTGCGATAGATTTGTGGAAAAGAAGATTCGGGTGACTGAAAACCAGCAACATAACCAACTTGAAAGACATCATAGTTCAAAGTCCATAATGGAAGTTGTAATGCAGCTCTGGCAGCATCTCGTGCTTCCTGCATTCGATTGAGCTTTTGTAAAACACAAGAATGAAAGTAACGAGAACGACCCCAACCAGGAAAAGATACCGCTGCTTTCTCACAAGTGATCAGTGCTGATTGTGTTTTTTCCCTTTGCAAATGTTTGTAGGTCAATTTTTCATACATATCTGGAAAGGGTCCGATATCTCTAATAAGAAACTGTTCTAAAGTTAAACCACTATTGGAAAAGCTACCAGGCTTATATAATTCTTGCATTTCATGAATCATATGGTTTCTGGAGAGACCCTCTTCCGCTTCTAAAGTAACCAAATATCGCTGTACATATGCCTTTGCACTATTCGATAACAATACAAGAGTTTTGGTTGATAACTGCGCTTCAACAACTGGAAGAGGCATATCACTGGGAGGCGTCGGCCAACGAAGAAAACCAACAATCTTATCTGAATGTTCATCTACCGCCAAAGGAACCACAAACGGATGCAAACGGGATCTATCCAAAGGATCCACTAGTTTCTTCTTTTGTTCCAATAAAGTCCAAAGAAGACAATTAGTTTCCTTGGGAGGTTCAATAGAGGCCAAGTTTCGAAGAAAGTAGCATAAATCAGTGGTTTTGTTGGTCACCTCCGAAGAAAGGGATCCCTGACTTGTACCACAACAGTGCAAATTCCTCAAACTGCAACGAAACTTGTTACTTTTTAGAAAAAGATAACGTGGTACTCTCGAATACAACGGCCATCCATTTTCTACTCGTTGAAAGCCAAGTCTCTTCAACATCATATTGAGAGTATTTTGAACCAGAATGAGATCCGATGACAATCAGAAACAACATCAAAAGACTTGGTAGCTCATGGATCATTGAAGGAGGAGAGGATAGAAATGAAAGCCATTTATAAAAAGATATTACAAAAGCTTCGTTGTTATCGACACTTTTCTGAAGTTGCCAAGTTTAATCAACACGCAAAGGAATGGTGGAGTCTAACGGGACCTGTTGCTCCCCTTTTGCGGTTCAATCCAGCAAGAGTAGCGGTTATACGAGCAGCCATAGAAAAGTACTCGATCGAATCCAAGGAACGAAGACGACTACCTCTTCAAGGAATCTCTATTTTAGACGTTGGCTGTGGAGGTTGCTTTCTTTTTTGTCTCTGTTGGGGTCCTGGTTGATCTTCTTTTAGGTGGTATACTTTGTGAGCCACTAGGGCGACTAGGAGCAAGTGTTTTAGGAATTGATGAAGCAGAAGACTCCATCAAAGTGGCTAGAAAACACGCCAGCCTTGATCCATTTTTAGAAATGTTCGTGAAATACAGACTTTGCTCTCTTTCTGACCTGGTAAGTATGAATATGGATTGCTTTCGTTTATTATGGATGGAAACGCATATTATAGGTCTCAGAAAAAGTACAGTTTGACTGTGTGACTTGTCTTGAAGTAATTGAACATGTGGATGAACCTCAACTGTTTCTTCATACTTTGGCTCAAACAGTCCGACCACAAGGTCTTTTGATTATATCTACCATTAACCGTACCATTACTTCTTGGCTAACTGCTATATTCATGGCAGAAAATATACTTGGCTGGATACCTAAAGGTACTCATCAATGGCAAAAGTTGGTTCGACCCGAGGAAATCACTTCATGTTTATCCAAAGATATGAAGTTGCTGAGTTCAGTGGGTTTTTCTGTCGATCCCTTTGATAGAAATATAAGTTTGACTAGAAACCTGGGAACCAATTATATGATGGTATGGAAGAAATGTTCTTCCAATGAAAATGCAAGAAAACCAGATAAAGTCCGTTCAGTTCATGACAAGAGTGAAGGATAGTCCAAAAGAGAAAGTTGTTGTGAATAGAAAGGATTATCCAAGAGGCTTGATAGAAACTATCTTCAATACTCTCCAACAGATTGTGTCAACAGAATAAACGATTCTCTCGAGCCATTTCTTTCATAAAAGAGTCCTACTCGAGTTGATAGAGAAACATTGGGTCTTTTGAGCTTTCCTCTTTGGTAATAGTAGAAATAGCTCAAAGATAATATTCTTCTTCTTTTCTGTTGATATTATACCACATATCTATCACCTAACTACTCTCTATAAGTGGTCAGTCATCTCCATTGCTTGCAACTTTTGGAAGATTGGATTTCCGATTGTTCTCATCAAGTTGTGTTGGATGATTGGTGGCGTTTTAGTGAGTTATCCGAAGAAGAGTATTGTTGAGAAATGTCAATGGATTCTGTACAAGTAAGTCACTTATTTGCTATTATTCTTCACTTGACTTATAATTTTGGAGTTGCTTACGGAAGTTGTGTTTGAGTGGAGATACTCCGCCACCAGTGCATTTGTAACGGGCACCTTTAACGACTGGAACGACTTGATACCAATGTCCCGCCTACAGCAAGGCGAAGATGAGGTGTGGAGAGCAACCAAGTCCCTTCCTGCAGGAGTCTATCAGTATAAGTGTGAGTGAGTTTTTATTCGTATTTTCTAATTTGCTTAATTGTGAAAGTTATTGTCGATAACGTATGGAGATGTGCACCAGAACAACCTTGTGTAAAAGATGAGCGAGGAATTTTGAACAACATTATTCACGTAACTTTTAAAGAATGCGACGATAAATATTGCTTTTGTCATACAAGGACCCATGTAGCTAACTCACGATGGACTTGTGAAGATAGAAACTACTCTAACTTGGTGAGTACAGCCTTGTTATCAAGGAATACGACTGGAATTGTGTTGCGATATGAAGAGTTACCTCCTTCTTCTCCAAACGAACGACCACGTTCCTATATGCATAGGGTAGTGGATGATAAGCCTTTTGAAGTAACCGTGCTCAATCTAGCAGATGGCTTTCCCTCTAGCCCATATAGAAATATTTCTCGAGTTTCTTCTATTGATGAAATATCTTCACAGAAAATAGACAGCGGTCTTATGCTTTCCGATTTCTCAGCTCACAATCCTTCCAGTTCATCCAATTGGGAAAATAGAACTCCTAAAAGTTCAAGAGACATTGTGGAAGCTGCAGCGGGCAATCCTCTTAGTATTGCAATATCACTGAGAGCGAAACTAAGTCATCCCCGTTTTGGGTTTAATCCAAGAGATACTCATCCAGATATTATATTAACCGACTCGAATTATTGTGCTACAAAAACAAGCGCCGCTCTATATAGAACTTGTCGAACAACTTTTGCTTTGGCACCGGATATGAATTATTATTTCGAAATCTATGTAGCCAAGCACGAAGGAAAAGGAACGTGTGTTGGTCTTTCTACAAAGGAACTGCCGTTGAATTGTCTCTGTGGTACTCGTCCCAATTCGGTTGGTTTTTATACGACAGGTCATCTCATCCGTACTGTAGATGGAAAACCCCAGTGGGTCAAGTATGGAACAGAAACCGAAGCAGATTCTATTGTTGGTGTTTTTGTACGGTTGCAGCGTAACCAAGTAGGCAGCACAGCGTGCTTTTCGATATTTCTTGACGGTGTCTTACAAGATCCATCTTTGGGGCATCATCATTATCACTTCAATGGAAGTTTCGAAGTATTTCCAACGGTGACACTCTACTCACAGGGCTCCAAGGTCTATGGACTGTTTTGTAGTGATCACATTCATCATTTTACAGTGTTGGAACATCTTTCAGAGCCCGTATATGGTTTAGATGGAAGGAATATTCGAATAAGGCGTGAAAGTAGTAGTGAAAGTCTCCACAATGAACTTTCGATGGATTTGCTTGATATATGATGGGGTTCCACTGTATATGCAGTTTGTATAGTAGCGTTCTAGTGCACTAGTCGTCTTGTGGGAATTTCATACAAACAACAGAGAAAACAGCTTTTTCAGATAGTTTGGTTCAGTCGATCTATGTAGACTAGATGAGTATATATTGCGATTGGAATGAACCTCTTAAGCTTCCAAGACTGAAAATATATCGTCAATATCACAGTCTTGTACATGATGTATGAACTTTTGTTCTTCATTACAAGTAAACGTCAATCTGTTCCATAAAATACTTTCTGTATTTGTTTTGTTCTCTCGAGTCGACAAGGTTTTTGTATTTCTTGGTAAATGTTTCGATGATTGTCTAAGCTGCTTACCTACAGTTTTCAGTGTATCAGTTTCCATTTTTTCTAAAGTAGAAAACCAAAAACTTACCTCGCTTGTGCTTCATTTTCTTTCTAATTGTCAAGTCACTAGAATCCTGTGCACAATGAGTGTTCAATAATCGCAGAAGATTCACTAGTCGACGAAGAATGACCCATATTCTTGCCAATATGGATAGCATGGTTAAGCTCCACGCCATAAAGTGTGTTTGAGAAAAGATGGAGAAGAGGGTGTTTGCTGCACGAAAGATGAGAGGCAATACTTTGTTTTCATAAGTGTTCAACAACTGATGACTTTCTTCCGCCAATTGTGCTGGAGACAACGAATGAAAACTCAAGTTGCGTAGGTTTTCAAACAACTGACTTTTCCAACTACGTCGGAGAACGCGATAACACTACAACAAACGTGGTCATAGAGCAGAGACCCAAACAACTTCTTTTACCTTTGCAAGTTGTTTATAATACAGTGATGTTCGATGTTGGTTCTTATTTCTATACAACATCTTTTGAAAGATAAATAGTTCCAACTCAAACTGCGGATGAAAGAACAACTTTTGTAGGTTGCCGATGATATCCTTCCACTCCATCAATCAATCATTTGATAACGAATTTATTGATTTGATTGCTTTCATCTTACAAAGTATACTCTAAAGGAAATTGGATCTCCATAGTTTCTGCAAGAGTTGTATGGAACACAAAACCAACGAATGGAATGATATCTGCTTCAAGACGAAATATCATACTTGCGTTTCTAATAACTTATCAATCGAATGTATTGCAAACAATAATGTGTCTTCATGTTACCTCAATGTATCTACAAAGTTGTGTAAACCCAACGAATTGTAGAAAGGAAAGGCTGAAAATGAACTTGATCCTCGTTCCACATAACGATCCCAAACAGTCGCTTGATTTCTACGGAAGCGAGGAGAAGAGTATTCAGCAACCAAATAGAGATAAATGTATTTGACGTTTAGATTCCACATGCTTTGTAAATCTGTCGACAATAACTATTTGGATCAACGAGAACGAGAGAGGAGGACATTACCTGCGTCGAGTTGAAAAGTAACCACCGCACTTTCACCGAGTTGGTTAGGCAACTTTTTCCTAAAACAGTAGAAAGTAAAGAATTGTAGAAAGAACACAAAAAAGAGACTTACAACGAAACCAAGCTCCCAAAGGAAACAGTGGCTTGTGGATTGGCTTCCAGACGTTTCAACCAACTATAAAGAATACAGAACGCATGGAGAACGATAAGATAAGTCAAACTAGTTGTAACAAGTACGTTGAAACGAACACTTGTCGAGTGCATAATGAAAACGACCTTTGGAAACCCTTTTGAATGTCCCAAATGATGACAACTTTGCATCGTTGGATGATTTCTGTTTACGTTTTTCTATTAAAAAAAAAAAGTTAAGTTTGGCAGTTTCCAATAATAGTTTATTAGAATAATGTTGAGATGAACGAAAGAGTGTTGAAATTGTCCATTTGAGTCATGACGCGAGTCATCGGATGACTTCAAGTTTCCTTTTTTTAGATGAACAACTTTTCCAAAGGTTTAGAATACACAGAAGTTCGCTCTTTTTTGGAACAAAACTTCAAGAAAGGTTGTTATGAAGTGCTTCCTCAAATTGTGTATCCTACGCCTTCTACTACTGGTGGCAAGAAGACCGTTCAAAAGAATGTTGCCAAGAAACAACCTTTATATATAACACCGCCTCTTTTGTGTTTACGAGAAACAAATATGGCTAGCGATAGTCAACCACCACCTGAAAAGAGACAAGTGCCAAAGGATCCCTCCAAAATATTGCCCGCCATTTCGGCAACGGATCACAGTTGTTTATTGAATAAGGATTCCATAGGAATTGCACAAGGAAATCAACAAGCTCCCGATAGTAAGTGTCATTATTGTGTTCGTGACTATTCTCGATAAACGAAACTTTGCCTTAGAAGGACAGACACAGGAGACCCTCCACCTGCTTGATATACCCGAATGGTCGGAAGAAGACCTAAGTGCTCTTGAAGAAATCGAAAAGCACGTATGTGTTACGCGTTCAACACTTGAAGATATCTCAAACAATTATCAAAATGTAAAGAACAAAGTGACAAATGGACAAAAGGATGAAACTGGTTCAAGTATTTCCGAAACGGGAAAACCGAAACACGACAGTGACAACATATCCTCAGAGCTGCAGTCTTCAAAAGTCGTTGTTAATTCAAGTGACAATGAATGTTCGAAAAAATATGAAACATTTACCAACCAAATGTTGTCTTGGAAACTGGAAGCTGCTGAAAGTTTATTGGAACGTCTCAACTCTCGTTTATTAAGATCTACCCTTGTGGAAGAAGTCGTAAAGTTGCGCGACGAAATTGAAGATGTTACCCGTAAGAAGAACGAAATTATTGCGAAAATGACTGAAAGCAACCTTTGTGACCAGGGAATATCATGTGATGAAAGGTCAGCCAAACATGCTCTCAGTCATCATCATATGGAAAGTCCAAAAATGAAATGGAATACTCAAGCCATTTCTGTGCCTTTATCTCCTGAGAAACCAAATGTACTAACAGAGGACAACTGCTGTAGAACAGAAAAGACTTTAATTCACAATCCTTCTCGAGTATCATCGTCTGTAAACAATGCAGTAATGGATATTTCACAATCTCCAGAAAAGGAATGGAATATTCCAATCGTTAGGAATGACTACAATCTTCAGTGGACTGGAGAGTTTCCATGGACTTATCAGTTGAAGAAGGATAATTACATTTACTTTGGAAATGTCTCTTTCCGCCCTAATCAATTGGAGTCGATGAATGCCATTCTTTCAAACCGAGATGTCTTTGTTCTTATGCCTACTGGTGGAGGCAAGTCGCTCTGCTATCAACTTCCTGCTTTGTGGGGACCAGGAGTGACTATAGTTGTATCTCCGTTGATTTCACTTATAACAGATCAAGTCAGTCAGCTTCATGAAAAAGGAATCTTTGCTGCTGCTCTTACAGCTAGCACTTCAGCTCAGGTTCGTAAGAGCATATTTGATGACTTGAGAGCAACATTTCCAAGATTGCGCTTATTATATGTAACTCCAGAGCGCATAAGCAAGTCCCAAATGTTTCACAAGTTTTTGAATCAACTATATGGTAGAAAACTATTGGCAAGATTTGTTATAGATGAAGCTCATTGTGTGTCTCAATGGGGTCATGACTTTCGTCCCGACTATACTCAATTGAAATTGTTGAAACGAGAGTTTCCTGACATTCCTATTATGGCACTAACTGCAACTGCTACTGTGGAAGTCCGAGAAGACATCAAGGTACAGTTAGGTATTCCTAACAGCGTTACATTTCAGCAGTCTTTCAATCGTTCTAATCTAACGTATTGTGTGAGAGAGAAGAAGAAGAATTCTATTCAAGAAATTGCTGAAGAGATTCGAGAAAGATATGTTCATGAATGTGGTATTATTTATTGTTTAAGTCAGAGAGATTGTGAAATGTTAGCCGACACTCTCTACCATGAGTATGATATTTTGGCAGCTCCTTATCATGCAGGTCTTGGTGATGAACGACGACAATTGACTCACGAAGATTGGATGTCTGGCAGAGTTCATGTCATATGTGCAACAGTTGCTTTTGGAATGGGTATCAATAAGGGAGATGTTCGATATGTTTATCATAACGAAT